CCGGATGCTGGCTGGATCCGTTCAACCCCTTCGTAATGTGTCCGCCGCAGGCGCGGAGACGAGGGCACGAGATTGGACCAGAAGGGGCCAGTCGAGCCGAGCCCGTCCGGAGCGGTTGCGAAGGGGCGCCGGCCAATGCATTCTCTTGGGCAAAAAGTCTTGGTGGCTCGTTCTCTTTCCCCCCCGTGCTGGCGCTCACGGGAAAACTAGCCGTTAGACACCCGCCTGGCTCGTAATCCGGTGTTCCACACTAAGCAGGAGACAGTGGACGTCAAGGAGAGCAGCGGCCAATCGTTTACGAGCAGTGGGCGGGCGACGGAAGCCAGTGAATGGCTCGGCATAGAGCGTCGGCCACGTGACTGACGCTCGGCGCAATAATCTCAACCTTCGTCCGACATCAAATGTGATGAGACTTCGACCGCCGGCGTCAATGCCACCTCAACGCGCGCCAACAAACAGCATCGGACCAGGAGCATGAGGCATTTTGTCCGGAGAAGGAGATATTACGCGGAAGAAAAGCCACCTCGGCGAAGATCCTAAGCAAATGTGATATGGGTTTGCATGTCTGGAACGCCCGGCGCGGGCCTAGGGTATCATTGCAGCCGGCCCTCATGGATCCTCTAGCGGCATTAGGGGTGATCCGTGGGATCGTGGCGATATCGTTGGCCGTTGCGAGTGGGGTACGATAATGGAGCGGCGACGGACTGACGGCGGGAGCGGGAGGTTCCTTCGACCGTGGTGGTCTGTCGAGTCGGTGTAGTCGTCCTCCTTGTCCTCGTCCAGGCATAAATAGCCCTCTTTGCGACGGCCAGAGTCTCATCTCCAGCATCCTCAGCGCCTGCCTTCTCCTCCATCCCCAATTGTCTCTCAAAGATCCCAAGCGCCCTCCTCTTCCGCGACATACAGCTCCACCAAGGAGTGCCTCTACCCCAAGCCGACCCTCTCTCCCGGGACATTTGTTTGAGACTCTCCGGGTCCAGCAAGCCATCCCGACAGGTGAGCTCCGGCGCGTCGAGCGACATCGAGGGTCGTGGTGGTTGACGGATTTCAGGATCGAGCCAGCCCTGTCCAATCAGTCAGACGCCATATCAACTTTTTGATATCAAAAGGTAAGGGTGGCCCATGCTCTTGCAACGCTGTGGCCCCGAGGCTAACAGTGACGATCAACCTTAAGTTCCACCAAGCTCTTGAAACATGTGCTTCTTCGACCAGCACCGCTTTGCCTGTGGCGACTGGAAGTGGGGACACTTCCGCCAGCACTGCAACCGCGAGTACCGCATTGGTGAAACATGCGGCATGAAGCTGATCATGACGACGGTGCCGGTGAGCCAGAAGTGCAAGCTGTGCGAGAAGATCGACACCAAGATGCGCCGGCGCGCAGCCGAGGTGGAACGGATCAACCGGTGGCAGCGGGAGGGCGGCAAGTTCAAGGCGTCAATCGAGAAGTCAATGGACATCATCGGATCCCTGGACAGGGAGATCTACGACCTGAGCTGCGAGCGCAACAAGCGGCTCCAGGGCATCGGCAGCGGCCACTGAGGGGGGGAGTTTGGCGCCGGGCGCGCGTGCAGTGAGCGTTCATCTCTAGCGTTTCGTTTGTTAGGAGTTTGGATTGTTTCTTCTTGTCTCTGGGATCACGCGGGATCCACTCGTTTGTCGGCAGCAGCAAAATTGTCTGGAAGCGCGCCGAGGGGTTCAGGTGGCGGGTCGCCCAGGCGGCTCTTGATGCCCTCATGTATTACGAGTAGCGGATAGCTGGACGAATGCATTCTTTCCTTCAAATGATAGGCGAGTGTAGCCGCTGAGTGATCAGTTGGGGCTGAGGCGCCGTCCAATCCAGGCGAGTCGCGTAGCCAAAATAGAAGCAGCCGGGAAGGCGTAGACGCCGCGCGCACGGCCGGGTCTGCGCGCCGCACGCGTGAAGTGAGAATATGAGAGCCCGGCGGCGATGGATTCCGATGAGCCTTCAGACGCGCGCCGAGGGGAGGCGGAGGGTGGGAGGGAGAGGACGGTCAGAAGGTCGAGGTCGAGTGATGTGGAGAAAAGCGCTCCACGTGATCTGGCGCTAACCTGCTTCGGGCGGCCCCCACCTCGCCCGCAACTTCCGCCGCCGACCTCGACGCCGCCATCACCACCGCCAGCAGCCCGCCAGCAGCGCGCGCACCCAGCCCACGCTGTGCCCGCCACGCAGACCACGGCCGCCCGTCGCTTTGTACCCGCCGCCCACGACGGCCAGCCCGCGCCGCGCGCCGCTCGCGCTCACCGCACACGACGGCGGTGAGCCCCCGGATGCCGCTGCCTTGGCCGTGTGCCGCTGCTGCTGCGTGTCGCGTCTGGGGGCGAGTCCTGGGCGCCGCCGGGCTCCACGGGTTCCTGGATGCACTGTCAGCCGTCGCTCTCGCTGTCCGCGCCGTCCAACGCCCACCTGCCTGGAGACGCAAGCCCGGGCGGCCGCGCGCGAAGGTGGGAGAGCAGCTCTGCTCTTTTCTGTCTCTGCAAAGTCTCTCCGTCGCAGAGCATCGTTAGTTCAGCTCGAGCCGGCGCGCATGTCGAGCTGCCTTTTAGTGCGCCGTCTACGTGGCGGCCGCTGAGTGGCCCTTGTCCGCTGTTGATCCCCTCGACCCCAGTGCTGCGCCCAATCTGCGTGAATGGGCTGGCAGGATCCCGATCCCTCCCCAGCTCTTTTCGGGGCCTCAAATATCGAGTGTTTTCGTTGTCGTGTGGAAAGGGCCTGGGGCCGTTCTTGCGCGCCTGGAGGCGGCCTCCCCTCTCTTTATGTGCCTGACACGCGCAGCAAACCTGTGCCTGCTCCCCGAAGCGTCTCCCAGCGCTTAGCACTGCCCCAATGCCGTTGACAGGTGCGCTGCGTCCAGCCATCCATTCGTGTGGGAGGAGCAGGGAAGCTGCCTGAAAAGTACGCGCCACAGCCAATGACGGCCCGGCGCCGGGGTTCGTTCGAGCTCTCGACACCGGACCAGACCAAAGACCACGCATACGACGACATGACACACATCAGCGTGCGGATGGAGCTGTGTCAAGTTTCGTGTAACCATCATGCGCGTGCTGCAGTCGTCTGCCTCATCCCAGCGGCAAGCCGTTCTCTGGGCCCTTCGTAGCCAATACTTCGTAAGTTGACGCCTGACCTCAATCCACCCGCACTGCTTCTCATTAAACATTCCACACCATCTCCACCCGGTGTTTTGCAGACTGGCCATCGAGAGCCACTGCTGTCCCTGTCGGTGGCTGTGCCTCTTGTCCGTGCCACATGCACCTCTGCCTCCTCCACCACGCCCCAAACCGACACTTGCCCACCATAGTGTGTCACTTGGGATAACTTTCCTCCAATCCGCAGCCGAGCGTTGATGTGGTACCCACGCTTGAGTGGGGGCATGTCCAACATCTCTTCAGTGATGAGTGACGTGGAAGACTCAACGTTAACATACCATCCCATCCCGTTCAGCAGGGTTGCCCTGGTAAAGCCCCAACACGTATACCATTTCTGCACTCTTCGCTATCGAAACGCCGTCAGCTGTTGAAAGTAAGTTAGCAGACACGCTTGCGTCATGGTCACACTGGCATTTCACTTGTCCACGTTCACGACGACCCTCAGCCATCAACCAATCAGTCCCCGGCAGACCCGCTCTCACGTCCCTCACCGGGCGGCCATCGCAAGGGAAAACTGGACGCTTAGGCGCTCGGTGGCCATCCACCCGCGTCTTAGATCGCCCAATCGAGCGTATGCAGTCCCAAAGCGGCACTCACACCTTTACCTCATTCGCTGGTCTGTCGCGCCGTCCGCAGCCACCACCACTTTTCCCTCACTCTCAGCCGCGTGATCGACCCGATCCACACCAAAAACGGACCACAGCCTATGGGCTTCGCCCGCCAGCTCCCGAATTTGCATCCAACAAGCCGATCCGACCCGGGCCCCCGCCTTTACGTCCCGCTCCGCCCCCGCCTGCCCTGCACACTTAGTAAGGTACCTCCCACCGTTGAGCTAACGCAGGGTCGAACACAAGAGAAGGGGGTGGCTAAAGCAAAGGACCCGAGGGAAGGGGCATGATCGAAGAAGGGAAAGCTCAGCCCTACGCCAGCTCCTTCCCTGCATAACCCTATCTGGACCTGTGCCGCTCCCTTGTTATCGTTTATCGATTAACCACCCAACTTCCCGGGTTCCGGCAAGGGCCGCACACACACCGTGAGCCCCCCCTTCTCTCGGCAAATCCCTTGGAATGTAGTAGTACTAGTATCCTCGAGCTCTGTACCCCTCACGTTACAGCCTATCCTTGAATGCCAGTGTTTCAGGTTCCTCTCCCTCGTGGGCGCGCTGACCAAAGCGAAGGTGAAATAGAGTGATGCAACCTCAACGCCAGAAACACGCGTCAAGCAAGGCACGAAGGCGTTGTCCAGATCAGTAGAAGTAGGCGCCTGGTTAAAAAAAAAAATGAAGCACTTCTGTACCATCACGTTCACAACACACGCTCAAAATTTCAGTCGCTCATGGTACTCGGATGAAGAGAACGATGGACTCCTATTATGCTACCCAGGAAAGAGACTAGACTGGCGTTTGAGGACATTGTTTTTTGTAGATCATTTTCCATTTCGCGTAGACCATGATTTCCCGTCCACAGAGAAATAAGGAAGGGGGAAAAAGAAGAAACGAACAAGAGTATTTTCCCGATGCCTGTTTTTTTCTCGAATCCTCTCCCTCTTCTGCAACAGACAGCAGAAGGCAGTTTCCATTTGCTGTTGCCGATATTGTATGAATGAGCGTTACCAAATACAAAGCAGATGATGCAAGCTTGTCATGACGATGATGGTGATGATGTCCGAAAGAGAGACGGCAAAAAAAAAAAAAAGAGAAAAGAGAAACAAAGAGGAAAAACGAGCGAGGTCAACACAAAGTAACAACAACTACGACAACAACATCGCACTCAGAGTGCTGCCGTCCCGTCTCACATCAAGCAAGTTCTCTATCTCACCTCACCCCATCCTCCCCATCACACCCTCAACTCGCCCTCCCCCTTGTTCCCCTTCCTCGCCTCAACCACCACCCCCTTCACACCCACCACCCCATCCCCGTCCCCGCCAACCCCCTTACACGGCCCCACCCTCACCGTCACCGTCACCGGCGTCCCACCCTCACCCCCCATGGCCATCACGCCCGGCGTCCACCTCCCACCAAACGTGCCCACCCTCTCCCCGGGCACCGCCTCGACGACGGCCTCGCCCGCCACCAGCACCGCGACCGCGCACCTGGCGCGCGCGTCCATCTGGCTCGCTTCGGCGCGCACGTCGTACGCGACGCCCTGCTTGAACGCGCGGGGGTTGATCGTCTGCGTCAGGTCGAGCACGGCGCCGGGGTCTTGGAGGACGACGTTGATGCCGCCGGCACTGCTACCGTCGTTGTTGTTGGAGGAGGAGGAGGCCGGGACGGCGAAGGCGGCGTTACTGTCGGTGTGGATGTGCCAGGAGGTGGGGGAGTCGGAGTCGGAGGCGGTGGCGGTGGAGGTGGAGATGGCGTCGAAGGCGGTGAAGGAGGGGTTGGCTAGGAGGTTATTGGGGGAGGCGGGCGCGGTGGTGTCGCGTTTTGCGTAGGGGGGTGGTGGTGGGGAGGCGTAGGTGGTGGTTGTGGCGGTGGCGACGACGGAGGTCGATGTCGATGTTGAGGATGGCGGTGCGGCGGTGCTGCTGCTGCTGCTCGTGTCTTCGGCGAAGCTGCCGGTGCGGGCGGCGTTGGTGGCTGTTCCGGGGCTTTCGCTGGTGTCGGTGCCTGTTGTTGCGGGGAGGACGGATGTCGCGGTCGAAGAGGTTAGCGTGACGGTGGATGTCTCGGACGAGGTCGATGTGGATGTGGATGTCGTGGTGAGGGTTCCCGTCGAGAAGGTGGAGGGTGCGGAGGATGAAGAGGAGCAGTCGCTGGCACAGACGGAAACAGTTGTTGCAAACTGGGTGACTGTAGCAGTCACTGTGACGGCCGGCAAGGTGACGGTGGTATCAACGCATGAAGAGCTTGGGGCTGTCGGGGATGCGGACAGTGTGCCGTTGATCGAGGGGACTGGGCTGCCACTGCTCGGCAAAGCTGTCGATGCGGCGGCTTCACCAGTGCGGGGGGCTTCCGTACTTGACAGAGGCGTAGTAGCGTTAGCTGACGGCGCCGGGACGCCAGTCGACGCACCAGTACCAAGCAGAGAAGTGCTATTGGCTGTGTTCGAGGGGGCATAGCTCGGTCCGGTGCCGATGAGGGTAGGGAGGCTTCCCGGGATGGTACCCCCGGTGCTCAACAATGGCAGGGTGGCATTAGCAGATGGCGTGGGGGAGCCGCTCGTTACCCCAGTGGCAACAGGAAGGGCAGTTGAGTTGACCGAATTCACAGGCGCACCGCTGCTCGGGCCCGTGCCCGAGAGTGTGGTCGAGAAGGCTCCGTTACGGTTATCTTGTGTGCTTGACAAAGACTCCGTGGCGTTTGCGGATGACGAAGGGACGCCAGTCGAAGCGCCCGTTCCCACAGACGCAGTGGAGTTGATGGAAGCTGTAGGGATGCTGCTCGAAGCGGCTGTGCCAGTAGGTACAGTGGCATTAGCAGAATTGACAGGCGCCCCACTGCTCGGACCGGTGGCCAAAAGAGTAGAGGAGTAGTCACCATTGCGGTTACCCTGAGTGCTCGACAAGGACTCGGTTGAGTTCGCAGAAGCTGTAGGGATACTACTCGAAGCGGCCGTCCCCGTACCCGCAGGTGCAGTAGAGTTCGCAGAAGCTGTAGGGATGCTGCTCGAAGCACCCGTGCCAACAGGTGCAGTGGAGTTTGCAGAGTTAACGGGCGCCCCACTGCTTGGGCCGGTGGCCAAAGGTGCGGTAGGAGTGTAGTCACCATTGCGGTTGCCCTGGGTGCTCGATAGAGACTCGGTAGCATTCGCAGACGGTGTAGCGATACTGCTCGAAGCGCCTGTGCCCACAGGTGCAGTGGAGTTGGCCGAGTTAACGGGTGCTCCACTGCTCGGGCCGGTTGCCAAGGGTGCAGAAGTAGTAGAGAAGGCACCGCTACGACCAGCCTCGGTGCTTGACAAAGACTCGCTCGAGTTCCCAGATGGTGTTGGCATGCTGCTTGAAGCACCAGTGCCGACGGGTGCAGTAGAGTTGGCTGAGTTGACAGGTGCTCCGCTACTGGGGCCGGTGCCCAAAGGCGCAGTGGTAGTTGAGAAGGCACCGTTCCGATCACCTTCAGTGCTCGATAAAGATTCGGTCGAGTTTGCTGAGGGGCTAGGGATCGATCCACTAGAAGCTCCAGTGCCACTGGGCAAAGTAGAGTTTGATGATGAAGGAGCATATGCGGGAGCAGTGCCTAGAGTCGACGGTCGCAGGCGCGTGTTGGGGATTAGTGCAATGGTTCTCCCAGTCGGCACAGTCGAGTTTGCTCCAGGGGAGCCCGTGGAGGCAGTGCCCAACGGCGAGGTGGTCGAGAAAGCACCCGTGCGTGGACCCTCGCTAGTCGACAAAGACTCTGTAGAGTTCGCAGGTGAGCTGGGCCCTGTGCCCGGAGCAGACGTTGCGTTTCCACTAGCGTAGGTAGGAGCAGTTCCCAAAGGCGAGGTCGTTGAGAAATCACCCGTCCGGGGACCCTCGCTAGTCGACAGCGACTCAGATGAGTTTGCAGGAGCGCTAGGTGCCGTGGGAAGAGTCGATGTCGCATTCGCACTAGCGGAGGTAGGAGCAGTTCCTGACGGAGCGCTGGTGGAGAAAGCACCCGTGCCAGACAAAGGAGCAGTCGAATTTGCCGAAGAACTGGGGCCAGTGCCAACGGGAGAGGTAGAGTTCGACCCAGACGGAACACCAGAAGTACTTGAAACTGAATTGACGGGTGTGGTTGTAGATGCAAAGTTACCAGTACGCTGACCCTCAGTTCCCGTCCCGGCTGGGACAGTTGAGTTCCCGGGAGCGTTTGTGGACGAAGGAACAGTACCCGCCGGGCCTGTAGTGGGAGGAGAGGTTGCGTTTGCGGATGGCGCTGGGAAGCCGCTGCTCCCTGTTCCAAGCGGGACGGATTCAGAGGCAGATCCAGTCCGCGCGTTGGAAGTGCTCGAGAGAGACTCCACTGGGATAGTCGGGACCTCATACGTTGGGAAAGCATTGGTAGAGTTGGACGAAGGAACTGGAGCGCCGCTGCTAGCTCCGCTCGTCCCTGTTGTTGTAGTCGTGGTAGAATAGGCACCGGTCCTGGGGCCTTCAGAAGTAGAGAGGGATGCCGTCGAGTTGGGTCCTGTAGCGTGCGGTAGCAGCGCAGTGGCGCCACTGCCGGTGACCAAGGTACCGTTCGACGGAGCAACTACCGTCGATGTTACATTGAGAAGTGTCGTGGTGGTGACATCAACGCTCGAGCCCGTAGTAGCCGAGCCCGTGCGGTCGCCTGCAGATGTGGTCAAAGACTCTGTTGCTGGAGTGGTTCCGTTCTGTGAGTTTGAAGGGACGCCACTGGAGGGGCCTCCTGTGGACGCTGAACCAGTGCGGGCACCTTCAGATGTACTCAACGACTCCGTTGCCGGGACTGTGCCATTCGGCGAGTTATAGGGTAAACCACTCGATGGACTGCCCGTGGTCGCCGATCCGGTGCGAGCGCCTTCAGATGTGCTCAAAGACTCAGTGGCTGGCACAGTGCCGTTCGGCGAGCTCGAGGGCAACCCGCTCGATGGAGCTCCCGTGGTTGCTGAACCAGTACGAGCGCCTCCAGATGTAGTCAAAGACTCCGTTGCTGGAGTCGTGCCATTCGGTGAGCTCGAAGGTACGCCACTTGAAGGCCCTCCCGTGGTCGCTGAACCGGTGCGAGCGCCTTCAGACGTACTCAAAGTCTCAGTTGCCGGCACAGTGCCATTCGGCGAGCTGGAGGGCAGACCACTCGAGGGAGCCCCTGTAGTCGCTGAGCCGGTGCGAGCGCCTTCAGACGTGGTCAGAGACTCCGTCGCCGGGACAGTGCCGTTGGAAGAACCTGAAGGAAGACCGCTCGAGGCAGGCAGCTCGTAGGTTGGACTCGTTGCCTCACCGGTCCGCTCACCAGCGGTGCTGCTTAAAGTTTCTGTGCCGGTAGTCGTTGTTGCGTTGGATGAAGGCCCAGGCACGCCGCTCGAGGGACCCGAAGTGTTCGGCCCTGTACCAGTCGCTGCAGTCCCAGTGCGCTCGCCTTCGGTGCTGCTCAGAGTTTCGGAAGTGGTGGTTCCGTTGGAGGATGACGTGGGAAGACCACTTGAAGGAACCGACGGGCTTGCTTCACCACCTGTTGTTGCACTGCCGGTCCGCCCGCCTTCGGTGCTGCTCAACGTCTCACTTGAAGCGGCGGTGGTACCGTTGGAAGGCTGAGTGGGAAGGCCACTTGACGGGGCTGTCACGCTCGATCCACTGCCTGTCGTTGCTGTGCCTGTACGCTGACCTTCGGTGCTGCTTAGATTCTCACTTGAGGTGGCTGTTCCGTTATACGATGCGGAGCTAACAGGGACAGCACTCGTATATGTAACCACAGTCGTAAGGGATCCATTGGTTTGGGTGGTGATGAAAGTGCCAGTGCGAAGGCCAGAGTCTCCGCTGAAAGTAAAAGTTCCAGTTCCCGTGCCGCTGCCAACCGCAGTCGAGTTCGAGGGAGCCGATTCGGTTGAGCCACCCGTCTCCGTCGCACTCGATTCGTCGACCCGGCTGGAGACGACAATAAATGAACTCGAAGTCAAGACGGTCTCGCTAGGAACCAGAATAGTCTCTCCGCCCGCGCCAGTAGATGTGGAGGTTGATACATTCGATGTCACTACAGTAACTGCCGTGCTCACAGTGAGTCTAGTTGTCAATGTGCTGGAAATTGTTGACAGCTCAGAGGTGGTTGCAGAAGCAGGGCCCGATTCGGATGAGCCACCAGTAGCAGTCGAGTTAGTCGTGGCGCTGGACTCAGTTGAAGCCGTACCGGTGCGCTCATCCTGAGTGCTGCTCAGCGATTCCCCGGTGGTCGGCGCAGATTCGCTAGATCCGCCAGTTGCGATCGAGGTGATGGTGGAGGTCAGTTCCGTAGTCACACCAGAAACTACTGTGGTCTCGACGGCCGTTGACGTGATGGTTGAGTTGCTTGGCGCAGATTCACCTGACCCACCAGTCGCGGTAGTCGATCCGGTAGCAGCCAGTTCCGTCGACTCGCCCGTTGCGGTCGAAGTGATCGTAGCTGTCAAAACCGTCGTTGAGCCAGAGATGACCGTAGTGCCAGTAGTCGTTGTTGTGACTGTCGAGTTACTCGGGGATCCGCTGGGGCTGGACTCTGCTGAGCCACCCGTTGCAGTCGAAGTAAGCGTGGAAACCACCTCGGTCGTCACCCCGGAGATGACAGTGGTGGCGGTGCTTTCAGTTGTGATTGTTGTTGGGCTGCTCTCCTCCGAGCTGCCGGTAGCAGTGGAAGTGAGCGTAGAAACCACTTCGGTTGTCTCGCCGGAAATCACCGAGGTCCCGGTTGAAGTGGTTGTGAGGGTGGTTTCAGGAGCAGAGATGCCCGAGCCACCCGTTGCATTGGAGGTCGAGGTAGCTTCGATAACAGTCACAAGACTAGCGGACGTAGAGCTGTACGTGTACTCCTCAACAAGAGTGGAGCCTCCTGAAACGATAGTCGTGTTGAACTTTCCAACAAGGCCCGTGGCGGCCGTGGGAATGACCACCTTGCGGGTACTGGTGGAAGTTGCCGAGCCGCCTGTGGTGATTGTCGCGCCGGGTGCGTACTCAGTCCCTCCAGAAGCCTCAACTATGATTGATCCATCCGAGGTAAAAGTTCGGAGGCCGGTCACGGTTCCAGTCGAGGTCACGGTGCTCACGATCGTAGTTGCAGGGACGGTGATGAGGTCGGTATTGGTAAACACAGCAGTATTGTTGTAGGTACACACTCGCTGGTTCGTCGCGGCGTACGCGTACTGGGAGGTCCAAGACATGTGTACAGTACCTCCGTCGTCCGTGTAAACCGTGGAGAAGTACGTCGATGACGCACTCTCGGTAGAGTCATAAGGGCCGCACTGGGGGATGGCAGACGTCGTCGAGAGCGAGACGGTGGTGGTCGTGAGCGTGAAGTCGGACGGAGCTGACGTGAAAGTCGCATTTCCCGTGTTGTTGAATTCACCGACACGGTACAGCTCGCCGGAAACAGTGCCAGGAGATGCGACAGACAGGTCGCTAGTGATGCTTCTCTTCAAGTAACAACGGCCGTTCTTGAAAACAAACCCTTTGCAGACAGCAGCGTTGGCTCCCTGGCTGTATGTCGAGCAGAGAGCCGCACATTCAGCCGAATCATCCGCGGGCTGCTCAAGAGCAGTTTTATCGGTGAAGTCCAGGCCACAGTGGATCCGGTAAGCGTAAGTTTGGCTATTCAGGACATAGTTCTTCACTGATTCGTCGTCCGCTGGGCAGCTGACGCCTTCTCCAATGGGAATGCCAGTAGATTCGGGTCCTGTGCCAGTGGCAGTGGCAGAACCGCTAGCTCCTGCTGAACTTGACTCCTGGCCAGCTGTCACGGTGACGACCTCGTGGAAGACGATACTGCTGTTCGAGGTCCTTGTCGTCCTTGCAAAAGCAGCGATTGTAACAGTAGACTTCTTCTCAGTCAGCGTCGCACACGTATGAAAATATTCTGGGGACGCACGTTAGGAGGGCCAGACAGAGTCTGAGTAGTGGTTCCTGGCGTCGGCAGGCCAAGGCAATCACAAGCACTCGACAAACCCGAGCTGATTGAATTCAAAGCGGTGGCAGTGGAGTCAAAAGAGGAACTTTCTTCCAAGTTGCGTATGAAATTGCGGATGGCCTCAGCATCGGCCAGTCTTTTTGCAAGTTCAGGGCCAGGTGTGGGCTCTGGCGCTCTTGCGGCAAGCGATGTCGGCGTGACTGTGCTGGTGCTGGTAACGGTAACGCTGACAATGTTATTTACGGTGGCGACACGAGTAGAAGTGGCCTGGGTGACGGTGCTGCATTGAGGATCAGTCAAGAGGAACACTGCACCGAACTTCTTGATTGACGTACGAGACGGGGGTGACAACGACATGGACGGTGTCGGTAGGTCGTCCCAGCAAAGTTGCGCACAGTTCAGGGGCGGACGTGTGGGTGGAGAGGATCTGATAGTAGTCGTTTGATGGTACGCAGAAGTCGTCTTGACGCTTTCCGAAGAGATTGAAGTAGTCCAGGAAGCCCTTTCTCAGGCCTGCAGGCGCCGGACTCCTTCGGTCTGCAACGGCAGCATCGGTCACAGCAAAGGAAAGGCTGACGGCCAAAGCCGCGAGGGGAGAGCGAGCGAACAGCATGCTGAGCATTCAAAACGAATGGCGAATGCTCGAGCACGATCAAGGAGCGTCGGCGTCGACGATGGTGAAGAGGCACTTGGGAGCGGCATCCAAAATGCTTTATACAGACGGCAAAGCTAAGACAGCACACGGCTTCAACCTTGTGCCGCAGCCGGAAGGGCCTTCATGGTGGAGAAAACTGTGCCTTGCAGAGCCAATCGCCTTGCTCGCCATTTCGTGACTCGCCGCGGTCGTACTCGCGACGCGTGCGCGAGGCATCTACGTAGGGGCAGGACGAGAGCAAGCTGAGACTAGCCTGCTCTCGCTCAGAAATGATCATGGTGGTTCAAAGAAAGTGGTGTAGAGCAGGCGTAACGGGGGGTGATCTCCCCATTCTTGGTAACCAGGAGGCGTGTCTGGGAGCAGCGCCCTTGCTTGGTCGACTCCTTCGACCTGATCAGACCTGGGAGAACAAGGAGATGTTGCACTCTTGATCTAGTTTCTCGTATCTTCCACAAAGGGGGACGCGAATGGTGCGCGGCCAACGCGCGCGACGCGTCCAAGGGCGCCCAAAGGCATGGACATATGCAGGAACAGCGCGGAGCAAACGGCGGGGCGGCACGACGTGAGCGCAACATCGAGAAATAGAGACACCGCCGAGACGTCGGCATACAAGCTTCGGAGGTACGCCGACTCAGCCCGCGGCGCTGCGCTGTTGGAGGCGCATACCGGAGGCGTTTTCTGCACCACGGGGCGTGCGCCCGGCTGACCGACGGAGAACCAGGTCGTTGGGGACGGGCGATCGGCCGCGACGGTCGGCGTCTGGGCCGCGCGGAATGCAGCAGGCCATAAGGGCGTGACGGCGCGGTGTCGACGGTGATGGTGGTGGCTGGCGCAGCGTTGCGTCGGCTGGCAGCGGCACGGCCGCCGACGGGCTCCTGCACGCCCGAACCGTCAAGCGAAACCTCATAATCAAACATTCTGTTCCAACCTCACCTCACTGCCCAAGCTCCCCAGCAGCTCCCTGAACAAGAGCGTGCCCGCAATCCGGCCGCCGTCTTGCGTTCTGCCTCCAGCGGTCGCCGGCCCGTGCAAGCCACCCTAACACCAGCTCGCTGAGGCCGCGCTCCCCTGCCCACGTCCTCGCAGCCACACCCCGTTACAGACCTCATTCCAGATGGGCATCTGCGCTTCGTGCCTAGGCCTTGGCCGCAGGCCTCAACACGATGAGGTAAGAGCGACCCCATCATCAACCATGCCCGCCTGTGCGACTGACCTCCGCCCTTACGCACAGCGCTCCGAAGCCTCGCACCTCCTCGGTCCCGACCAATACCAGCACCAGTACGGCGCCGTTGCCCAACAAGGCCCGCACATGGGCATGAGCGCTCCTCAGCCCGACCCTGAGGAAATCAGGCGCCAGCGGGATGCCCTCGAGCGCATCTGCGCTCAGACATCCGAGTAGGCCCCCACCTCCAACTGGTGCCCGCAGCCGCTGCTAACCTTTCCTCTCCCTTGGTAGCAAGTTGATTGATGTTTCGCAATCCGCCCACCCCGACGAAGGCCACAAGATGCACAGCGAATACCATCGTCTCTTCATGGAGCGCTTCCCCGCCGTGTCCCACCCCGAAGACAGCCGGCCGTCGTCCTCTGGAACCGCCGTTGACAATGATGAAACCGCCTGGCTGGCCGAAGTCACAAAGGCGCAGGGCGACGAGGGCGACTGGGAGCACGTCAAGGTCATTGACAACGGCTCCCTCACCATCCAATTCGACGAAGTCCTGGGCCTGGATCGCAGATCTGCTCCCTCGCCTGTCAGGCTATAAACTCATCCCCCGGATCCGTCAACTCTCCCGAGATCTACGTGCACATCCGTCCCCTTGCGGGCCTTTGGCCCCGCACTCACCGGTCGATATTCTCCTTGGTTAAGTCATTGAATCTGTTCAGAGGCTCCGGATAGATTCCGTTGCTAGAGTTTTCCTTTGTAGTATTATACGGCGCTACGGCGCTTCCCAGGATGATACCTCCGGCGATTTGGCGCTCCCTTGTTCCCTCTGTTATTTCTCTTCTGGTTTTTCTGCAATCGCGAAAAGATATACCCAGAGTTGTTGGTTTTATAGCAGATATCGTAATGTATTTCGTTCGTCAGCTTGTAGCTCACCGATTTCCTAACCCGATTGCTTAACCATCTCGTTTTCTCCACATCAAGAACTAACCCGCCCAGTGCTTGTGCAACGGTTGCGAGGGTTGTCTAATACCCGTATCATGAAACAGACAGCATTCTTTGGACAAAGCGCCAAGATTGAGATCGACGTTCGCCTAGTGCACATGGGCGTCCGGCGTAAGGGTTTACCTGTGGTATAACTCTGGAGGTCAAACACCCAATCAAATCAAATAAGCTCTAACCGAAATGCTCTTCCTTTGCAGCACCTTTTTCCTTTTTCGATGCTAAGGTTTCAAGTTCAAGCTGTCGTGTCACGCAGCCTCGAGCAGAAGAGGTGCAAAGCATGCCCTTTCACCTTCTCTGCAAACGGTTGTGCACTTGTTATTCGCCATTACGCCATCTAAAGTGAGTTTGTCTTTTCACATGACTGACATGACGTTCAGAAGCAGCACGTGTTCATACGTTCAGACATCTCGTGATCCCGCATTGGAGGACAATGCTTATTTGACTTTCCGTGTCTGATCCATTGTTCTTCTTTTACCCAACAGGTAAGCAGCAGGAATCTGTTGGTGGACATCACCGCGAATTAGGATGCACGGCTTCTACGCCCTATCAGCAGAGGAAATTCCGTTGGCTGTCTTTCTCTGCCTCGGATCAGACTTTGACTGTGGAGCCAATGGTGTCACCCGCGCGTCCCTGATGCGATGCTGCTGAAGAATAATATTGGGTACAATTAGAACCAAGCTAAGCTTCGACGCAACGGGAACTATGGAGCTCTCACGGCGAGCAAACTGACGCTTCCGAGCCATCAACATAAAAAGATTTGGACCCCTTGCTCTACATCAAGAAAAGAAGGGGTCTAGGAAGCTGTGACCAGCATCAAAATTGCCTTAGGCAGGAATAGGGTTAGCGCTTCCGAGCGGATGTGCGTCACAGCTTAGATCGGCGGGCGGCGACGGCGGCGGCGGGGAGCGCGGAGGTTTTCGAAAAAGTCAGCCCAAGTAGCTGGAGCTGTGCACCACTCCCACAAGCTCTGCACAATGTCCGCGTCCGCAGGCGCAAGCATGGATCTCGATGCGCCTGCCCGTGGCTCGGACGACCCTGCGACCCCGGAAACAATCGAACAGCGAACGCCCTCACCGTCGCGCGACAGCCTAGCCGACCCGTACACCACGCAACTGCGCCTCCTCCTCCAGCCATGGATCGTCCACTTCAAATCGCCCGGCTACATCAAGCATGACATGATGGCGATGCTACAAGATATTTGCAAGAAGACTTTGCGCCGCACCGTCAGAGAACCCGAGGTGCGGCGCGCAATTGGCTCCAACGCAAACTTCTGGCGTGACGTCTGCGAGCTGCTCGAGAATGCAGTGCCATCGCTCGAGCATCGCTCGTTTGCGCCCGCTGACCCGCAAGCGCCCGAGTTCGAGGGCGCTTCTGGCACCTTGATCGCAGCCAATTATTCGAACCTCATGAGAGACCTCGAGCGTCTCAACGACCTCGTCTCGATCGCGCGCAACGTTCTCACGACCGGGGAGATCGCTCAGGACCTGGCGGCCGCCAAAGCGCAGTTCGACCAGGAAATATTCAAGCTCATCAGCGTCTGTGTAAAGGTGACCGCGCGTGGGTTTGACGGAGATGCCGGCACAGCAGACGAGCAAAAGTGGCAAGAGGTTGTCAACATGTACAAAAAGCTCCTCATCACTTGTCTCCAGTTCCTCAACAACCTCGTCGCTCGAAACGAACGTCGGAAGCTCATGCTTTGGGTCGAACTGTTCGACAGCTCCCGCGACGCCACCCTGCCACCGACCGAGGAGCTTGCGTCTCTCTCACTCGCTACCACACCGAAGTCTGCGGGTGCCTTTGGCGAAGAAGTCGCATCGTTCGGCTCCGGAACCCACCAGCCCGCATCGTCGCCATTTCTACTATATATTGGGAAGGTTGGCATGGAGGTCAAACGGGAGCTGGTGGCCCGAGGAGAGAAGTCCGGCGCGACGGAAATTGCGGCCGAGTGCAAGAAACGATGGCAAGAGATGCCGCAGGAAGCCCGTGATGTATGTGTCCTCCCTCGTTTAGCAGAGTCTCGATTGACTGCTATGGTCTCACAGGCAGTAACCTTGGTGCAGGAATGGCATACTCTGTACAGTGATCTGATTGCAAAGTACCGCCACGACGTTAACTTGCTTAGGTCGGTGAAGCTTCCGCCCGAACCCAAGGCCATCGATCCCAATGCGACCCAGGAGGAGAACGTTGCTGCTCTTGCCGCCAGCATAAACCAGCTGCAAATGGAAGTGGAGCGCATGAAGAAAGCCATGCTCACCCCGTCCTCAAAGACCCCTACTGCTCCCTCGGTCCAGCCTCAGGTGTCTGCAAGCGACCTCCTGAAGAACTACCCCAACACGCCGTCGCGGGCCGATTTGCAGGACCTCAAGATGCCCCTCGGCGCTGAGCCTCAAGATCCCCCGCCTGCCACTGAAGCCGATTTCCGTATGACTTACAACGCTGCTTATGGCGCCGACATCCTGCAGAACGGCAAGGACGATCTCATGAAACGCCTCGAGACATTTCCTGAACGGGTACCACCTCAGAATACTTCCGAGGTCTCTCCATCTTCTCCGGTCATGTCACCCGCGTCTCCGAACGCCACCGAACCTGCCGAGGACATTGGGGACGAGGTCAGCGAAGAGGAAGACAGCGAAGACGAAGACTACGTGGTACCTGGCGATGATGGACGAGGCTTGCTGACTGATGTGCCGCTAATTCTGGGCCCCTCAGAAATCGAGGTGCTGCCCATGATCATCATGTCCGGTATCGTGCCGCCAGCTGAAGGGGCTCCCGGCTACGGAACAGCAGCGGCGGAGGTCGCAGCTATCAAGAACATGCATACAGTACGCTGCCATCTCCTGCTTGCTCAAGACAATGGCAGAAACTTATTGCGCGAGCTCCTCATATTCGTGGCCGCATGGGATTTGCGTGAGGAAGAGCTGTATTTCAAGTTTATGGTCAAGATCATGGAGGCAATCCTGACCAACGGGCTGATGCCCTTCTCCTACCATGCCTTCAGAGAGTACGTGTCCATCCCTCATCGTTTGTAGGAACCACTAGCTAACATACTGCAGATCCAAGGACATCATCTCTCCCGCCCAAGCAGTAATCATGAAGCTGCTCACAAACATCTTCAAAGCTCGTCAGACTCAAGCTCAAAGTGCCGTCGCGAAAGAGGATGCAACTACCTATCCTCTGCGTGTCGACGTGCATATGGTCAACTTTTTGTTCACCGAGTTTCGGCGCCACATCATTCCTCAAACGTGCGCGCTCATCTTCCTGCAGGGAAAGATCAGAGCGGGACATGCGCATCCCGAGGACTTTCCACTCAACTTGTGGGACATGGAACGGATGTACGAGGGCGTCTACCAGTATCTGGAGTTCTTTGCCATTCTCACCGAACACGATGTGTGGAAGAAGATGATGGCCGACTGGGAAATCACCAGCGAACTTGTCACTCTCCTCAAGGAACTCGACGCCGCCATACCCAAGGGTACGCTCTTGGCACGGAAGCCTCCGGCGATCCCGGATCTTCGCACATCACCAAACCAGCAGGTTCCGCCGCCAGAGCCCGCAAGCACAGCCCCTGCGCCAGTCGCAGTTGAGCGTCCTTACGACGTCAACGCTCCTTCGATCAGTTCGACCGCAGCAGCCATACCATCAGAACCCTATGCGCCAGCATCCAACAGCCAGTACGTGGATGAGCCAGGCGAGGAACCATCTGATTTTGAATGGCGCAATCTCAAGAAGCTTACCGTTTTGGTGCTTACGTCGCTTGTATGGAAATCACGGAAAGTGCAGGACCAAGTCCGGACCCACAAGGGGATTGAGGCCATCCTCTCCTGCTGCCAGTATGACGAGCACAACCCTTACATCAAGGAGCACGCCATCATGTGCCTGAGGTTCCTTCTGGAGGGCAACAAGGAAAACCAAGACCTGATTCGCGAGCTCGAGCCCAAGGGAGCGGTGCCCAATGAAGTCCTCGACCAGCACGGATATGAGACATTCTGGGACCAGAGAGGCCAGGTGGGCCTACGACGCAAGGACGGAGGAGCGGCTGCGAGCGCAAAGGCCGCGGCGGCGGCTGTGCAGGCGGCCGCTGATGCCGCAGGGATTGGGAGCAGCGGCAACCAGGACGGAGAGAAGAGGAAGCCGCCACAGATCGGGTCGGGCCGCCTCGGTGAGCCGCCGAATCTGGACCTCCTGATGCAGCAGGTGATGCGTGATCTCCCGGCGCAGGTGACGGGAGCGCGCCAGGATGCGGAGAAGGCTGCGGCGCTGGCGAAGCTTGACAAGACGCTCAAGGATGGAAAGTGAGGCGTCCGTCTCAGGCATCTTTGCATCCTTGCCTTGCTGGCTCTGGTACCGATTGGCTGGCGCGTGTGGAGTTACTGCTTAATCTTGAGGAGGATATATGGGACTGGTGGTTCGGGCTGGCGTCATGGTGGAATTGTCTGATCTGATGCATGAATGAGATAGAGAGGCGGGGGTGGCGGACACTATCAGTGTGTTGTCTCAGACGCTCCCGTAGGTCTGGTACTCTCGTCTGGGAGCCATATAAAAGGCAGAGCCACGGGCCGCGCTGTCTAGATAGCAGAGTGGTGCAGTACCAACCATCTCGCAAAGACAAGGAAGGTGATATCCAGGTACTTGTAAGTAGCACAAAAAACCAAATCCAGAAATTTCTTCAATCTACGCATTCCTGTCGTGCTACGCTGCAGAATGATCTTCATGGCAAACCGGTACAGAAGCATGCAGGTACGCGGCCGTGGTTGCGGTACCTCACGACGACGGGACTCGGGAAAGGAGCGAGGAGCGATGACTCAGCAAAGGCCAGCAAATCTACCGTCGGTCGCACCCGCCTGTGCGCCTCATCCGCTCGCACGAAAACTAGCCTCAAGTCGCGGCATCATCATCGCCTGACCGTCGCGCGAACGAAAAGGACCACGTCGTCCTTGTTGGGTCCGTCGGGGGCTGCCGAAAAATGGCGTGTGTGCGGAGGTTGGCAGGGCTGAGCAGAGGAACGCGAGATTGTGGGCTGACCCGCCAGCGCTGCGCCCGGTGTCACCCCATCTGCTCGCCACCAGTCTCCTTGGCCCCAGCACCCGCCCGACCGCCCGCTTACCGCCAATCAGGGGTGGAAAAAATAACGCCGCGACGCAAGTAAGCGGCGGAGGAGCCAGGAATGCCCGGAGAAGGAAAAGAGGGCCCGTTCCGCAGGCCGTTTCTGGAGCCAGGCCCTCGGACTCCCCCAAGACGCGCTTACCGGGTTTGCGCACCGGTGGCTCGAGCGGCCACGCTGCCCTTCCCTGCTTTCCCCGGACTTTGCGTTGGTTGGTCGCGTTGGGCTTTGCTGAGCCGCAGAACGCTGGCCCAGGCTCGGGAAGGATTCGCTTCGGCCGCCCTGGCCGTCAGCTGCATCTGCCCTGTTCCCCCATTGCCAATGCGCGGGAGCGAACGGAGCGGAGGGACGCGATGGGGGCCATAGGGCCCCGTTGGGCTCAGGTGATGTTTCTTCCCTTCCACCTTGGTGATCTCCGCGGTGTCGTGATGCTTGGAGTAGGAGTCAGGATTTTCTTCGAGATGGGAACGCAGGGCTGGCTCGTATATATTGAGCCCTGCTGCGCGGCGGTAGGTGAAATCTCCATCACACAACAGGTGAACACAGCAGCAGCAAACCACCACAGCTTCCTTCCGCTTGCAGAAGAAAAACCAACCAACCAACCAAATCAGCAACCACCTCTCCACTCCATTCCGTTTTAGGAAAATCCACACTCAACTCTACAACAACAAATCACAAAGAGACTACAAACTCCCAGTCTCTATCCAAACCAACCAACCAACCAACAAAAACCACAACCACAACCACCACCACAAAAATGAGCTTCCGCGCCTCGCCCATCCGCGCCTTCCTGCGCAGCGCCCGCAACCTCGTGGCAGAGCCGCACCCGCACGGCCGGTACCCGGTCAACCGCGCGCAGATGCACGCCATCAACTACGGCTTCTACGCCAACAAGTTCGCCCGCACCGCCTCGTGGTACGTGCCCGTCGGCACCGCGCTGCTGGGCTGGCCCTTCATGGCCATGTACGTCCTCAAGCGCACCGGCATCTGACTCCTCACGCCCCTGGTCATCGCCGTCGACGGCATGGGGAGGAGCGAGGGCGACTTCGTCAGCGCCGCGTGGGAGGTGTCCGACTGGCAGGACGATGTGAGGAGGGAAGAGGAGAGGAGAGCGCGGAGGAGGGCCGAGGGCGACGCGCTGGATGTGGTGAGCTTGATGGGGAGGATTGAGGCTTGGGCTTGATTTGGATTGGGGTGGCATGGCATGCTTGGGGGCGTTTTTTATTGGGCTGGTTTAATGTCTTGTTGAGTTTTGCCCGACAGGGTGACTCCCCCCCTTTTTTTTTTGTAAATATGACTTGAAAAGTAGTCGGTTTAGACCAAACTGTTCAAAGTATTCGCTCTTCCAGATGCAACTGTGATTAGTCGCTTTAGTTTCTTGCAAATGACTTCTTGAAGATCGCCAGCATGTAATGTGTTGATAGTATATAATTGCGTTCACCTGCGCCTTAGGTCTTTCTTGAAACCAGCAACGTGTGATATGGGGATGTTCCAAGCTTAATGAGAACTAAAAGCACACTTTTGACTTTGTCTGCAGAGTTCGAACGTTTGATCGTTTCATACACCGGCCCCGCAAGATGCTATACTCCATGTAGATTGGCGATCAAAGTAGATATCGCCCAGACATAGAGTAAAGCAGAAAAAGAGCTGCGGAGCCCGGAGATGCTAGCGGCATGACCAGGCGGTATATTGTTTCATGACTTTGCAAGCACTGACCTAGAAGGTAACATTCACTGTCAAAAATAAACCGGTATTGAGACTGCGATGACAGGGGGTTTTTTTTTTTTTGGGAATGGTGACTATTTATTAGACCCCCGAATAAAAACAAAACCGGCTGACAAACTAAAGTCGACATCATTATAATCCTGAGCCTAGCTCATTGGAGCAATTGACATCAATTCATGGAATCAATGAGCTTCGTTCAACATGTGCAGTCAGATTTTCTTTGCATCCATGTCCTCTTTGAGAGACAAAGATTTTTTTCCGCCTTGACGCAACGGCAGATCAGAGGTATCTTTAGGGTCATACATCGGGAGTAACGGATTACTGCAAACCCAGACCGACACGACGCCAGTTGGCAGCCACATCTTGGCAGAGGGTGATAAAGGCATCATCTTCAATGCAACCCACGAAAAAGTCATTGAGCATGTCTTCTCTGTCATTCCGAGGCTGCGCTGCAAAGGACTGAAGGCGCCCGGAAGCATCAGGTTGGGTTGCGGTTCTGAGCAGCTCAGCAAAGCCTTCATCATCTACACAGTCTGGCTTTCTGGTCGCATTAGCTGCTGCTGCTTCGTTGTCCAAGTACGATTTCCTCGGCGGGTACAAAGGCTTGTTTCTGTCAGCGTTGTCAATCAGTGGTCCTCTCAAAGGCGATGCCCCCGGACGTAAGCCCATCAAGCTTTCTGAACTGGGTGTGTGGGATGCCGAAGCTGGCTGTGAGTTGAAGTATTGACTCGTAGAAGACTGAGGAGTGAGTGGGGGCGGCATTCCTGTACTATGCTGGTGGTTATGCTTAGTCGCATTGGGGCGGAGAACATATGTCGGGCCTTTGAGAGGCGGAAGATTAGCAGTAGAAGGGCGGTTGCTTGAGGATGGCGGTCTGCCGCTAGCAGCTTGAACTCCCATGAATGAATCTCCCGATGCGCCACCAGAGCCTTGGGAGTTTGGTCGTAAGAAAGGGAGCTCGCGCCTAGGAGGTATCATGTCCATGAGACTCGGGGCGAGTCCAGCAGCTGGCGCTGTTGAGGGCCGCCGATCACCCTCATCAAGTCCGTTGGGTTTACCGAAAATGGACTGCTCGTTGCTCGTATAGTCTCGCAAGGAGTTCTGTAGTGCGAGACGCCGCATACCAGGCGGAGATGAAGGGTAGTCAGGAACTCCCACGGTGGAAGACTGCGAAAGTTGCACATCCGACATAGCGCTGCTCGGTCGACTTTCTGCAGCAGCCTGTGACGGCGGTAGAACTGAACTGTCTGAAGCTGGCGGTCCGGAGGGAGCTTTGCTTGTGAACATCTTCACGCCTGAGCGCACAACGAGATCGTAGGCAATCTTGGCGTCGCTCATTGAGTTGAAAGTGAGCTGCATGCGCCGAATCTAGGCAATCAGATCAGTTCCATAGAGAGGTCAAGACAGCATTCAAATTTACCTTTTTCGATGATCTCTTGTAAAGAATCCCAAGAGCTGGCTGGTTAGGGCGGATCATGGCCGAGATGGGAAGATCATCATTGCGAAGCGAAGTACCATTTGCCTGCATAGCTGCAAGCTGGGTCTTCGTCTGCTGCACTTTTTGATGCACGTCCAATGAGTCCTGGTAGGAAGAACTGCGTCAGTCAGGCTGCCCAGAAGGGTGTTGACTGACTCATGAGTCAGCCGTACCAACACTTTTCTCCCGATGGTAATCTTGAGGTGCGGCGGAGCAAACGTGAGAGTGAGTCCAGGACTCATTTCATGCTCCCACTCGAAAGGCTTCTCAGCCGTGTCAGTGAACGAGTACTTCCTCAGGCTGATGGATATGTTGGAGGCCATCTGGGCAATCTCCGGCGGCTTCGCAAACATCTGCACCCCAGGCGAGAACGATCGCTGGATGAGGTGAGAGTGGGCGGCCGCTGAGCACGAGGATCGTTCGGTTGAGGTGATGATGCGGGATGCGGTGTTGAGTGCGCAGGCAGAAGGGCGGCTGCGGGCGATTGGAGCTAGTGCCGGTTTGGGAATCGCTGGCGAAACGGGCCCTGGCGCTTTTTGGGCCGGGCGGACATGGGCGTTGCGAAGCAGCGAACGAGCTCAGGCGTCTCAGTCGCATCGCCGCGCATCTCCTCCACCGAGCCTTGACGAGCGCGCGCGTCTCGCCCGGTGCTCATCTCCTCCACACGCGCCATCCTCCCCGCCCCGCGCGCCGGCCGCCCCAATCGCGCGAATCAGCTCAGCCCGCCAGTCACCATGGCGCCAGAGAGGCCGCGCGAATCCTCGATCGAGCACACGCCCGAGTATGACGACTTCATGAACAAGCTCGAAGACTACCACGCAAAAAGAGGGTAAACCCTTTGCCCCTCCCTTGCTTTCCGCCCATCTCTAACCTTGGCCTAGCACCACGCTCGACCGCGAACCGAAAGTCGGTCAACGGCACCTGAACCTGTTTCAACTATACCAACGCGTTTGCGAGGAAGGTGGATACGACAAGGTCTCCGATACCAAGAACAACAAACTGGCCTGGCGCCGCATCGCCGCCGACTTCATACCTCCCGACCAAAACCCCACAACCCAGGCTTTTATCGTCAAGAAGGCCTACTACAAAAACCTTGCGTACGTGCCGTCGGAACGCCGCATCAGTTCCGTCACTAACACAACTCAGAGCGTACGAGATCAAGCATTTCCACGGCAAGGAGCCTCCACCAAAGGAGATTCTCGAGCACGTTTCTGCAAAAGGCGGCGATCTTCTCAGGCGCACCAGGGAGAACTTCTCCGCTTCGTCAAATCGCGAGCTCGAGAGCTTAACGAACGGTCAGGACAAAGACAGCGACGAATCAGAGGAAGAAGCGCAGAAGACACCCAAGGAAGACAAGATGGATATCGATGGGCCACCCGGTAGCACCGGCCGCGTGACTCGAGGTGAGTGGTGCCAGGCGCGTACGCGTTGTTTGGCGACCCATCATTCCTGCGCCCACCCCAAACTCACCAACCTCTCACCATCGGTCTTGCCATGAGCAACTTATCTCCAGCAATGGCTAATCCCCTCTCGACAGCTTTGCGACAAGCCCCGCCCCAGCGTGTTCTCTTCCAGCCGGAGGTCTCGTCAAGACAAACACGCTCCTCGGGCCAGCACAATTCTCCTACGCCCGGTTCATACTCGCAGCCCAATGGCTCCTTCAGCGGAGGCGGTAACAGCATGAGCATCATAGCGAACTATGAGCCGAAGCCGGTCGTTCCTTCCAACGTCAAGCCTGTCATGACGCCCAGCAACAACCCAGAGCACTTCCGCAGCCTCCGCAGCAGGATGACGAGCAGATACGCGAGGCCTCCTCCTCAGAATAAGGGGATGATGCTGCCAGGAAGTAAGTGGTCGCGCGCATCCAAGTGTGTTCCATGCTAACTGCGCACTCACTCTGCAGCTGGCTTTACAGGACCGAATATATATATCAGGGCCTTGCTTTCCCTCCAATCAGGCAGCGTCGAAGAACAAGCGTACGCCCTGCATCACCTCGTAAAAATTTCACACGAGCGAGGAGACAAGTATCGATTTGACGGCTTCCCCGGCCTCGCTGAAGCTCTGATTGACCGGCTTCTCGATGTCAGCACGCTCTTCTACGGTTTTCACTGGGAGATCTGCTATATTGAGGATGAGTCTTTGGAAAGGAACGATACGCTCAATGCGATCAGCGGAACGGCAAAATTGCTCCAGAAAATCCGATCGCACCCGCTGCTGGATTTTACAGACGACGTGCAGACCAGAGAATTCAGCGAGGCGCTTGGCCGCGTCAATGAGGCCGGGCTGGTCATTCGTAATCTTGTGATGCTTGACGCGAATGCTCACTACGTTTCTCAGCTGCCATTGATTCAGGATTTCATCACCATTGCTCTCAATCTTCCTCCCCGGTCTTCTGTCATCGAACTGAAGCACTACGCACTCGAAATCGCCGAGCAGCTGTCGAGGTATTGGATCCTTAACTCGGAGCATCACCTGTATCAGACGCTGCTTGCCCAGCTGGATTCCAGCGATCGTGGGACCATCATTACTGCGCTGCGGGCCTTGTCTCGGATAGCAATGAACGCGAATCCGAGATACGAACTGATCAACGTACCCACCCAGGTCATTCAGCACGTGTGCGAGTGGCTGCTAGTGGAGGACGAGCAGCTCCGTGAAGCATGCTTGGATTTCCTCTATCTTTACACGGCCACGACTGAAAATGTCGAGACATTGATACAGCACACTGACGTCGAAGGGCTCGTGAAGCAGCTAGTCAGGCTGTTGCTTTATAATGCACAGACAATCAAACTGCCAGTCCCGACGAAGGCGCCGGGCAAGTCAGCCAACACGGCGCCTGAGACGGCACCGAAGCTTGCCGCTTCGATCATCGACCAGCTACTGTCCCTCGATGAACCCGATCGTAGCTCACAATGGTTTGTCTCTGGGCTCCTCGTACCTGTACAATCCTAACTTTCGTTGCAGGCTCAAGACGTGCTTTGAAGAGGACCCTTCGGGGGAAATAACGCAGATTGCCCTCTGGACAGCTTACAATGCGGCTTTCCAAGCGCCTATTCAGAAGCTCACGACTCAGCAGCAATCCTCGTCACTGCCCTCTACGCCTGGAAGCACGGCACCCTCTGCAGCCCAGGCAAAGGCACCGAAGCCTATGATGGCCGCCAAAGACTTCATTACCAACGTTTCCAACACGTTCCCCTCAGCCGCCGCGCAAGTCATCACTGCCGGAGGGGTGCAAAAATATACCATCAAGGGTATCCGTCCCCGGACCATTCCCGTGGACCTGAGAAATCGGCCGTACATCAAGTGCCGATGGGTGTCGCCGCCTTCGTTTCCGTCGGGTTCGCAAGCTGGGGGTGAGGAGTGCGGTGAGTTCGTAAAAGAACCGAAGCAGATATGGGAGCATGTCTTGCAGACGCACCTTGGGCTCAGCAAGGACTCGAATGGGAAATGGCAGGTCGAGGAAGCTGCGACCAACGGAGTCAGCGAGGAGAGTGAGACGAAGGAGAAGCCGAAGAAGCTGGACTGCCGGTGGGCAGGCTGCTTGCACTTTGGTAGGGCAGGCGCGGAACCCACGGTCTTCGAGGTCGGGAGGCATGTGCAGACGCATCTTCCGGACAGCTCGGAGAAATCGCAGATCCGGAACCAACATAACCAGCCTGGCAGCCTTGCACCGGAAGCTGGCGGGGCTGTGCAACAGCAGTATTACGGAGCTTTTGGCCCTCTGCGTGGAAATGGCCGGGGAGACCAGAGCAGCGAGATCAGATGGCTCAATACGGCAATGGACGAGCGCAGCGTCGCACAGAGTCTTTCCGGGGCGTCTGCAATGGTGCTACGCAGTCTTGCCAGGCGGCTGAACGCGGTGACGGGGCAAGGGAGCAAGGACACGGGCGAGGACACGGACATGGAGGGTGAAGAGGGGGGCTGGGTACGCAAAGTGTTCGGGCCAGTAAAGGACGATTTGTTCTTCGTCATGGCGCACAACCAATCGCTGAAGGAGGGGATCTTTGATCTCTTGAGGGAGATCAGCAGTGCTGGGGCTTGAGTTGGGAGCAGTCGGCACTGGGTGTACAATAGATGCACAGGCGTTCTGGTTGACTGGATCATGGGCAAGACGGCGGAACGCAGGCATGGGCGTTTCTTCGATTGGAGCAGCACGCGAGCGGCAGGATTCTGAGATTACTCACGGGCTCGAGCCAAGAGGCCGGGCGGTGACGACGCATTTGCAGGCTGGAGGCATAGATGGATTTTATAGCAGCTAATCATAGGTTCCAAGCAAATGAGCCAAGACGCGCAGAGTGCGGATGAGGGCGGGCGAGGGGGCGAGGGCGGAGCGCGTCGCGATAGGGCCATGGCCGGATCAGCCGGGAGCTGGAATTGCCGCGCCATTAAGCGGCCCGTGATTGGTGACGGCTCCAGAGTCCCTTTGACGCGTCGTGAGGCTTAACTCGAGGAGCCTTTTAGCTACCTCGAACAGCGCCTAATTTTAGCCTCTGGCTGTCCGAAGCCAGGCACCCGCCACGACTTCCCTTGCTGCGACACCTTGATAGACAGAGACACGCCCGGCTGCTGCACGGCCGGCTCGACAGGCCTCTCCCAGCGCGCGCAACCCGCCATGCCTCCTCGGCCCCGCAAGGGTCACCGCAAGTCCAGGACCGGCTGCACCAACTGCAAGCGGCGCAAGGTCAAGGTGAGTGCTGCAGGCAGCCCTGATCGCATCACGTCTGGCCGCTCACGTCCCCGCAGTGCGATGAGATAAAGCCCGAGTGTGGGAACTGCGTCAAGCATCGCATAAGATGTGACTACCTGGACTCGACGCTGGCCATGACCCCACAGTCGTCCGCGGCCGACGTCCAAGCATGCGGCTCCACATCGCCGCAAGACGCCAGCATGGCCGACGACGGGATTCCGCCCATTGACCCGCGCTTCATGGGCAGTCCGACGCCACTGCATCACGGCCACGAAGTCAGCCTGGCGCTCAACGTCGTCGACCTGGAGCTGATGTACAACTTCATCACCTCGACGTCGCACACCATGTCGTCCATCCCCGAACTGCGCAACCTGTGGCGGCTCGAGGTGCCGCGCATCGCCTTCCGGCACGACTTCGTGCTGCGCGCGCTGCTGGCCGTGTCGGCCCTGCACATGGCCCAGTTCAAGCAGGACCCCGACGCCCGCGACTTCTACGTGGAGCGCGCCCTGGCCCAGCACCGCCTCAGCCTGCGCGAGCCCATGGCCATGCTGCAGAACCTGTCGGCAGAGAACGGGTCCGCCGTGTTCGTCTTCGCCGTGCTGACGGCCGTGCTGTCCCTCGCGACGCCGCGCCAGCCCAACGACCTGCTGGTCGTGGGCGACGGCGCCGGCGGCATCACCAACTGGCTGTTCCTCCTGCGCGGCGTCAGCTCCGTGGCCGACAGCTCGCGCGAGTGGATCCTGTCGGACAACATCGCCGGCATGGTGCACCGCATCAACGTGCCCGTCCTCGACGCCGAGATGGCCGCGGAGGAGGGCCCGCCGCCCGAGGACGAGGAGCAGGAGCAGCTCAAGACGCTGCGCCGCTTCCTGCAGCGCGACTTTGGCGCCGACGCCGCCGACATTGCCGACGGCGGCAACGGCGTCCCGGACGAGCTGCGCGTCTACCTCGAGGCCACGGACAAGCTGTCGCGCGCCTTCGCGTACTTCTCGCGCTCCAACTCGCGCGCCACCGACAGCGAGGTCCGCGCCATCTTCATCTGGATCTACCGCGTCTCGGACGAGTACCTCGGGCTGCTGACCCAGTTCCGCCCCCACGCCCTGCTCATCTTCGGCTACTACAGCGCCCTGCTGCACCGCCTCGACTCGCTGTGGTGGGTCAAGGGCTGGGGCACCCACCTCATCTCGCTCATCTACGGCCAGCTGGATCCGTATTACCGCGCCTTGCTGCGGTGGCCGATCGAAGAGATCGGCTGGGTGCCGTCGTAGCGGCTTCGACTTCGACTCGGCTTCCCTTTCCTCCTCAACCACGAGAGCGGACATGCCCAGCCGGAATTCTGTTTCAAGCGGGTATTGCATGCAGATCTGCAGGCCTTCGGTCAGCTCGTTGCGCGTCTCTCACACCTCTGTTGTTTTCATCAGTACGTGTGGGCGGACGTTAGCAATACGACTCCGAGCTTGTGTGGCGATTTACCGAAGAGATAAAGTCAAGGAACTGCGCCGGGCCGTCATGCTCGTCGACGGCCATCGCCGAACGCCGATACCGAAGCTCCGTCGTCGCACGGGAGGTTGCTTCGACAAGAATTTAGCGGTAACGGCCACTACAGATGGTTAGCTGGAAGGGCTAAATTCACGATCTGATCTGCGAACGAAATGCATGGAGAATAGGCTTCAATTTCTTGAACATTATTGGGATTGGTAGACAGGGGCTAGTATGGTGCCGAACAAGGAAGGAGTTTGAACTGGAGTAAGAGACGAGAGATATCAACGGATCCACAGATCCAGTCACGTCATAGCAGCATTCTCGGGCCGTGTAAGAGCAGCAATACACATCGCCGTCCGTTTTCAAGAGCCCTGCCGATCAGGTTCGATCTTGGACGCACATTCGCTTCTTGCATGGGAACTGGAGGCTTGCCAAGCTTCACCACAAAGACTTCCCGAATCGGATTGGATGCGCGGATTCACAGCTGCTGCCGACAGAAGACACAATCAATAGCAACTGTGTTCTGAGCACGAAGTTGATTCTCAAACTTCAAGGACACGCAGCTCGTCGCTGCGACAAGATTTAAAAAAAAAAAAGAAATTTCACATCATCGAAAGGCAGTCTATCTGGTGCTCGTAAACCCTTTCTGTGACCAAGGTACTAATCGCGTCTCTGAATAATGGCTGCTCCTTCCTCGGTACACCACGCCAAACTTTTGAACAACACGTCTCGGAAACTCCAGCAAACGCTGAGACGTCACTAGCCTCCATCGCTCGTTGTAGTGAAAGCTCAGACAGTCGCGTGCAGCAGCTTGACTGTGGCCATCAGGTGGAGCGTTGTGCTTCTGCTTCTGCCGGGAAAGACCGCATCGAGACCGTGGAGGTGCGCCTAGGCTGTAGAGGAGGAGGAGAAAGAAGTTGAATTTCCCAAGGACCTTAGAGAAGAGGGCGTTTGTGCTGGCGCCGTTGGCTGTGGCAAAGGTGTTCATGGTAGAGAGTTGGAAACTGTAGGCGTCCTGTATTGATGATATATGTTGATGATTGTCATCAAGCAGTTCTGATATTGATGTGCATATAAGTGGGCATGTGGTACCTGGAAATAGCAAGGTTCCGACATTGCGGGAGAACAGGGAAGCAACAAAAGTAACCACTTTGTAGTATGGTCAATCGTCCGTCCATTTGAGCGCACGCGATTGGCTTAGGACGGACGATTGACCACACTGACAGCTTGTAAATGGAATTTTGGCTGGATAAGCCTTTGCGCCTCCCACTTGCTATCTTGATCATACGACAAGCTATGTTAGCCCGGCATGAGCATAAATTACTTCTCGCCCGAAACCGTTTTTTCGCTTTAGCTCACCAAATCAACCTGCATATGATAACAGTTTTATTGTTGATATGTATACTTGGGGTAGGAGTCTCGATTCTTCGATTACCAAACTGTATTCTGACTTTTTGTATGGAGAGCATTAATAGGTAATCGGACTGTACCATTGAATCGTGATGATGCTGGTCATCTTCCTTGATTGTCACCGTATCCGCAGGTAGTGACGTGCTGGATTCACGTTTCTTGTGCCCCTTCCGAGAGGAATTCGCCCAAAGTTTCCGGTTGGATTAACTTGTGTTACTGCAGACGTCGAGTCCATCCCTGGTAGAACATTGGACCCTTTCGCTGTGCTCCCGTGAGAACACCGTGCCATTTTAAATAGCCCTAGCCACATCGCCGCTGCCGCATTTGCGCTCACATGCCCAAGCTTGCAGGCCACCTCACATGTACGTTGTCCCGCAGCAGGACATCCGCTTTGCGGAGCGAAAGGTTTCCGAAGACCCGGATCATGCAGCCATTGACCTCGCCGGTAACCAGCAGGCGGATACAAAACCAAGTGTTTCGGCTTTCTCAGCCTCAGTGCCACTTGTTTCCAAACGTGGACGATGCAAATTGGACCTCACGAACAAACATTACCAAAAACTTGGGTTAGAATGGCCATCTCCCACTGGAAAGATGCACTGCGGCTGTCTCCTTTCGTGATGTATGACCAGAGTATCAGCGCTCCGCATCCGCATCTCCCATGGTCCGGGAGCGCCTCTCAACTTTTCTGAAAGAAGAAAAAAATGGATAGCTTTATCATGGACTCGGAATGCTGAACGCCTCCACTGTGTAAGGATGCTGGCGTCAACCGCGAACTTATGTTGCGAGAGATCAGTGACAATTGCGCGGGACGCGACGGGTGTTGGAAGCAAATCATAAGCAAGCCACCGAGGAACGGGAAGTAACGAAGGAAGTATTGGGAGGTTCGGAAGAGCCCTCCAGAAGTGTCGAAAAATCGGTCGTGAAATTTACCGTTTCCGAAAGTCAGCCCCATTTCTCAAAGAGCAAGTGACGATTGGCTGAGTGGTCTGTACATGAGGACCTTTATATGCATCATCGTTGCTAGAAGGCAACCGCGCGGATACATACATGGCAAGTGTCAAATGACGTCGTCGGGGCTACACTCGCGTGACTCTTCCTCTGCTGTGAGCGGGTAGATGCGCATGCGGCAGATGTCAAGATACTTTGCTGGCCCATCAGGACTTTGACACTCAGCCCAAGGCCAGCTGCAGCTGACGCATGCCTTGCCCAACGGTGACTAAGTGACCCTTTTGTAAGCCGATCTGTGCTTTTTGTTGTGCATCCTGAAGGTTCTGCCACCTCCAGACATCTCACCCATCATCACGCGTAAGCAAAGAGAGTGCTGCATCCTCAAGCATAAACAAACCCGTACATCATCACTGTATGAGCATCACAGCCCCACACGAAAACCAAACAAACAAAAAGTGATATTCAAACGCCTCATATTCAAGCCCCTCACTCCTCCCGGCCGGGCCCTCCCCAGCCTCCCATCACAACACCCCCCCACACAGACATCCCTCCCAACCACTACCACTTCTCCGGCCCAAACGTCCCACTCTCCGGCACATCCCTCCACGGCGTGCCCATCCCATCCACCGTCGTCCCACTAACCGTATTGCCCCACCAATCAAACACGCCACCAGGGAAAATCACCGTAAAAAAAATCACAATCGCACTGACCGCCACGCCGCTGTCCAACGCGGCCGACAGCACATAATTATACTTGGCCCACCAATGCGGCCACTTTCCCCTGATCCACTTATTAAACACGAAGCTCACCGCAAAAGCCGTCGTGTAGTTGATCCCCGTCGCGGGCGGCAAATTCCCGGTGCCGGCGAAGAAGAGCGGCCAGTGGATGGCGGCGAGCCAGCGGCGGGTGGGGAATTTTTTCTTGAGGAGGTAGGTGACGACGGGGAGGAGGGCGCCGATCCAGAAGTAGTGCAGGAGCCCCGAGTAGATCTTGCCGATGCTGTAGAGGCGGGCGGGGCCGATGGCGCCCCAGATTATGGACGAGGTGAAGTTGACGCGGCCTTGGGGGCAGGTGTAGCCGTTGGGTTGGTCCGAGGAGCAGATGTCTTCGATGTTGCCGAGCATCCAGAGGAGGACGGCGTCTTTTGTTTTGTTGGAGGGGGGGATGTTAGTTTTTTGCTTGTGCTTTTGTGGGGAGGGGAGGGGAGGGGAGGGGAACGACGGACTTTGGGTGAGAGAGCCCATGATGCAGGCTGTGAGTTGGGCGGCGAAGAGCGTTCGCTTGGGGATTTTCATGTAGAGGCCGAGCTTCATGTCGGAACAGTAGTTCATGGCTTGGCTGAGAGCGGTGTAGGCGTAGAACTGATGGTCACGGAGCGTCAACACGTTAGGCCGGGAAGGTCAGGTTGGATTGACAGACTCACCTTGAAGATAAGCATGACGATGGGTTTCCCAGGAAGCAAGTAGCCTGAGATGATCTCGCCAAGCACAGTCAAGACGTTGGCGTTGAGATTCGCCACGGCGTAGACGGTGCCGACGGGGATGATGTAGACCATGGCCATGCCGAAAGCAACGAGGACGCCCCAGACGGGCATTTCTGTGTGGTAGACTTCCATGCAAATGATGCTGATGGCCAGAACTATAACCTGAAATGGGTCAGTCCATGGTACAGTACCGGGAACAGTTTCCGGGGCTTACAGTGATGATTCCAAACCACCACCATGGCACATCCTTGTACCTCATGAGCAAGCGTGCATGGACGTCTTTCTTTCTGTCGCCCCTGACTGCATTCCACATGTCGCGCCAGTAGTACAAGAAGATGTGGACGGGCAGGCAAGCCATGACGGCAAAGGAGAGACCGTAGCTCAAGGCGAAGGTCGCAGGCATGAAAATGGGCGAGTAGGCCTCGTACTGCTCCTGCAGAAAGTTGCCCCGCGCATCCACAATCTTGGTCACATTGTAGACCTGGCCGGTGTTGTCGTACGAGTCAGATCCAGACAAGGGCAGATAGCTGGTCCACCAGGTGTTCGTGTAGTACAGAATGGGCGCCACAAGGGCGAAGTGGAAAAGCCAACCGCTGAAGACGTTCGCCTGAGCCCAGAAGGGAACGACCAAGGGAGAGCCGTTGTAGGCGACTTGGCTCCAGTCGAAGGTGGTGGGCAGATAGCCGAGGCCGGTGGACATTCCGAACAGGTTGTTCAGGACTTTGTTGTTCGGAGCAGCCCAACAGATGAAGGCGAAGGTACTCAGGCCGGTAAAAATGAAGCCAGGGAACCAGTACCAGCACCATCCTCCGACAAAGACATACAGGAAGAAGCGGTATCGAGAGATGGACCAGCCGTCGGCGATGGGATTCGCGCGGCTGTGCAGCGTCTCGAAGAGTGCGGCGTTGGCAAGGGTGGACGGCCAGATCATCTGCGGCGGCTCGACGATGAAGCGGTAGCAGAGGCCAGCCAAACCGAGACCAAACAGCTGCATAGACAAGCCCAGCAGGAACTGGTAGCCAACGGCGGCATCGGTGTGGTAGAAGGCTTTCTGGGCTTGGATGATGTCCGTCGCCTGAGAAAAGCGGCCGTCAGTTCGTAGTCCAGCGAGCCAAAAGGCGGACATACCCAGGAAGTTCCGAAGCTCAGGTTGGACATGATGGTGATGACGGCATGCTCCTTGATGTTGAAGTGGTGATCCGGGTTGATGACGAGCGGGTAGCCGAAGACGCGCACCGTCTTGACGGGCAGAGCTTTAGCCACGGCGCAGCCCAGCGGGTATGAGACCAACTGGGCGACCAGGGAAGTGATTGTCACACTCGGGTAGCGCATGGAGAAGAACTGGTTGATGCCAGAGCCAACCTGTATGCCGGGGTTAGCGCATCGCTTGCGGCAGGGCGGGAGCAAGGGCATGACTCGCCATGGTGAAGACGAGGCCCAAGACCCACATGCGCAGGGTGTTGATGGGCAGATGGTGGTCGTCGGTGTTGGGAACGTTTGCGCGCACTTCGGCGCAGGGCGAGTTGTCCGAGTCAATGGTATACTCCTTGTCGATGTTTTCTATGGCGCCGGCGGTGGCGAACTCGGCGTCGGTCATGGCCTTGGGGTTGGAGGCGGAGAGGACGGCGGTGGTGCCGACCTCGGGCTCCTTGGTGTCGGAGACATAGTCATCGGACGGCGGGCTGGTGTTGGTGGTCTCGATGTCTTTGGCCATGGCGGCCTTTGGCTCGTGAGAAGTCATGGCGGGAGTGGGGAGGGTCGGGTTGGCAGGGGGGCGGCATTGGGGCTTCTCTTATATGCAGAAGCGGGCTGGGCTGGTCTGATAGGAGGCTGGTCGGGTCGGGTAGGTAGTCCTATCTGGTTATCTCCAGGCTAAAGGGAGTTGCGGGGGTTGGAGTTGAGGGACGGCGAGTCGCGTGGGGTTGGGGTGCAGCAGGTCCACGCGCAGAAGGTCCAAGCGAGCGGCCAAATGTCGTGCCATCGCCACATAAGAAGCCCGGCAGTCCAGCATTGCCGGGCCACTGCACTTTCAGCCGCAACGAACAATGGAAGCCCCGATTCTTATCATCGGCAGGTGAATCTCTGACACAGAAATTCCCCGGCCATGGTGTGCCCGAGCGCTGACCTGTGTTTGATATAATCAGCGGCACCTTTGGCGCCTCGACCGCCTACCACCTCGCCAAGAGAGGCTACACCGACATCACCTGCATCGACAAGAACCCTTTCCCTTCGGTCGACAGCGCCGCCTACGATCTGAACAAGATCATCCGCACCGAATATGACGAGCCGCTGTACTCGGACATGGGTGCGTCAAGCACAGACCCTTCGCCGTCCGCCAGTCTCGAGCTAACCCTTCCGCCAGCCATTGAGGCCATCCAAGCCTGGAGGCAGCCCTTGTTCGCTGACATCTTCCATGAAACGGGTGAGTGCTCTCAGCCGAACCATCTATAGCATTGCAGCATTGCTGAGCCTTGCCCCAAGGCTGGCTGGTCACCACAAGCGGAGACCCCGAGGCGGCCAAACGCCTCCGCCAAGCCTATCAGAACCTGGTCGACCGAGGGCAGGCAGAAGGTGTCGAGTTCGTCGAGACCAAGCAGGACATCGTCAAGCACGTGCCGCAGCTTGCCGCCGCCAAAGGCATCGACGAGTGGAAGGGCTTCTGGAATCCGCAGGCTGGCTGGGCCCATGCCAGAAAAGCACTCGAGAAGGTCGGCGGCGAGGTGAGCTGTGCGACTTACCCCGCTTCCGAGAACCGCATTGATTGACGCGCCCCAAAGGCCATGAGCATGGGTGTACGCTTCATCGGTGGCCCCGACGGACAGATGGTCGGCATCGAGGAAGAAGACGGAAAGGTAAAGGGCGTCAGAGTTGCGTCCGGCAAGGTCCACACGGCATCCAAGTACATCCTCTGCACCGGAGCCGCATCTCCAGCCGTGCTTCCCGAACTGGCGCCGCATCTCTGGTCCAAGTGCTGGACGCTTGGCCACGTCGAAGTGACGGACGAGGAGCTCGCCCAGTTCAAGAACTGCCCGGTGGTTGACAACCGAGAGCTCGGTTTCTTCTTCGAGCCCGACCCGGAGACGCGTTGGATCAAGATCTGCAACGAGTTCCAAGGATACCAGTATCGCGTCGGCGAGTACCAGGACGGCAACAAGACGACGCAGTATTCGGTACCCTACTATGCGAGCGAGCATCCCGGCGAAGGCATTCCGGAGGAAGCTATGGACGGCATCAAGAAGTTGGTAGATGCTGTGATCCCTCAGTTTTCCGGCAGGAAGATCCATGGGGCGTCCATCTGCTGGTGCACGGTAAGTAGCTTTGTCCATGACTCGAGCGTGTCTGCTGACAGGCTTGCAGGACACGGCCGACCGCCACTTTCTCTTCGACTTCCACCCAAAGTACCCAGGCAACGAATTCTTGCTTGCTACCGGAGACTCGGGCCACGGATTCAAGTTTCTTCCAATCATCGGGAGCTACATTGCCGATGCGCTGGAAGGCAAAGAGAGAGGCCTCAGGCAGGAATGGAGATGGCACAACCGACCATGGGGCCATGATGATTCCCGGCCTGGGGAGCGGGTGAAGGACCTGAGAGAAGTGGGTCTGGGGAAGCGATCTGCACCTAACCTTTGAGTTTCCAGACATGTCTCTAATTCAACATAGTTTTTCTGTGACGTGAAAATCAATTCTAAGTGGGATGCGAAGAGCTGGGGCTTCGAATCTTGTAGGGCATGGAGCCAAAGAATGTCAAAATCGAAGGGAAAATCCCTGGAGCTGGCTGGCCCTTGTTCCCCTCGTCTACCCGAAAGCCGGGGAAGCAGGGGATTAAGACGGGCGAACGTGCGGCCAGCATTGACAGAACAAATTGCGTCAACGCATAATCGTGCAGTCACCCTCGCTTGGAAATTCTGGCCGACGGCGAGCTGCGGCCTTTTTTTCGCCAAAGAATAATGAACCGACGCTTCGTTCGTCGTTTCTTTTCGTCCTCGTAAGATGCCTGAAGTCCTTTCTTCGTGGCGGGGTGGATGCCGTGCGCGTAACCAAAGAAACAAAGCTGTCTGCAACGAGCAGTGTTCGTCATTGACCCTGCTTGAATTTCAGGTTGAGGGGAGCGTATCTGCTATGCGAGTGAGCGCATACAAAGGATCCTGGACGGTGACAGACAGCGATGGGGGACGAGATGAGGTTGGGTGTTGCAGTCAGAGCAGGCGCGACGCGAAAGACGAGGGCTTTCCCGTGCCGTGCTTGCCCCGCGACGCGTCTCTGTATTCCACGCACAACCCCGGATGGAGATAGGCTTACCGCTACGACTACCCGAACCTCGACCATCCAGTGACGCTTTACACATAAAATCCCATCTCACTCCCTTCCATCCTTCAACCAACCCTTTCATCTAACTTCCCCTAGAGTACTATCTACAAGAGCTTGGGATACAGACACCTGTTCGCTCCTCAACATCCCCCACTTTACCAGCTCCACCGTCCACCACATCACCACAGTTAATCTCCATTGCATCCATCCCCCCCTCGCAACAACCCTCCACCAACCCCCCTCCACAAAAATGTCCTCCCCCACCAACACCACCACCCCCACCATCACCCCCCGCATCATCATCCACGGCGGCGCCGGCAACATCTCGCGCGCCAACCTGCCCGACCCCTCGCACGCCGCGTACCGCGCCTCCCTCCGCCGCATCCTCTCCCTCGCGCGCGCCGAGCTCGCCGCCTCCGACCCGCCCGCCACCGCCCTCGACGTCGCCACGCGCGCCGTGTCGCGCTTCGAGGACGACGCGCTGTTCAACGCCGGCCGCGGCGCCGTCTTCACGCGCGGCGGCACGAACGAGCTGGAGGCGAGCGTCATGGTGTCGTCGGTTGGACGTGGTGGGTATAGGAAGAGGGGCGCTGGGTGCATGTTGGTGCGGCGGGTGAAGAATCCGGTTTTGTTGGCGAGGGAGATCTTGGTGAGGTCGGCTGAGGGGGCGGTAGGGGAGGAGAAGGTGGGTGGTGGCGGGGCGCAGGGGCACGTGCAGTTGTCGGGGAGTTATGTGGAGGAGTTGGCGCGGGGGTGGGGGTTGGAGATGGTGGAGCCGGGGTACTTTTTCACGCAGCGGAGGTGGGACGAGCATGTTAGGGGGCTGGAGCGGGAGGAGGGGGCGGCGGTCGCGAGCAGTGAAGATGTGGAGGCGCCGCGGGTGTTGATGGGGGATGGTGATCCCTCTTGGGATGGCAAGGAGTACCTCCCGCAGGGCACCGTCGGCGCCGTCGTGCTCGACCGCTTCGGCACCATCTGCGCGGCCACGTCGACCGGCGGCCTGACGAACAAGCTGCCCGGCCGCATCGGCGACACGCCCACGTTTGGCGCGGGGTACTGGGCCGAGGAGTGGATCGAGGACGACGACGACGACGACGTCGGCGAGGGCGACGGGTCCTCCTCTGCCGCTCCCCCAGTCTACTCCAGCACCATTCCTACGATGTCCTACCACCCCGCCGCCGCCTCCGCCGCTGCGCGCTCCCCCATGGACAAGCTTTCCCGCGGCGACATCGCCAGCCTCCTCTCCGACTGCCTTCCCTCCCTGTCCCCTGCAGCCAGCCCTTCCCCCGCCGACGAGAAACCCCACCCCCCTCCTCGCCGCCACCGCCTCCGCCACGCCGTCGGCATGTCTGGCACCGGCAACGGCGACTCCTTCCTCCAAGTATGCGCCGCGCGCACCGCCGCCGCCATACCGCGCTTCTCGTCTTCTTCTTCTTCTTCCCCTCATACCAAAAAGTTTCTGCGAGACGGCATGGCGCGTGTGGCTGGGCCTGGTGGGGAGTTGCAGCGCAGTGCGGGGGAGAGGTGGGGGGTCACGGGGGAGGGGGAGGGGGGGATTATCGGGATTGAGGTTGTGGTGGCCGAGGGGGATGGGGAGGAGGAGGGCGAGGGCGAGGGAAGGCGGCAGGTGAGGAGTTGGGTTGGGTATGATTTGAATTGCGGTGGGATGTTTAGGGCATGGGTTGATGGGGAGGGCAGGGAGAGGGTGGCGGTGTTTGCGGATGAGGATGGGTTGGAGGGGGAGGAACGGTGAGGTGGAGTGAAGGCCTTTCGTTGGGTTTGTGGGGGATGGAGTGGCCCGTTGAGGTTTGGAGGAGGGGGACGCATGAGTGCTTGTGTGGCTGGGGTGAAGTCTGCTTGTATTGTTTCCCTTTTATTTGCAAGTCATTGAAGGATGCAGGCGTGGCTGTTGCGACAAGCCGCTGAGCATCTTGATCGCCGGCTTGCGAATCGCTGCGACGGCCTGGCCGACTGCGGACCGAAGCGGATGAGTGCGGCGTCCAAGAAACGGCGCAACGCGTGTCGCCTGCTCGAGTGTTTGGTTCTCAGATCAGCAGCACGATGCGGGGAGGATCGGACCTCAGCAGCAGGGTGGGGTCGATGTCGATGCGAGAGAAGATGGGTGTCAGCGTCGCGCCAGCAAGGCGCCGGGCCGCTGCCGCCGCTAGGTAACTAAGTACTAGTAGTGGCACAGCGACCTCTTTCCACGACCACAACCCAGCGTCTGCGAGATGAGCAAGACGGTCGCTGCCTTGTTTCCCCCCCTCAACCTGTCTCACTGACGCCCTCAGGGTCCTCGATCAGCACCGGCAAATCTTTCCTCACTTGTCCAGATCGGCACCTCTTTTTCCGCCTTTGCAGCAATCTCACTCACTCTTGCCATGATGCTTTCGCCTCCGCCTGATTCTTTTCCCGGCCCGCTCGTCATTTCCAGCTCCACGCGAGTCATCCCCTACAGCATCTCAAATCCTAGAGTCAGCAGCCCCTTGCTCCTCGTATGGCGGAGACTCAGGCCCCTAGCCCTCTGCACCGGTCAGCTCTTCATACTTCCCACAATGCAGCCACAGCGCTGGATATAGCCCCCTTGACCTATACCTCTCCGACCCGGTGCCGAAGCCGATATGAGACAGAGAGGAGCTGGGCAGGGCTGCTCTCTGGCCTGGCAACGCAACGTCCCTAAAGCCCGCACGGCCCTGACGATCCCCACGAAAGTGGTAGTGGAGCACCCGTTGGCACGCGTCTGCCTCGTGGCACATCCCGGGTCAGCGTGCACTCATCGTCGAATGGGAAGATCCGTCTCCCGAAATTCCATCCTTTCCCCGACGCACAGGGCGTGGGGCCTTTCGCGGAATACCCAGCTCATTTCGGAGGCTGCGCGTCCGATGGTTCAACACGTCCTGGACCCTTTTGGATAAGGTTGCAGCACGGCACGCCAGAACGCCCAACGTTCATTTGCCCGTTCTGCGGAAAACACCCTGACTCGCCGTGGGAAACCCGTTGAGCACGATTGCCGACCGGATGTGGCCCCCGGCCTCCCTGCGCCTCCTTCCGTTGTTTACCCAGCGCCCCATGTAAGGCGTGCTGTGCTCGTGGAGCGACCGAGTGGGCGGGCGCGGGAGGCCGACGCGGCAAGCAAGAGTCAAGCGCAGGCCGCAATCAAGTGTAGAGGACAAAAACGAGGGGCCGCCGCCGCCCAATGTGAGTTGCCCTCCGCCGTTGGCAGTGAAGAACAAAACAGGGACTTGCAACCATTTCCGGCTTCTCCACAAAACTCACTCCCCCAAGATACCCACGCTCTTGACCGGACCTCGAACGACCATTGTGACCGAGTCCATCCCTCCCGTCCGTTGATCTTCTGTTTTTCCATCACTCCGCGCGAGGATTCAAAAAGGTGGGAGAACACAATCGTGCCTTTTGGAAGCACGGTCCTCTCAAACCTTTCAGCCCCTTATTGACGCAGCAAAAATCATAGCGAACAACAAGAGAGATAATCTCTGTCCATTTTTCAAAAGAATCATGGGCGCAACAATCATCGCCGGCGTCGTCATTGCCGTCATCGTCGTCGCGCTGGCCGGCGCCGGCTTCTGGTTCTACCGCGCATACAACATCGACAAGGCGAAGAAGACGGCCATGGCGGGCAAATGGTCGGGCGCATACAGCACCGGCGCCTCGTCAGCGTCGGGCGGTGGTGTTCAGCAGCCGGGGCAGCCGGGGCTGCCTCGGTAAATGCAAGGGGAGAAACGGAGAGAGAAGAGAAGAGAACGAGAGACGGCGCGGCGAGAAGGGATCGAAAATTGGGGAATCTGCCAATGGAATGGAGAGCAGGGCTGGATTGTTTGTGTTTGCTGTTGTTGTTCTTTGCGAGGGGGTCCTGGGGTTGCTTTTATATGATTGCCGGCTATCTGCGGAGGCGAACGGTCATTAGGGACGCTCACTAACTCCGGCGGGCGGGGGAAAGGGAAGTTTGACTGCTACTGCTAATTCTGGGGGAGGGATTTAATTCCTCGAACACACCTCTAACGACTTACCGAGGCAAATGTTATACCCATTTATTGCGTTCGCTTCATCGCTTCCGTCCCGTACGCTCTTGGTTGACGCCCGGTTCTTGCTGTTTCGAGCAAGGCCTTGTGAACAGCTGCTATGTCCCCACGACTACTCAGGACGATCTTACACGGACAGTCCAGCCTACTGAGAGGCATTTAATGTTGGAGCGTTAAAAGGGGCCGCCAGTACTTTGAACCTATCCCGTAGCAGCCTTTCTATGACTATCATATTGGGGAGCGCCGCTTCCAACGCGTCCTTGACAGCAAACGTACCGATCACGAAAACGAGTCAAGATGGACTGATCATGAACCGAGGCTGTAGCCAAGATCCCAAGTGTGACATGTGACGCAATAGGCTAGTCCATTCGCTCTGGTAACGTATCATGAAGGGGGTGCGTACAAGTTCTTGGCCGGGCGCCTTGTGACGTTCACTGTGCATATCAGTAAACATACAGATTTCAGCCGTCTTCGTGCCCTCGCCTCGGCTTTCCGTCCCACTGACAAGGCCTTGGTGCCTCGTTACGTCTATGCCACTGGCAAGGCCACCGGGTCTTTGCAAACATTCAACAAGCCAGCTGCTCTTCGAAACATACTTTCCAAAAAGTCATGACTGCGATCTTCGCACAAAAGAACACATCCGTGAGAACATTACAATGCCTCCAATGTGGTCGTCATAGTGATGTGCTATTGCCTACTGACTCTCCGCGTCGTAAGGAGCCGAACTAGCTGCTCCATGTGCTCTGTACTCTAGGTGACCATCAAACTATGCAGGTAACCATGATAGAGAAAAAAGAAAGAAGAAACCCCGGCTACCAGCAATCCAAACCCTTCGTCCAGTGTCTCGTTATATGTACCACATGAACAAAAAACCCCAGCACGCATCCGAAAACGGAACCACCTCCCTCAGACATGCGCCCAGCCATCGTTCCTAAGAACCTGCATCTCATCGACCGCACAAAACGCGCCAGGCTCCCTCCTCCTAAAATCCTTCTCCCACAGCCCGACCCGCGTCTCCACCACCACCTCCTGCCTATCCAGGCCCCACGCCATCAGCCGCAGCGCGCGATTCTCCCACATGCCGTAGAAGATGTCCCACGCCGACAGCCACAGCCTGCCGTCGCCGGGGTTGACCGCCGCGTACGCCGCCGCGCTGTACCCCACGCGCACGCCGGGATTGACGAAGACGCCGCGGCCGTCCGAGTAGGGGTTGTCGGCGTGCACGAGGCAGCACTCGCTGGCCTCGAGGTGGGCGGCGGCGAGGCCGTCGGGCAGCGCGCGGAAGGCGAGGCGCCGCAGCTTCGTGTAGAAGGGCGCGGCGTCCATGGCCATGGCGCCGTTCCAGCAGCTGGCGACGGGGACGGCGCCGTCGGCGAGGACGCCGCCGGCGGCGGTCGTCTCGCTGGCGTGCGTCGTGTGGTCGTGGCCGCGGTGCGTGAGCGCGTGGCGCGACGAGGCGGCGCGGAAGTAGGGGAAGGAGGTCGAGAGCGGGGCGTGCCCGTCGAGGTCGCGCGTCGCGAAGGTGTCGTAGAAGGCGGGGGCGTGCCGGAAGTCGAGGGCGCAGGCGGCGGCGTAGTGGCCGGCGTTGGTGCGGAGGAGGGCGAGGATGTCGCGGGCCTGCGGGGAAGCGCGGAGGTTAGTTCAAGGGTCCAAAGCGAGACGAGGGGGGCAGCGTCTTTTGCTTTTTTTTATTGGGCGTCGACGTACGGTGAAGACGACGTCATTGAGGAAGAGCACGCGGTCGAAGCGTTCGCCTTTGCTCTCGAGCTCCTCGAGCGGCTTCAGCGTGCGGTTGCGCAGCCGGGCCAAGTAAGGGATGCGCCGCTTCTCCTTCTCGCCCGCCGGCGTTGTGATCCAGCCTTCGCCGGTTTTGTCGCCCTCGAGTTCCTGCTCGCGGGTCGACGGGTCGAGTATGACGGTGGTGCGGACGCCGGCATGTTCCAGCTCGGCGTCGAGATCGCGCAGGGCGCCTTTGGTGTCGTCGCGACTGTTGCTCTCGTATATGCTCACGTAGACGTTGGACGGGCCGAGCGCCTCGACCAGCGAGAGCAGCGCGTCGTTCCAGTGTGAGCGGAGCAGCTGCTCGTCATGGAGGTGGATGGTCGATATGAATATTTTCTCCCCTTTCTCGTAGGTTTCGGCCTCGTGCTCGGCGGTTTGGTCGACGGCCTGGAGGGCGCGGCGCACGGAGAGCACTTCAACCAGGGAGTAGAAGAGCAGGAGGACCGGGAGCAGGTCGAATAGCAGGGTGCGTGGGAGGCGTGAGAGGCGCGTGTAGCGACGAGGTAACATGTTGTTGTGGTGACGAGGCGAGGCAGTCCATCGCCGCGGTGGTTTAGGAAGTCGTATTCATCGCCGTGTGGTTGTGCTCGTTGACGCGGCCGCCAGCGTTCAGGCTTATGGCCTAAGCTCCGGCCTGCAGGGACTAGCTCGGCCAGGCCGCTGCAGAGAGACGGCTCGGGCCTGGGCATCACGCAGGAACCCGGGGGGAGCGGACAGTCAGTACAGCAATCGCGAGGAGAATGAATTACTGTGTATCGAGGGGCAGCGCGATGCGTTGTATGCACCCAAAGTCCGCGCTAAAGCCGGGCCAGGGCGGAGCATTGCGCCATTAAGCTGTTATCCAAAGCGGCAATGACGTTCCGCCACAATTCTCCCGCGATCCGCTGAGGTCTTTCGTCACCGGTGGATGCCTGGACCTCGGCGACCTAGCACGTACCTATCTCTTTATCTTTGACCAGCCCCCGGAGAAATCGAAACAAAGCCTCCAGACACCGGGCAGTCACTCAATCAATCACCGCCGTACCGAACATCAATCACCTCTCAGTACCACCATCACCACCATCACCACCACCACCACCACCACCATGGCCAACATCAACGCCCTACTCGCCGGCAGCACCGGCCTCGTAGTACGTCCTCCGCAGACCCTCCCTGCCATCAACCACTGACCCAACCGACCACACGCAGGGCTCCAACATCCTCACCACCCTCCTCTCCCACCCCTCCATTGCCCACACGTCCGCCTTCACCCGCCGCGCCCTCCCGCACGACTCCCCCAAACTCTCCACCCTCCCCGCCTCCCCCTCCCCCGACCAAGACTCCGCCGCCCTCTGGCCCACGCTCATCCCGACGGCTACACCCACGCCGACCCTCTACCTCAGCGCGCTCGGCACGACCCTCGCGCAATCCGGCAGCGCCAGCGCCCAGCGCCTCATCGACTACGACCTGAACCTCGCGCTCGCCACGGCCGCCAAAGCCGCCGGCATCAAGACCTTCGTGCTGATCTCGACGGCCGGCGCGAGCAGCGGGTCCGCGTTCGCGTATCCGAAGATGAAGGGCGAGCTGGAGGAGGCGGTGCGCGCGCTCGAGTTCGAGCACACGGTCATCTTGCGGCCGGGGCTGATCGTCGGCGAGAGGGCGGATGCGCGGCCGGCCGAGTTCGCGCTGCGGAAGGTGGCGGGCTTCGCGGGGTGTTTGGGCAACGGGTTCAAGGACTTCTGGGCGCAGGACGCGGAGGTGATTGCGAGGGCGGCGGTGGCGGCCGGCGTGAAGTGTGTGGAGGGGGCCGGGGAGAAGGGCGTGTGGGAGGTGGGGCAGAAGGATATCGTGAGGTTGGGGAGGACGGAGTGGGCGGTCGAGGAGCAGAAGAAGTGAGTGGGGAAGGTGGTGGTGAGGAAGATGTTCGTTTGTGTATATACCCTTCCTTATCTCTTTCAACCGGTAATCAACCAGTGTCCTAAAATGTAGTTGATCGGCATGTAGCTGATGTCAGCCCTGTGGAGGTAAGCAGCTGCAGCCGCGCTTGTCGAGGTCGGAACCGACGTCGAGATCGACCAATTACGATTATCTTGCACTACTCAGTGGGTAACGGTGCTCACTGCTTTTTGGCTGTCGCGTTCTCCCCACAGGAGATAATTGAATCATCACCAACATCGATAGTACATCCAAGATGTGTAGGAACCTAATCGTTTGTTCCCTAACTTTACTACTCTAGTGCCATAATGGTGGAGTGACTGTTCCTGTTCCCAACCTGGAGAAACAGGCAATCAGTCCATCTCGCTCATTCGAGTCCCACTCTTCGACCTTCTAGACAATCACTTCTTCGGATCGGGCTTCGTGCGCCTCCCTCTTCCGTGAAAGCCCCAACGGATCTGGTTCGGAGTATTGATCTCGACACCCAAGTCCTGCGCCCACGTCCAGACCAGGAACGGATCCTTCAAAAACCCGCGTCCCACAATCGCCAAGTCAAGACCACCCTCATCGACGAGACCGTTAGCCGTTTCAGCATCGGGGATGGCGCCAACGCTGCCGACAAGCAGCTTATCGCCAACCTTCGCCTTGATCTTCTTCGCAGCGGGGCTCTGGTACGCGGGGCCGCCGATGATCTTCTGCTTCGGATGGATCCCGCCGGTCGAGACGTCAAGCAGGTCGACGCCACGATCAGCCACCATCTCAGCCAGGCGCGCCGTGTCGTCGACGGTCCAGCTGCGCTCGGGGCCGAAGCCCTCGACCTCCTCGAGCCAGTCGGTCGCGCTGACGCGCAGGAAGAGCGGCATGTCGTCCGGGATGGCGCCGCGGACGAGGTCGACGATCTCGAGCGTCAGCCGCACGCGGTTCTCAAACGACCCGCCGTACTCGTCCGTCCGCTCGTTGCTGACGGGCGACGCGAACGAGTGCAGCAGGTAGCCGTGCGCGCCGTGGATCTCGACGGCGTCGAAGCCCGCGGCGAGCCCGCGCTTGACCGCCGCGAGCCACGCGTCCTTGAGCCGCTGGATGTCGTCTTTCGTCATCGCCTTGGGCGAGGCGTGGCGGTCGTTGTAGGCGATGGCAGAGGCGGCGTAGACGTTGTCCGGCCAGCCATGCACCTGCAGTTGATCTCTCCCAATCAGCCCCAAAACACACACACTCCCTCTTCACAGCACACCTAGCAAAACCGGGGAGCGTCCATCCGTCCGTCCGTCCAACCACTCACACACACAAACTCACCTCCTTCGTCGCCACATCCCCACTACTCAACCACGGCGCCACCGAACTCGCCTTGCGCCCCGCATGCCCCAGCTGCACCCCGATCCTCTGCCCCTGCGAGTGCGCAAACTCGACCACCCGCCGCGCCGGCGCGATCTGGCTGTCCTGCCACAAGCCCGCGTCCTCGGGCGTGATGCGGCCCTCGGGCGCGACGGCCGTCGCCTCGCAAAAGGCGAGCCCCGGCCCGCGCGACACGATGCCGCCCAGGTGCGCGAGGTGCCAGTCCGTCATGTGCCCGTCCCACGCGCTGTACTGGCACATGGGCGAGAGCATGATGCGGTTGGGGAGCGTCAGGCCGCGGATTTGGAGGGGCTGGAAGAGCGGAGGGATGGGCGGCTTGTTGTTGTCGTCGTGGGTGAGGGCGGTGCCGGCGGGGGGTGACTGGAGGGGCGTGTAGTAGGGGGCCTGGGAACGCGCGTCGAGATGGATGTGTTAGTTGTGTGTTGGGCGTGCGCCGTAGCGGTGGTGGTGAAGGGGGAGTTGTGCGGGGGGTGGGCGCGGGATGGTGGGTTCACGTACCCCCGGAGCTGCCTTGTTGATAAGGCCCGGGTAGCAGTAAATCGGCTCCGGTATGGCGTGGTGCGATGACATGGCGGCGGTGTTGGTTAGGCGGGGCCAGAGTAGATTGGCATGTCTGAGGGGAGGTCAATTGCCCATGCGGACGTGAAAGGCTTTATGGAAGCATCGTTCTGGAGAGGCACCATGGATAGTCGAAGCTGGTGGTGCTGATAAAGCGTTGCTTACCACTTTGCGTCAGGCAAGGAGAAGCACAACACTCGTCCTGCGGGGCTCCTGGCAGCCAGTCGGGACCGCTTTCACTACGCCCGACATCCGGTGGGAATTGAGAAAGGTGGGGGACTGAGTAACAGGGCGGAAAAAGTGGTGAGATTTATCTCTTGACTGGCAGAACATTGCCTATTCCGTCATGGACTGATGCAAGAAGCTCTCTGAGTAACATCGGATAATTATGAGGTGTTTCTTCATGGCATGGGCATCTGCGAGGCACAAGGTATGCGTGAAACTGAGATGATTTAATTGCATGGCGGAGGGGCCGCGTACTAACCACATGCCCGACATACCCGGCTGCCAAGGATTAGTGAGCACTGTGAGCTGTGACAAAGCAGCTCTTATGCATCACTTTGCGTCTACCAACCATCAACAACCGTGAGCTTGACAGGGAGTCCCCCCTTCGGCCTGGCAGTTATTCCGCTCTGAATCTCAAGCTTCACATCAGGGTCTGGCAGCTCCATTTCAAACTTGCCGATCCATACTGCCACCAAGCATGCGAATTCTGCCTTTGCGAAAGCCTGACCTATGCAGCTCCTCGGTCCATGAAGGAAGGTCATAAAACTGTAGTTGCTAACCGCACCTCCTGTGTTGGCACGGCCGGTGCCAATCCAGCGGTCAGGGTTGAATTCATGAGCATCGCCACCCCAGCATTCTATGCTCGTGTTGATTGCCCAGGGAGCCAGCACGATGGTCGTTCCCTTGGGAATTACCTTGCCGAGGATAGTTGTGTCTTTGTCGGCGATGCGAAGTGTCATTGGAACAGGAGCGTAGAAGCGAAGGATTTCGTTGCACACGGCGTTCAGATACGGCAGGCGATCAATATCCGCAGCCGTGATCTGAGTTCCAGATTCGGGAGAAGGTAGGTTCGCACGGATTTCCTCGCGGAGGCGCTTCTGTACGTCCGGATGCTTTGCGAGGAGGTAGGCTGCCCACGTCATTGACGTCGCCGTAGTTTCGTGGCCAGCGGCGAGGAAGGTCATCATCTGGTTGACGAGGTCCTCGTCGCTAAAACCACCGGACTCGAGAGCCACGGAGACAATGTCAACCTCGGTGCGCTCGTTCTTCTCCAGATGCTGCCGCTTGCTTTGGATAATCTCTCGAGATATCCTCTTGATCGTCTGCGCCGCTTCGTCAACCTCCAGATTCCGCTTGATGGGGAGTCTCCGAAGGACAGAGAAGGGAATGATGAGGCCGAGGAGTTGCAGGAAGCGTGCGACAGCATTGGGCGAGAAGATCATCCTGTAGGTAGCATTGAGCTCGCTGTTTGGATCGGCAATGGCTCCGAAATCTTTGCCCATGCCTGCGACGCCAATGATATCCAAGGTTGCTCTCGAAGCCCAGTTGGCGATTTCCACTACAGAAGACGGCTTCTCTCCTGAAGGCGTAGCCTGCTGGACTACGGCCCTTATTGCTTGTGCGGCTTCCTGGGACTTGGTCCAGAAAAGAGGGTACAGTTCCTTTACATGGCGGAAATGGAAGGCAGGCATGAGTAGTTTCCTTTGCCGCCTGTGTTCATCACCCTCAGCGAGAAGAATTCCAATGCCGAGGATCCTGCCAATACCGTCACGGATGGTTGATGGCTTGACGAACTCGTAGTTCTTGTGAACGAGCACCTCGGCAAGGCCCTTGGGATGTGTTACGAGCACGCGTTCGGCGTTGAAAGCGAAGCGATAATAAATAAGGCCTTCGTTAGGGACGGATCGCGACCACTCCCGGGCGGGCTCCCCGGTGTTCTCTTTCCGAATCTTGCTGAAATGTCCCATCAACCAGTGGCCGCCCTTGTCGAAAGATTTTAGTACTGGCCGACAAAGCAGTGGTCTGGGGGTTTACCTTTGGTTGAGGCAGATGCCTCAGAGGGCTGAAGAAATGCGGATAGATGACAGCAGACCATGAGTACCACAGCAGCAGCTGTATCCAGAACAGAGCCAGGACCCTGAGAAAGGGAGAGGTCGTGATGCTGTAGGCTGGAGCATAGCGGGCCAAGATCAGGCTCTCGGCGACAGAGGCCTGCATCAGTACCGAGACTGGCGCCATTTGCGGTGGCGGTGAGAAGGCGCAACAGGAAAGCTAGGGAGTTCGCACGGCAGATAGGGCGTGTTTGGGCGTCGGCGGAGGGTTGGACTCGGACTCGACGTCTGTTTGTAGGACAGGAAGACTAGGCTATATATGGGGGTTCAGGACGAATGCGGGCGAAAGTGTGGCCGCTTGTTGTCGACGTAAGGCTGGGGCTTGGTGCAGCGCCAGGCGTCACAAGCGGCAGCCTCGCAAAGCTTGCCACAGAAGGCAGGGGCGCACGGACGGCGTAAGAGAGCTGTTTGGCTGGCGTTTGAACGCTGCCTGGCTGGCTCGACCCGGTTGACGGGCGGAGGAGGAGCGGAGTGGGCCCTAGTGCGAGGGGCGGCAGGCGGCGGCGGCAGGCGGCGACAGTCGGCTGGTCAATTGCGCCGCTCCCGAATCCGAATGGACAGATCCTGCGAGCCCGGGCGCGCCACCTGTTCTTTCGCCGTGTGTGGTGACGCCTTCCTGCGCCGCAGCATCAAGCCGGCTGCACGGCTGCCCTCGAGCGCGCATTTCGAAACGCCTCCGGAACGACAGCCGGCTCAAGGCCCAGCGGTGCGCCTCTCAGAAGCCGGTGAAAATCGCTGACTCAGCCGAGAGCCGAGAGCACATGGGTTTGATAGGCATCATCGCTGGTCCTGCAATGCGCGGCGTGTGAAATCGCTGGCGCCGTGCATGCGACGCCCATGGCCGGCAACCATTTCTGCGGCCGCGCTTTCCCTCCCCGCTTCCTGGCGGCTATCCCAACGTCAACACCTCGTCATTTTTCCTTCCATCGTCGACATCATTCCTTTCGATTGAACGCAACGAGCTAAAAACAGCGACAAGTCATGGCTCTTTCCTTCTTGCATGCCTCACTTTGGACGTTCATCAAAAAGACACCATCTCCACAACTGGCCGAGAGACCGCTGGTTTACACATGCCACACGTCACCCACGTCGCCGCATGGTTTGCAAGTTCCATTTTAGAGTCCAGCATCAGCAAGCCAGTGTGAAATTTCGGCGCCGCCGCGTCGTCGCACACGATACAATGTATATCATAGGTGGGATCCAGCAGTCGACGGTCTGATGCTTTCCATCTTAACCGCTCACTATGCCCTCTGCTACTACCTCCCTTCTCTACCTCACGAAGGATGCTCTGGTTTATCTCTCTTTCTCTCTCGTACGCGACGTGCCTGAGCAAGGCCACCATCATCGATTCCACATCAGGCTTGTATCTTGTGCAGTGGGCCACTTGATCATAGGGAAGCAGGTAGATCTCTTGAGCTTAAATGACTACGCGAACCCAAGCGGAAGAAAAGCCCGTGTGGATGGAAGGCTCCCGAATCGGGTGGTGGAAGCTCTGACCTTCGCTCTTCATCGGCCAACGTGATCGAAACAAGGTTGAACAATGCGCACGTCACAGTCGCTTGATGGCGATTTCGGGAAGAGCTGGGATCCAATTGGTCATGAGGGTGCCAACACCAGGCACTGTGCGTCGAATGACCCTCTATCTCCCTGGTGGTTGTCAAGTCATCCAGAGCACACGTCTGTTGACCGCGGGAAACAATCACCATAAAACCTGACTGCTCGCTTCGCATCTTCTACTTTCCCTCTTCTTTCCCCCTCTGCACCCTCTGCACCCTCTGCACCGACTGTCGGTATCCAGCATCCCTGCTTTGCCTGCGTGTCGAACCTTTTGAACATCCTTACTTCACCATGGACGAGTGCACCGGTCCGTTCGAACGAGTCAGCTTCCATACAGCCAAGTGCAGTGTATGCGACCAGCGTAACCGCACTTTCCTCAGTAAGTGCATGGAATGCGGAGAGCAGTTCTGTGCTCGCTGCTTTCTCGCCTTGAAACGGGACGGTGTTGAGGGTGTTCACGGTCGGCGGGACATGTTCGATGCCTTGGCTGGAGAGGACCATGCCCCGCCTCCTACAGCGCAGGGTGTCCACAGCGCAGGACCAGTCATGCCGGCACCCACTCGCGCCTCGATGTTGACGCAGCAGAGCGCGCCCGCGGAAAACTCTCTGATTCCCAATCGTCGTCGTGGATCTGCCCGCCACAGACCCCCAAGGCACCCTTCCCGTCCTCCACCGTCGACTGTCGTTCAACGCCCCGGCGCACCTCCGGTCAGAGGTACTGCTGATTCGCCAATTGTACTCGACGATTCTTCTCCGCACTGCGCACGCAACACGACCGAGGAGCGTGCAGCTGCATCCAGCCCACGTGCTCCTCCATCAACTCCCCGTCGGAGCGTGAGAAATCGCACCCACGTTTCAAGTTACAACGAGCTAGACAGCCCCAGTACGTCGTTTGCCACTTTCGTCGCCCATGGGCATGTTCAGAGTCAGATTACTCACAAAGTCCCAGCATCTACAATTGGCGACTTCCCGGCCAGGGATATCACTGCAAGCTCCCCCTCCCTTGTTGAAAGATCATCCCCTCTCGATGCGAATCGCCCTCGAGCCACGGCTCCTCCGCGACGCACACTCGACTTCTCGGCTCTGCGCACCCCGCACATTTCGCCGTCTCACTCTGCCGTAAACGCTGACATCATTCAAACACCTAATCGGCGCCCTATTGCGAGGTTTTCTGCACCGAAAGGTCTCACCGCAGCCGGCGCAAAGTCCGATCTTGCTGATATGACGCCCTCAGATGGGGAAATGAGGGATATTGAGACGGCGAGATCTTCTGGAACGTTGCAGACCGGACCTCCCACGTCCTTCTCGAGGTTTGCAAATAATCTATCACGTCAACCTTCCAGCTTCCAGAGCCTGGAAGAATGCTTGACCCAGCAGGGAGGCTCCGCAACGGTCTCACGCACGCCATTCACAAGTCAATACAGCGCTAGACCTGGCCAAGGGCCGACCGCTGCACCTGTCCAGGTTTTACCAACCACTTCTACTCACCACCATTCTACTATTCCTGCCATTTCCCTTCACGATTTCGACGATCCCGACGAAGAGATTCACCCGTCGAAAAACACAGTGCCTATGGGAAACCGTGCACCTCATAGCACCCCGGCAGCAGATGGACCGCCCATAACGAGGGCACCTCCTATTCTCTCAGTCGCTCTGGAGCGTCTCGACGTACAGCCCTCCTCTAGTGGTGACTGTATGGATGTCGTTACAACCGTGCGTCAGATCAAACAAGAGTCTGCTCCTGATACTCATGAGAGTCTTTTAGAAGACCTCGAAGGTGATCGCGTAGCGATCGGAGGTGAAAAGATCGCTGGCCTGGGAAAGGAGGGTGCGATGGCTGTGAAGGTCGGCACTGCTTCACGGGAAGGAGCTAACCTCAGCGCTAACTTCACCAACTCTGCATTCACTCACAACTCTAGCGATATCCACAACATGTCCAAACATAACAAAGCCCAGCTCAGCCCTATCGCTGAAGAGGAGGCTGAAGAATCTGCTAAGGGTGGAGAACTTCCTGAGGAGCTGGCTGAGGCATCACTTGAGGACGCCAAAGCTGCGCACCAACTCGGCAGTGAGGCTAACGACGCGACAGCAAAGAATCCAGCGACTGATAACTTCCTAGGCTCCAGCAGCAATGAAATTGGCCGTCTTCGGCGAAGGAGCCCGCTCAATCCCTCCGTCTACAATCCATCTCGGCGTCTGTTGGGACCAACCACCAAGAAACCGCGTAAGGGAAAACAAGATCACATTGGCTCGCAGACGCGCGAGTTCAACAGATATCTGGACACTATTCCACTTCCTAAGGACTTCTATGTCAGAGAAAAGGAGTATTCGAGCCCACTTTCGAGCAAACCTGGCCTTCTTGAGCCGCCCACGCCTGTAGTGAGGGACGAGTGTGGCCCCAAAGCGCAAGATGGTGACTCGGGTGTACATGAGGTCAAGAGTCGCGCTCCTCGACCCAATCCCAACGGCCCACACAACGCAAGCCTTGTCAGGAACGAGCTTCTTGGGTGTTACACTGACGCTATTCCCATGAGTCCTACGGCCTTGGCTCGCACGAGGAAGAACAAGGCTGCCCAGAGGGCTTCAGGTTCCGATCGTCTCGATACTCTACGCACAACTACGGGTACTCCGCCAGCTTCCTCAAGCCAAAACGTCGCCAATTCTAGGGTGCAAGGCGATATCCGTATCGGCGGCAGTCGTGCTCTGGATGACTCCACTCACGATGTTGGTTTCAGGGCAAGAGGCCGTATTAACCGCATGGCCGAATATCTTGCCGAACACGGAAAAGACCTGCCAGACAATAACAACACCGAGATGGCAAATGCCGACCGTCAAACAGCAGAAGCGCGGCATCGTCGTGGTTCTGAAGAGATCGAACACTCTATGCCTCGACCCAAACGCCGCCGACTTGCCAATCGGGGCGATAATCAACGTCACGAGGAGAGGGCACACAATACTGATTTCAACCCTGCCGTCAACCAGCTGCCTACCCTTGACAGCCTCAGGCTCCCCACGCTCTCTTCTTTCGAGCCACACCCGCATCCGACCGAGCAGCTGCCTACCCTTGCCAGTCTCAGGCTCCCCATGCCATCTTCTTCCAATCGGCGCGCTCAATCCGCCGACCCACGAATGGAGATATCTGAGACGAGTACGGCTGCTGCTTCTCTTGGGCCTCATGCCATGCACACTCCGGACCGTGGCGACGAACACTGAGTACGGTGGAATAAGATATGGTGTTCGGTGGACAGCTCGGAGCGTCCAAGAGGGCACTGGCCCCGAGAGTGAGAGGCGGGAATGTAGGAACGAGGGTTGAGAGTGACATGTGGAAGCGATGGGCCCTCTCACTCCGTATGGGGCTGAAGGGCCAGACCCTGAATCCTGGATGCATCAAGATTGGGAGTAAGATGGAATGAGTGACGGTGTTATTGCTATGCTTATCCTTTTCATTTGTTTGGAAGCGTTGTTCTGTGTCTGCTGGTCTCTCCACCGAGCGGGAGCTGACCGGGGATTTGTCGGGGCTTGGATACAGGCCCGGGGGTTCGATTTCGATACACTCTTTGGTTATTTGTCCCAGCGATGTTCTGAGGGCGAGTGGGCGGATAAGACCATGTTTTGGCTGGTCGGTGTGTTTAAATGGCCATGAAGTTCATGGTGTATGATAGATCATAGCGGAAGGACTACTGGAGGCTGATAGCAGGCAAGCAGCCTCCTCACATTATTCTCAACTGAAGTCGTTCCGTAAACAAATGTTGTGAAGTCAAACGCATCAGCCGTGGCCAATTGCTCCAATCCGCAAATAGATCCCCATTCCCATTCAATGTCGTCATCGAAGAGAGAGACATGGCTCCTTCCAGAGCAAAGGTAGACGAAATTCACATCAGACAACTTTTCCATCCTTGACTCTCACTTCCTCCCAGCCGATGATGACCTCGGTCCTGCTCGTGTCCAGGAAGATGGTGTGATCGGGATGAATGTTGGCAATGTAGTCAGGATCCTGGGTAGCGCGAGCAAGGTCGTCCAGACTACGGACCCAAAGCTCGACGGAGCCATCGTGTTCGTGCATCTTCCAGCCGGCTCGCTGCGCCATCGGAGCAAGCATCTCGCGGTGTTCCCTTGGTGTGTGGTACTGGTTTTTTTGTGTGCATCTACAGTCAGACAAAAAAGAAAAACCAACTCCCCCGTGAGAGCTTGGAGGCGCCGACTGTGAGACACACTTACAATGGCGTATTTCAGAACACCGTTTCTGGCGAGCCATGGCGCGGCCTTTTTGGCATGGTGGTTGCTCCAGAAATGGTAGTATTCTTCTTCAGTCATGTTCGGGTTTCTGTAATGGAGGATTTGCACCTTGAGGACTGTCTCTGTGGCCTCGACCGCTGCCTGGGCTTGCGACGCCATTGTTGGCCTGGTGATCAAGGTCAGTAGAGGGCGAGCCGATGGTCGAGTGCTCGTTGCGGTTTCGCGATATGTGGTGGTTATAACTAGCATTCGGAGTTAAGTGGCGGAGGTATGGAGTTAGTGGGTGGAGGAGCTGATGTCAGATTCGGTACTTGGAGCATGGTGAGTTGCGAAATATTGGCCCTTTGCAGCTAGACACGGGCACTCGAGTCACCAAAATACAAAGGAGTTGGAGTCGGTCGTGGTGGCGCAACGGTGAAAGTCAGGCGGCTCTGGTGCCTGGATCGACGGGCCAGCTGCAAGGCACCCGCCAACGCGCCAACGCGTCGAGCGAGATTATCGGGGCGATGCAGGCATATGCCATCTCGCATGGCAAACGTCCGTCACAGCTCGGCGCAACAAACCTGCTGGGGCGCAGGGACGGGGAGATTGACCAGTGATGAGCGGCGGGCGGGCCGTGAATCTGGCGGTCGCGGGCCCGAGTTAGCGCAGCCGACCCGCCATCTCTCTCCCCAGCCACCCCGCTGTGCCAGCCTCTCGACATTGCTCAATTCTACAAAAAGTAGCTTCCCGCTGCATGTGGCCGGACGCTGCATTCCAGAACCTACCACTCCACTCGATCCTCACACTCGCACCAGCCCAGCTTCCCTTGGTGGTGCAGCCCAGCAGATAGCCGCCCAGATCGCCCGGTCCCGCGCCAACGCCAATCCCCGTTTGCTTCCCCGGTTCCAGTAGAACACTCCACAAAACGTGAGCTCTTCACACCCCCGTCTGGCTTGAGAGGGACGACCAATGCTAATTTTCTCACTTGCAGCCAAACCCATCCTCGCTGATCGTCCGAGTGCTGCTGCAATCACGCACTGCCGCAGCTACCGCCGCCGCCAACGCACTGCCAGCACATCCCAGCCGCCTCACTCCACCTTACATTGCGCAACCAATTTCTCGCAACTTTTGCGACGTGCCTCTCCCACCACCAACGCCTATCCGAATTCTTGCCATTCGACTACACTCCACATCCACCAACCATGAAGCGCAACATCGTCATCTTCCTGATCATCCTGATCCTCTTCATCGTCATCGCCCTGGTCGCATACCTCATCTACTTCCTACAAAACCGCATGGGTTTCGCCCGCAACCCGCCGAGCGAAAGCGAGATGTCCGAAGCCGCATAGTCGCAGTGCACAGCGGCGCAAAGCGGGGCGGCATACTCTTACTCCTTTACTTCAACATGGCGGCTTAGGATTTTACGATGTTACGACTTTGCATAATACTTTTTTTGTACGCTGGCCAGAAGGCTGGCGACGGCGTTTGGGCTTTGGGATAATGGCTGCATATGGCATCTCAGTGGGACTGCGAGCGGATCCTATTGATACCCAGGATACGGATATACATGAGAGCAATGGAAACGACATGAGAACGAGCGCTTAACCGCGTGGGTAGATACAGCGCGACGGACATGCAAGGGAAATAATCAACACTTCAAGACAACCTCTTTCCTGTTCCAAGTGCACAGAGTTCTCCAACAAGATGCCACACTCCCTACAACCTCCACGACCACGCCCTCTCACGTGCACTCTCCCACGTGCAACGCTGTCGCGGGGCAGGAGCTCGGGCCATGATGCTTATCGATTGCGGGGGGAATGATGACATCTTTGACAGCCGTGACAGCCGTCAGCGCCGCCACTTTCTTACTGCGCCCCCGAGAGCTTCGCCGGCGACCCTTCTCCATTCCAAATCCATTCCAAATCACCCACGGCTCTCAGCACATATAACCCGAACTCATCCGCCTCTCCCACCACGCCTCGCCAGCTCATGCGTTTTCCGTCCTTCCCGACCGTCGTCCGCGCCTTTTACACCCTCAGCAACACCACCACCCGCCGCTTTCCGTCCATCTTCCAGCAGCAGGGCCGCCTCGCAAACAACCCGCGCATCCCCTACTCGATCAAATCCATGCCCACGATCCCATTCTTGGGAAGTCTATTCTCGACGAGCAGCAGGAGCACCATGAGCTACCCCCTACAGAAGAGCGACGAAGAATGGCGGGCGGTGCTCTCGCCCGGTACGGCCAATTCCACCTCGCTCGCTCCCCGTCCCTTTTTTTTTTTTTCCCAGGCGATCATGCCAACCTCCAAAAATCCTTTTTTTTTGTACTAAGACTCCCCGCGCGCCGCAGAACAATTCCGCGTCCTCCGCACCCAAGGCACCGAAGCGCCCTTCAGCGGCGAGTACGACAAGCACGCGCCGGCGGCGGGCACGTACAACTGCGCGGGCTGCGACGCGCCGCTGTACACGGCGCAGCACAAGTTCAAGTCGGGCTGCGGCTGGCCCGCCTTCTTCGACACGGTGCCCGGCGCCGTCGTGCGCCACACGGACAGCACCTTCGGCATGCAGCGCACCGAGATCGTGTGCGCCAACTGCGGCGGCCACCTCGGCCACGTCTTCAAGGGCGAGGGCTACCCCACGCCGACGGACGAGCGGCATTGCGTCAATAGTGTGAGTTTGAAGTTTAGGAACGAGGGGGAGGCCGGGGAGGGGGGGAAGGCGGGGAAGGCGTGAGGGTGTTGTTGTGTGGGAGGATAATCGGCTTGGGGTGGTGGTGGTTTGGCGGGGTGTGAAGCATGGTGTTTGTGGGAGTTTGTGGAGGTGGTGAACACTGGAGGCGCGAATGTGCAGTGGTTCCGAGACATACTGGCAAGGATGTGAGTCATACGTGGGCGGCTTTGGTGATTTCTTTACATCTGATTCATCCGCTCTGTTCATGTCCTGTTCAAACCAGTGGGTGGAGAGGACGGGGCACCCTCACTCGTCTCCACCAGGTGGGGGTAATGGAAAAAGACGGGCGGCCGTTGGTGAAGTTCATTTCCGCGCTACTATAAACTTCTGTTTTGCTGTTGTGAGGAAGAAGCTGCACGTTGCGACGCTCGGACTTAGCACCTATTACCTCGGAGTTGGCTGGGGGGGTTCCGGCGCGAAGAGTGGGATGGCGGTGGAGGCGGCTCGACATTTATTCCCGCATCGGCTCCAGCCAACCATGCCCTGAGGATTGCCAGTTGCCGCTGATACTCCCGCTGCACTTGCCGCCACCAGGAAAAATCGGCCATTCGCAGCACCAGTCATCATGATCCACTCCCCCCGTCCTTCTTCTCGCTCACACCTTCAAGCTCATCACTGCCCAGGGCACATCTCTGAGCTACTCTTTATCTCGTAGATGCCCTCCGGAGATGCATCACGTGCCTCGAGCCCGCTCGCTGAAGGCAGAGACGTGAGTGGCCATGGTCTTCTTCCCGCCTTCGGGAGCACGCTCGAAGACGGGGAACCCGCTCGACGAAGCAGCCACGATGGCCAGCCCGGCGTGGACGAGGGCGAGGGGCAGGCGGAAAGAGCAAAGGACAAGCCCGTCACATGGAGCTCACTCCCGCGAAAAGACCAGCTGATGATCCTGACACTGGCCAGGCTGTCGGAGCCTCTGACGCAGACGTCGCTCCAGGCCTACATGTTCTATCAGCTGAAGTCGTTTGACCCGTCGCTGCCCGACTCGACCATTGCTTCGCAGGCCGGCATCCTACAGGGCGCTTTCACCGCCACCCAGTTCGTGACTGCCGTCCTCTGGGGCCGTGTCGCTGATGCCGAGTGGGCGGGCCGGAAGAAGGTCATCCTCATCGGCCTCTTGGGCACCGCCATCTCTGCCCTCGGCTTTGGCTTCTCCAAGAGCTTCGTCACGGCCGTCGTCTTCAGATGCCTTGGAGGGATGCTCAACGGAAACATTGGAGTGATGCGGACCATGATCGCCGAGATCATCAAGGAGAAAAAGTACCAGTCGCGCGCCTTTCTCCTCCTGCCCATGACATTCAACATTGGCGTCATCATCGGCCCAGTCCTTGGCGGCCTCCTCGCCGACCCAGCAGCCAACTATCCGTACCTGTTCGGCCCAGGCTCGCTCTTCGGCGGCAGGAACGGCGTGGGCTGGATGACGGAATGGCCGTACGCCCTGCCAAACCTCGTCAGCGCCGTCTTCCTCTTCTGCTCCTCCATGGCCATCCTCTTTGGGCTCGAGGAGACGCACGAAGCCCTCCAGGGCAAGCCAGACTTCGGCATCCGCCTGCGGCGCTGGCTCTCGCGCAACGTGCTGCGTCGTCTCCGCCGGCGCAGCCACCCCCCAGGCGACTACTACCAGCCCGTGCCCACCGACGACCGGCCGCACACCCCCGACCAGCAGCCCACCGACATCGAAATGGCAACCACGCCCCTCACCCCCAGCAGCAGCGACAACAGCAACAACAACATCGCCACCCAGACCCCACGCCGCAACCGCCGCCGCCCCACCCTCCCCTTCCACCGCATCTGGACGCCCCAAGTCCTGCTCACCTTCCTCGCCCACTTCCTCCTCGCCCTCCACCTCGGCACCCTCAACAGCCTCTGGTTCACCTTCCTCTCCACCCCGCGCTTCGACCCCTCTTCTTCCCCCTCGCCGCAACGCCCACCCCTCCACTTCACCGGCGGCCTCGGCCTGCCCCCCTCCCGCATCGGCGCCGCCCTCGCCATCCTCGGCGCCATCGGCATCGCCCTCCAGCTCTCCCTCTACCCCCGCATCGCCACGCGCGTCCCGACAACGACGTCGTTCCGCCTCTCCCTGCTCCTCTTCCCCATCGCCTACACCCTGATCCCCTTCCTCGCCCTCATCCCAACATCAACCCCAACCCCGTCCTCCGGTCCTACTACCGCTCCCGCTCCCGCTACATCCGCAGACCCCCCCCTCCTCTGGCCCGCCATCGCCGCCGCCCTCCTCGTCGTCGTCGCCGGCCGCACGTTCGCGCTGCCCGCCGCGGCGATCTTGGTGAACAATTCGTGTCCGCATCCGAGCGTGCTGGGGACGGTGCACGGCGTGGCGCAGTCGGTCAGCAGCGGCGCAAGGACGCTGGGGCCGGTCGTGGGCGGGTGGGTGTTTGGGAAGGGGTTGGAGTTGGGCGTGGTGGGGTTGGCGTGGTGGGGGCTCGCGGGCGTGGCGGCGGGGGGAGCGGTGGTGGGGGGGTTTGTGAGGGAGGGTGGTGACCATAATAGGAGGGGGGGGTGGGGGGGGGAGGGGGGTGGTGATGGGGATGGGGAGGAGAAGGAGGGGGAGGAAGAGGGGGACGGGGACGGGGAAGGGGAGGAAGAGGGGGAGGGCGGTGGGAGTGAGGTAGCTGTTGGGAGGGAGGTGGTGAGGAAGTGATGATGGCTGGGTTTGGAATTCACTTTGTGGGCTTATAGCTGGTGGATGTTCGGATAGAGGAAAGAGGCAAGGTCAGGTCGGTTCATGTCAGGGAGTATGGGCAACAACGGTGCTTGATGCCTTGCTAATGATGAGTGCGAGAGATAGTAGTCGTAGTGGTGGGTGCCCAGCGCCAGCTATCCAGGCTAAGTCCAATCGAGCATAGGTCGATCGCCTTATAGCATGCCGCATCAAACATACTTTATCGCTTGACACGGTCATACACATTCAACAACTTTCCACTCAGGGTCCTTCCACTTGCCACGTAGCAACAACGCCAATATGACTCGTAGGAAAGAGCAGAATTTTCAACCACCAACCGTTAGCGGCACCAGGCATCAATACCATCATCATCATCACCGTCGTCATTATCATCGTCGTCATCATCATAACAGATTAGGCATCATCATCATCACGGATCAAGCATCATCATCATCAAGAACATATCGTGTGAACCAAACAAGATGTGTCTTCATTCGGTCAAAGTGTGTGTCCAAAAGGTCCATATACCTTCTTCCCTCCCCAACAAAAGAAAATACAAAATCGGCAATCGACAGCTGGAAAAGGCTCCAAAGAAAAAAACTCCTCCCAGTGGGCCCCACCCACATAATGCTCCCTCTAGTGCTTCCCCATCCGGCCTCGCTAAAACCCGAAAGACAAAAAAAACCCCTTGAGTAGTGGGTGGTTGGGTATTAGGGAAAAAATTTCAAACCGAATCGGGGGAAAAGAGCACCGGATACGCCCTGGCCTGAATGCCTTGTGATGATGATGATGATGATGATGATGATGATGATGAAGATGATGATGAGAAGATGATGATGATGAAGAAGGTCGACACGAGCGACCCTTTTTCTTGTTGGTTGGTCTCCGATCAGTTGGCACGGCGACCGCCACGGCGACGTGGGGCCTTTTTCTTGTTGTTGTTGTTGTTGTTGTTGTTGTTGTTGGTTGGATGCTGCTCGTGAGTGGCGCGGTATTCGGCGCGCGATTGGGCGGGCGGCAGCTCGCAGTCGGCGTCGGACCAGCGGGAGGCGAGCATGCTGGGCGGCGGCTTGAGGTCTTTGGTCTGCGGCCTCTTGGTCGGCTCCTCCTCGGTGGTGGTGGGAGTGGCAGAGGCGGCGGACTCCTTGGTGGTGGTGGTGGGAGTGGCGGCGGTGGCCTCCTTGTGCTGGTCCTTCTGCTGGAGCGGAATGTTCTCCTTGTTGAGCTCCGGCAGGTTGAAGACGAAGTTGGCAACGTCATCGTCTTCGTCGACGAGATCGGCCCAGCTCTTTTTCTGTTGGGGGCGTTAGTGGGAGAGCGCGTGAGGGTGGTGGGGGCGGGTTTGGGGTTGCTTACTTCTTGCTTCGGCTCAGCCTTTGGGGCAGCAGCCTGAAGCTCGGTGCTGGTGGTGGCGGCGGTCTTGACTTCGGTGACCTCGGCTTTGGGGGCCTCGACTTCGGTGGTGGCTGTCTCGGCTTTGGTGGTGACCACCTTTGGTTCTGTGGGGGTCGGTTCGGAGGCCCATTTGGACTTGGTCGGGCCGGCTGTGGGGCTTGGGGTTGACTTGGCCCTCCTGGAAGTGAGCAGCCCGGTTGTGATGATGGGCTGGGGGGCAGTGCTCTCGGAAGGCTTCGTGGCCCACCTGGAGGCGAGGAGGCCGGTTGAGGGGGCCTTGGTGGAGAGGGTGGAAGACATGATGTCTGGATTGAGGGTTGGTTGAGGAGGAAATGTGTGGATTGAGTTTGAAAGACAAAAGTCGTCGTCGTCGGTGAAGAGAGTCGGTGCAGAAATCGAAGAGTTGGGTGCGGAGGAAGGGCCTTCTTATAAGACGTGGCGAAGGCGCGAGCAAGCGAAGCGAAGAAGCGAAGAAGCGTTGGGAAGCGAAAGAAGACCTGTTAACACAGTACCGCACTTCGTGTGTTAACACCTACATGGTGGAAAGCTGGAGAGAGGAATGTGGTTTAGGGATGGAGTTGTGGTTCCACGGTCTCGCTCGGCCTTTCCCCCGGTACTAGATCATGCGGCGGACGTCACCGGATCCACTTGGGCGATTCAGCCCCCGGATCTCAAACACGCTTCAGAAGCCACCGGCGCCCATGCGCGCAATGGCGCCGCTTCGCCCCGAGAACCCCAGGAAAATCCTCCACAGAGACATATGCCGATCAAGACTGCATCCCTACGTCCTGGCACACGGCAAAATCCCTAATCGGGAGTCCAAGTCTCCTCCGCTCTGTCGACAAAACCAGGCGTGCATTGTTGGCCCCCAATACCTGGAATTAACTCGGCGCCGAGGCGACGACGCTTTCCAGCCCTGATCCGTAGCTTCACTGACCGGTACGTCCAACCCCTGGAAGACCAGCAGGCAGAAGTATTGATCATTCTCGAAATCCAAAGAATAGCCAGCACGTAGGACGTGTCCATTTATACCGGTGGAAAGGGCCGCCTTTGGTGGCCAAAATTCCATATATCGGGGCGAGGCCGTTGTCACGGCTAGTGGTCTGGGAAAGCGCTGGAAGCGGCGTCGTCGTTTTGCCGGTGGCCGTTTTGTGGTGGCTGGCGGCGCGTCGGATCGGAACAACGTTTATCTAGGGAGCAGGGGGAGAGATAGGTGGTTTCTCTAAAGTCTAACTATACTTTTAGTGTAGTCTACGGAGAACCGGTTAGGATCTTATAGATGACCCTACCGACCTTAAGACCACGCTAAGAATCACTAGATGATCTGATATATATAAGCACCCTTGTCCGTTTACCAAGTGCTTGACAATCGAGCAATCAATCGCAATCGGTGATGGACGGATTGGATTGATTGCAAGCGCGGTCCGGGGGTCCGCTTGCAACCGCAAGCATGATCAATCGCGGACCCATGCTAGTGAGCAATCACGAGCCTACCAGAATTCACTGAGCTTCTGCCGTCAGATGACATTATGGATATTCTCTTCTTGGTGACGGAAGAGTATGACTATTATTCTTGTAATGGAGGCGTTGGGGGAGCATATAGGCCTTCGGGGTCTTCATCAGCAACAACCGTGTGGTCCTCCCGCCCACCGAATTTGCGGTCGTCCCTGGTCCAGGCATCAATCGTCATGATTGGATGAAGAGAACCATACTCCCTTGCAGCCGCTAATCCCAGCTTGTACGCAATCGTTTCCTCCCAGTCGACGGCTGACAAATGAGTGGGGTATCCCGGCGGGCAATGCGGTAATCTGTCCACACTCGACAGCTCCGCCATCAGGATGCACTCTGCCCGAGGATCCATACTGTTGAGGATGCGCAAAACCATGTGCAGGCCGTGGCGCCGGATCAAGTCCTCAAACGCTAGGGCGTGCTGCCTGACCTGCATTTCCAGCGGTGTTATTCCCAAAAGCCGGTACGGGCCACAAATGGTCAAAAGGTACAAGGCGAGCACCACCATGACGAGAATCATCTCGGGAACTTTCCAGAAGAGCGACGCGTGGTCAGGGTCCACGAAGCGCGCGAAACAGTGGTACAAGATGATTCCAAGAGCAATAGCCGTGTGTCTTTTGGGACCCAGAGTATATCGGATGGATCCTTCTTGTAGAGACCGAGCAAGTTCGCAAATCCAGCTGCAATAAAGCCAGGTTCCTCGAACCAGATATGCGAGCATCATTACGATGCATTCTGTCACTTGCAAGCCGAGTGCCAGGATGAAAATGCAGAGCTGTGCCTCCGGGATCTTGTGTATGACGTAGGAGAATTCGGCCGCGCGTCGTCGAAATATATTGGCGATAGGGCAGTACCAGAGCCAGGGCGGAAGATTTTGAGCCAGAGTCCGAGATCCCCACAAGATACTCTTTGTCCCTTCGGCAACTTTGGTACGTGCCCAGCCCCGCGTGGCCGCGGTTCGGGCTGCCACGATCCGACGGAGGCGCCCTCGAAACCACGTCCACACTTCCGCTGCAGGTTTGGCAATACTTGTCCATGTGAGGCGGGCAGCCAGCAAGGCCACGTATACTGAGACGAAGACGAAGCACATGTTGGCGAAAATCCAAATCAGGGTCTGTTTCTTCGGGTCCAGCTCTTCGATGTCGTCAACGTAAAGATAGTAGATGCGGTCGATTAGGCTTTCGCTCGTACTGCTCGTAGGAAAGACGTTGACCAACAGCGATAGACTGTCAGTGATGCGATCCATGACGGGATCTGCCAGTAGTGGAAGTATATGGTTGCCAGTCACATGGATATTCAAGGGTTTGTCGAACCAAAAGTGCAGTATTGTGGTGACGATGGATATCAGGATGTACTTCATGGCTGTTCAATGTCAAGAAAGACTGGAGAAGAAGGTGAGTCACCGAAGTTGGGTGCAAAAGAAGGGGAGCACAGGGAATTGACTGGGGGAACAAAGAGATGCCGGTTTCTTAGTGTTCGGCCCTGGTGCGACCCCGCAGAGCCCGACGTCTCTCGGGAGTCACTGGTACAAGTGGCAGACCTACTACCGTGCTCACACTATTTCCGAGAAGGACTGTCGCTGCTTTTCGAGGCACTCACTCACCCCGCCCGCCAAAAAAAAAAAAAAGCCCCAACACCTCTTCTCCCTTGGCTGAGTTTCTTTGTTGGCCTCACTCCCAACCTCCACACTCACCACGGCGGCTATCGCCGTCTTTGTACCGCCTGCTGTTACTAGTCAAGTGGTTAATATATTGAGAAAAGATACACTAAAGGACATAGCTTAGATTTTGTTGGTACCTAGCGGCTAGTGTCTTTTTTGGGTATATATCCTTCCGCGGCCACCTGGCTCACCCACGAGCATCTACAAGTACTGCCTTAACAACCTCATCTCAACAATGAAGGACGCCAAACACTGCAACAGGTCGAAGACGGGCTCTCCTCCATCATCAGCATATCAGCACAACAACCAAGATCGTCAGTCATTTGTCCTTCACCCTAGCCTCCTTACTGACTGTTGCTAGTATTCACCATGCCAGATACATCACGCCCTGGAATTGCGACCACGGTGGTCTGGGCTACGATCCTTGCATTACTCGGCGGCGCTGGACTGTCCGTATGGGGCTCCCAGCTGGGATATGATTACGACTACCGATTCCCAGTCGGCCCCTCAGGGCGCCTCATTCTGGTTTTTGAGGCTGTTCAGATGGCCATTCTTGGCTACTTTGTGGCGCATAAGGTCCTTACATGGTTCAAGCGGAGATCTTAGTTGGAATGGTGGCCACTCGTCGCACCAGCGATTGGCGTCGCAGCGGGGACACTGATCTGGGTCCACGTTGGATGAGCAGGGTACAAAGCACCCACCAGGTCGTCTCCCCCTCGCTTCTCATGCCAATCTACACATTCATCGCGATCATCACCCACTGCAACAACGGCCTACAGTCACGACAAATTCGAGAGGTTACCCAGAAATAGCAAATCAAGCAGGATGTTTGAAGAGTGGATAGCAAAACGGCTAGCGGGGTTACAGGAACTCTCTCGGGCTTTTAAAAAAAAAATCCCGCCTGGATTGAAGGATGATTCCACGAGAGCGAAGCCCACGAAGATGAGGAACTGGATCACCTTGCACACTCGCTCATAGCCCGAGTCTATGGCGAGCCCCACGTCGTGCAGGGTGATCTGCCGCCAGGTGAACCATATTATGGCGAAGAGTCCGATGTATGCCACCAACGTGCTGGTGTCTGTGATCGCGTGGGTCGAAGAAGAGCTCGATGCTGTTCGACTCGGATCGCAGGCCGAAACGTGGATCATCTCCTCGGGCGTATTTCAAGGGCGATTCGATAATCGGCAGTAGCGTTGGTTGGTGACTTTCTGATGGGTGCGACGAAATTCTACTATTCTATGAGACGAACCAGCATTGGGAGTTAAAAGGTAGTCTTTGAATCCGCGAGGGGTTGCTTCAGTAAAGCCATGTGAGTATCTGTCGTTGCGATTGTAGATGGAAGGTGTGAATCTCGGCTCAAGCCTGGCATTCGAGCGGAGCCCAGGCTTGTGATTCGGGACAAGCAACTGAACACCCAACGCTGTCAGAAAACGGCATCAGTGTCCATCACAACCAGCACGGAACGCTTGATGAGTCCAAAAAATGATTGGTTGAAAAATACGACAACGGTACACCGCTCCAGTGCCCTCAAAGCACCCCGAAACTCCCTTCGGCAAGCGCTTCGACATCCCTGACCGCGCCAAAGCACACGAACACCCTAGCCACCCACAGCGCCTTCTGCCGCACGTATTCCCCTCTCGCCGCAAGCCCGCCGTCACGAGCCCGAGCAGCCGCTGCGCCGAGCAGAGCAGTCTCCTCTCTCAACACGCTCTCGGCACCGCGAAAGACGGAGCCATTCGCCCAGGCCACCAAGTGCGCCATGTCGTCCTCGACGTCGACGACGGCCCTCGCCGGGGAAAGCGGAAGGGGAACTGCCACGTCCCGAGTGCTCGGAGCGGCGAGGCGGATGTAGAGCAGAGACGTGCAGCGGCCCTTGGCGAGATCGAAGTCGCGCAGGTTGCGCCGATGCGCGTGGTACCCCAGGGCGAGGAGCGGGAGGAGGAGCTTCTGGTGGGCGTGCGCATCCACCGCCCATCCGTCCTGCATCCAGGTGGCGATCTCGCGGAGCAGGTCCTCGGTGCTCAAGTCGTGCTGGGACGGACCGGGCGATCGCGCAGAAGGGAGATGCGGTCCCGTAGACGCTGGGGGCGAGCTGTGCGGCCTCTCTGTCAGTGGCGGCGATCCTGGGATTGGAGACGAGCCGTCGGCGAACAAGGGGAGTTGCACCAGGCTCTTCGGACCCTTCTTCCTCGAATCCGCTTCCGTCTCGTTGTCCGATGCGGTGGGGCTCTCGGCCTCGGCGAATGTCCGTTTTCGCGGCGGTGGTTCGGTGGGAGGCTCTGCTGCCGATGGGGTTTCCTCCACGACAGATATGCTACCCCGGCCAAGCGCATCTGGCGTTTGAGGCGCACCTGAGGCCTTTTCCGCGGTAGTACATGCAACGGGACCCTTGGTCGGCTTCTCGAATGGCGGCGGCGAGGCCTTCACAACAACCTCCTTGTACGAAGGCGGCGCGCTTCCTTCTCGATCGCTTTCGCCTGATCTCGCTGTCGAGGGTTTCTCCTTGCTAGGTCCGGCATCGTTTGCATGTAAGCCGAAAAGCTCCCAAGCATCCTGCTTCGCGCCTCGGCCTTGGTACATGGACTTGGGACGAAGCCGTGGCATGCGCGCGGAACCGTCGAGCACGGCTGCGCGGAAGTCGCTAAGCGCGACCTGCGAATACGTGCTGCGCTTGAGATAGACATCGAAACTGGTGGCCTGGGACAAGGAGCGGAGGGCGAGAAGGAGCTCTCGTGGAGTTCCAAGCAGCTCATTCTTCAATTTGATCCTTGGCATCAGCACGTAGCCCGGGTCTCTGAGCTTGAATGCAAGCCGAACGGCGTTAATAGAGTCGCTTAGACCAGCAGACTTGAGAAGGTCGAGATGCGAGTTGGGAAATTCGGATGTGCTGGCAGTGGTGATATCAAGTGGGGTTGGGGAGTTGAAAGCTTCGGGCGGCAGAATGAGGAACAAGTCGGTGGGTTTCGAGCCGGCTCCGGGACGAACACGAAGCGGTAAGTGAAGTAGCAATAGGCAAGCATTCCTGTCGTCCGGAGAGTGTCCAAGCAAAAGAGAGAAATCAGCCTTTTTATTGTGAGACGACAAGCGACCAAGAAAATGAGCATGCAGCGCCTCGTCCTCCCACGTTGCAACAACCCGGTCGGCGACGACCCATTTCAAATCTACATGCAGCAACTTGTTGATGTCCTCTCCCGCCTCCATGGCGTACTTTCAACGGGGTGGCGGCAACTAGAATTCGTCAGTAGTGGAAGAAAACGACGAGCCCCCACTCATAAGTGGGATACCCGCCCACCCGGGCTTTTCGCGCAGCGATGCACTGGAGCAGCCCTGACTCGAGATGTAACAGCAGCCACAACGATCGGACGTCCGCACCCGTGGCTTGAGGTGGATCGAGGCAGTCGTTGGCACACAACCGGAACAGCTGGCGCCGGGTAGCTTCACGGTACACTGGTACACAGACGGAGCAGCGAGCGCGTCGAGAAGACACGAGGTTGCTGCCACGCGTCCGGACCAGTTCGCGCTGGCTACCACACAAGACGAGGCGCTGTTACGCAGTCGGGCCAAGCAGCGCGCAGGATGCCTCAAGCGTGCCGTGACGTGTCGATAGCGAAGATGGAAGCAGTGTAGATAGGCGCGACTGGGTTGTCGAGATGATGAATGATGATGGTGGTGGTGATGGTGGTTGGTGAGGGTCGGAGTTGGGGAGGCTGACGCGACTTCATGTCGCGCTGCCCGGTCGGCGAATTGGGTTTTTCCGAGCAAAATTCTATCACGTGTCGGCAGCGCAGCGCACGGTCCATGCACCGCCGTCTCCTCGGTCGATCTTCGGCACTGGCGGATTACTCAGCAACACCCACAACATTAACCTCAACACTCTCTCCTCCAGTCCCAATCCACTTGTTCTCAGAACAAATAGGCACCACCATGTCGAACCGAGAAAAGTACAGGCAACTGCGACTCGAATTTTTTACATCGACTTCTGCTTAGAGTAAAGGCTGTTACCATCCCATCATCATCAAAGATCTTCGTTATAATGCCCAGTCTGCTAAATGCATCGTCAGTGGCCGCAAATGCCCAACTCTTGGGGAAGCTGACATACAGATAGGTGAGCTGCCACATCAACAAAGTCACCTTCTTGTTCCGCCTCGAATCTCGCCCTGGCCGCCTCTTCTTCCGCGACCTTTTCGATTGCTTTCTTTTCTGGACATTCGGGCAGGGAAGAAGCAGATTCCTGGAGGTAGCTGATGCGCTGATCCATCCTCGAAAGCAGTGCTTGTTGTTTCTGTAGCCACCGGGGTATTCAGCACGAGTACATGGGCGATCAAGGAGGCGGCATACCTTCTCCGCAAGTTCACGGATCGCTTGGACGGCGCTTTTTTTGTAGTGCTCCAACTCCTTGTTCCGCTGGTTGGTGATGTCTCGGCTTTGGGAGAGGCCAAGCGAATCGATCAAGTTGATGCCGGGGATGATGTACTCGCGTGAGATTTGACTGTAAAGGCGAGACACTTCGAAAACAACACTAAAGTAGCCTCGAATCATTAGAGTAGTGTTGAGAAGGACCTATGGAAATCAGTAAGTCATCTTTTCTGCTTTTTCACCCGTTGACCAGCCTACCTGCTTCTGGAAATCCCGATATGTGATGCCGGCAATTGCGCCCGTATCGTCTCGGTCGATGCCAGTCTCCATTGTTTCCAGCAGATCTCTACACGGCCCGCGAGCAGCGAACTCGACCATGGCAGAAATCCCCTGGAAAAAGCGAAGCAGTGACGTGATCTGCTCCTTCAGTCCCGACAGTGCGCTGATTGAGGCGCGGAGAATGCGGACAATCTCTTCCTGCGACGAGTCAGCCACAACACGTCAAAAGATCCGAACACAGGGACTTACGAGTGTTATGTTCTCCGCCTGAAGCTTGCCGATTGCCAGCTGGATGTCCGAGATTCTCTCCAAATTTTGGTTTAGTCTGGTGACGCTTGCATCATATGCTTCTCTTTGCACCTCGAGGCTTGCTGTAGTCGACTCGAAGGCCGCAGCGGCTCTTTCAAGCTGCGCTCGCACTGTTGCAGCCATCAGTCATCCATCGAGTGCTTCAACGAGGAGGGGCTTCTATCCATACCGATTGATTTACTGGCCTTGTAGCGCTTCGATTTCGACTTGAGGCGTGGAGGCGTCTGTCTCACCATCAGCGGATGCAGTCTGGACAGGAAGGCATCCAACCCACAGCACCGGCCGCCATGCCCTCCAGGTTATCTTTCCGTGCTTTCAACGAAGCGGCCCGGGCTTGCAGATCTGCCACGTTTTTCTGCCACGCCTCCCAGGCTATGGGGGTGCTTGAGCTGGAAATCTCTCGTTGGGATTTTGCGGCGGCCTGGATGTCGTGTATTATCTGGAAAGCATCAGCGCGCCGTTCGCGTTGACAAGTCCCAACAGCTTCAGTACCTCGAGCGCCTCGTGAATGATATACTTGGCATCGTAAGAGTATGATCCAGGGGCAGCGTTCTCCGGAAGATCGTAGTCCATGATCTCCAAGAATGTGCGGATGGTTCCAGGGCTGTTTTCAGGGATTGTGCCATCCTTCTGGTTTGCAGACGGGAGCCCATTGTGGACAACAGATGAAAGAAGTGACAGATACGTCAGTAAGCTGTCCAAGTGCGTGCACGCCGGATCATCGTGCCTGCCAGGGCCTGGTTCGGCGCTCTCGGGATGATCATGATCATCGTGGTGGTCTCTCATCAGAGTCGACTTCAACGTATCAAAGACAGAATGCCCCAATGCCACGTATTTGTGGGGTGTGAGGGCCGTGACCAGAGCACCGCCGATGCTGAAGACACTCTGGCTGAGCACGTCTACCACGCTCATACCAACAACATCCCAACCTGAGTCGGCCAGTCAGTGCCAAAGTCGAGCTGGCGATGTGGGGGAGAGACTTACCAGAGGGTATTTTTCGAGAGGCCTGCTTGAAAGCATCTTCAGCGAGGAGCATCCTCCTCTGAGCCTCGCTTACGGCGTCATCTCTCCTCTGCAGCTCCTTCTCGGCAAACTCGCCGCGGATCTTCTGTGAGTGGACTTGATCTTGGTTCTCATGGCGCTTATCGATTGTGTCATCTAGACAGTCAGCTGGATCCGACACAGACAGGCGTTTCGGCTTACGCTCGGATTCGGTAGCGACCTGGCTCAGTTCCTGGGCCACGTCCAGCCAGGTCTCGAATCGGGCCTCGATGGCCTGCAAATGGCTCTCGCACTCGCCGACGGTGCTTTTCAACGTGACCATGCATGCGGGCAGCGTCTTTTGCGCACCTTGCTCGTCGTTCAGCGCATCGATGATCCTGTTGACCTGTTGCCAAACACGTCAACTTCCATGGCGCAGGCTTGGAGGCGGGGCGCCTCACGGTGCCCGTGTCGGAGAAAAGGTATCTCGAATGCATGACCAGCTTGTCCATGCGGGTTTCAGTCTCGAGGAAGGTCTTGCGGCCGATGTCGACCAGGTACACCAGGTTGGCCTGCAAGGACTCGTATCTGATGCCAGACTTAGCACCCGTGCAGCGTCACGCAAAGCGGTGCTCGATCGGCTCACTGCAGATGGCTGAATCCATTGCTCGGCTTCCTCAGCTTGAGGCCGGATGCGGCGGGAGACGATGCGACGACCTGGCAGGCTCCAACGAAGCTCAGGGCCAGAGGCGCGGCGCTGAGCAAAGTGCCCCAGTGGTGGTTGCGGATCAGACTGTCGGATATCTCCTGCGAGAACTGGGCCGCCGTCCGGGCCGCCTCCCGGTTCCGCAGCTGCTCATACTTCTCCACGTCCGTGGCCATGCTGCTGGTGTTTTGCGTGCTGTCTCGGGAGCTTGCTGATCTGGCCGTGCGACCTCGTGCCGGGGGGGAACAGCAGGAGCGATCAGATATCAATGCAGAGGCTGAAGAGGCTCTTCAAATAGAGTGAGACGGTTCCACGCGGTCCTGCGCGTCATAGGTGCAGCAGAAAAGGCCGGGCTGGGGTGTCGACCAATGGGGCGGGCATTGCAGCATGTCCGAAACAGTTGCCAGGAGGTGGGATTGGAAAGTGCGACTTCACTCCGCTATGACCGCAAGAGTCCCGTCGCGACGGCTGCTTGCAGGGAGCAAAGCCACACGTTCCCAAAAGAGGCGGTGAGCCGAAGTGAACACGTTTGCTCCGGTTCACGGAGAAATTGAAGAAAAACAGGTGCAAAATCCATCCAATGGCAGGGCGCAGAGGACCGGGACGTGAGAATGCGCTGTACCTTTATCGCGCAGTCGACGCTGCGGCTGATCAGCCACGCCGGCCGGGCTTCGATGGCTCCGTCGGCGGTTGTGCGAGTCTTCTGTGGCTGTGGGGCCCCTGTTTCAATAGTCGTCGATCATGCCACATGATAACCTACGTGTACAAAGGGGTCTTGTCAAGGCCTGATGTACAGCTCACTGCCCAGCTATTTGCCACCCTCCAGCCTGCCTCGCTACTGTAGTCCTTGTCCTGCTCTTCCCCATTGTCGATCTTGCATGTCTCCTCCCCGCCCTGTGCCGGCCCAGCTCTCCCGCCGACATGTCGTTTTCCAAGTCCTCTCACACCATAGCACTGTCGTCTGATTCCTCCCTGTCCGCAAAATGCCGGAAGTGCGGCGGCGAGTGGCAGGACTCTTCCATCCGGCTCGACGATTTCCTGGGAAATGAGGACGGCGCCTTCCAGCTCGGAGACCGGGACTTTTCGCTGACCGCCAAGGACGCCGTCATCGAGCAGACTGAAGATTGCGCCGTCTTGAGAGCGTGCTTGAGAAAACGGGACGGCAGCTGGCAAGACGCTGCTGTCGAGCTCGATGCGTTCATCTCCAACCAAGATGGCGAACTATGCCTGTAAGGATTTCCGGTCACGTGCTGTACAGGTGCTTCTCTGGAACTTGTCTTTGCAACCCTTTACTGACTCCACTAGCGAGATTGACGTCTTTCTCCCTCAGCTTGCCGACGGAGTCACTGACGAGCTGCAAGCCCTGGTCGCCAAGTGCGAGGCCTCGGCCAGAGACCTGCAGTCGAGCATCCGGAACAGCATCACCGAGGGAACAGCCTCGGCCTTTTCCTCCATTTCCTATGCCTTCCAGGGAATCGAAGACACTCAGCATGCCTTGAGAGATGCCCGTGTGGATATAACCCACACAATTCAGCACCAAGCAGTCTTCATCAACACCCTGTTCGTCAAGAGCTTGAATGAATGGACCAAAGTCGAGGATGCCGTCGCTTCGAGCAGCCAAAGAGTCAAGGAATTTCAGCACACCCAGCTGCACGCCTCGATAGCAGAGGTGGAGCAGACAGAAGGGACCATCTCAGCACAGATTAAAGAAACCCAAAGAAGAAGGGCGCGCACCGAAGAGCACATCGAATCGCTGCAAAAGCAGATAGATCTGAACGAGGAGGCTCAAAAGAAGGCCGGCGAGCAGGTCGAGGCGGCAAACGGCCGGACAATCGGATTTTCCATTGTTGGTAAACCCATGACTTGTATCTCTTTCCCTCGAAGCTGACAGATCCAGGCCTCTGTGATACTGCCTTTCATATTCATACCGCTTGCAGTGTAAGTCTTCCAATTTTCCCCGTCACATTGCAGAGCTGACAGCGAGATATAGTACCGCTGCTGGCGAGAGAGAGGACTGGGGCAGACGAAGAGACGGATTCCAAACGAAAATCAACCGAGCAAAGATTGCCCAAGATACGCAAAGGCAGCTTTTGCAACGCTTGGAGGAAGGCATCCATCTGGCCAAGGAAAGCAAGGAAAAGTGTTTTGCTCTCCGCCGCCAGACCGAAAAGCTTACCGAAGACCTCAAACACTTCGAGTCCGGCATCCATGAGCTCAAAAAGAGCCTGACGACCTTTTCTCTGACCCTCAGACAAGCCGAGACCAGCGCGGTAACGGCATTCCAGTACAGCCAGACCTTGGAGGAAGGAAGGACCATCCTGAACGACGCCTTGCGACTCAAATCAGAGCTTTCTGAGCGCCACAAACTGCAACGCCTACTGGAAATCTGAGAGGACGTTGAAGGAAAGATTTTGGAATCTGGGGGATAATTTGAAACCCACGCTTTGCACCTTTCCTGAGAACAGCCGCACCGCCACCATCGTCGCAGACCCATCAGCCATGATCACGAACATTTTGACCAAAATCCCATGTCGTTAAGCTGCTTTCGTAAAAGTGGAATCTCGGAGCTGGCTTCCCCGAGACACCGTCCAACGCGCTTCAGCTTTGCTTCGGACGCAAATTCTAGACCTAGCACGATTCAGTAGCCTGCGGTGGGCTTTTCGAAGCAAATCAGTTACCTCGCGAGTACCGTACCAAAGCGGGAGCGTACCGAGATGATGTCCTGGTCGACCGCGATGAGTTTGCTCAAGTACGACCGCAGTGGAAGATGGATGGATCGACGTTGGCAGGACTGACTTCTCGATGAAGAGAACGGAAAGGAATGGTGCAGATGCCGAGGTGGTTCAGCCCACTTTTTGGTTGCCGCGTAGACAAGTACGCATGTGAGGAGTATTAGAGCCCGAATGAAAGCTACCAGCCGCGCGGTGAATAGCATACAGCTGCGTCGATAGAAGGCCGCGGAAAAAATCAAACCTGCCAGCACTAAACGAAAGGAAAAACGACATTGCAACTTGAAAGTCGAAGCTTGGAAGTTTTGCTCCTGTCCTCAGCACTTGAAGCACAAACGTGATACTTAGCTCCGTGCTGTCTCCTCGTTATCCTCATCATCGTCATCATCATTCACAACGCCGTTTCTTCCAGCACCATGCAAACACTTCCGCCAACGCAGCAACGCCAATACCCCCTGTTCAACACTAAGCTCTTCTCTCCTCAAGCAGCTTAGCAAGTGCAGCCAATGGCATGCCTCTTGTGCTTCTGACGCTCCGCGCTGTTATCCCTGCGCGCCCAGCCCTCAGGTGGGAAGACGTAGTCCTCACGCTTAACCGACATGTCCCGCTTCATCTTCGAAAGCCCAGTCTCACCCGTGGCGATCAGGTCGAGCCAAGCCGCGAGGCGGTATCCAGCTAAGTATCCCCCCACACGTCAGCACACCTCTTTTCCCCACACAAACACAAACAGAGCACTGCTCAAGAGACGAAAGAAGAAGAAGAAGGAAAGAGAAAAGGAGAGGGAAAAAGAGAATCACTCACCCTTCGCGACCTGCAACTTGATCGTATCGATCGAGTCGTCATAATACGTCCCGCTCAAGTCCCCGCTCTCGACGGCGCTCACGCCGTCGGGCAGCACGACCGAGCACACGTACTTGTTCGTGTCCTGCGCCCACACCAGCGCGCTGGCCTGCGCGTCGTCGACGTCCATGCCGTCGAGCCAGCCGGCGGCCTCGCTCGCGTACGCGCCCGACTTGATCGCCGTCGTCAGCGTCGTGGCCCACGACTCGGCGTCCGACAGTGCGTAGCCGCCGATGAGCTGCTCGGGCATGTTGGAGTCCCTGTGGCGGTCAGTATTATCATCTTTGGGGCGTGAAATGTTTTTTGTTTTTCGTTGGAGGGGAGAGGGGACTGGTTTGGATTGGATGTTCCACGTACCAGATGTGGTGCAGGTTGGTGCTCTCGCCATCGTAGGTCACGTCGATGCCGTTGCCGCCGACCTCGAGCGCCTCGTCGTGCAGCGGCTGGTGGATGTCGCCGAGGAAGTGGATGATCCACTTCAGCGCCATCTGCTTCTCCGTGCTGGAGACGCTGGAAGACTGGACGCGGGAGGTCTGGAAAAGAGATTGGTCTTGTTAGCCTGGAAAAAGTCGGGCTTGCTCTGGCCGGAAAACCATATTGAGGATTGGGCACACGTCTGCTGCACACGACCCTCATCTCCTGCTCTTCACCGCAAACCGGTACCATCACCACGATGCCTCCCAAACCGCACCTCCCGCACCTCCCCCCAACCCACCAGAAACCAAAAAAAAAAAAGAAAAAAACCACCACCACCAACAAACGCAAAAAAGAATCCCAACTCACATAATTCGCAATCGCACTGACGATACACCCGCTATCGGGACAGTCCCTCTCCAGCTCGACCCCGCAGCTGTCCGGCGGGCTGTCGTTCGCGTCGATGTAGTGATACTCGGCCGAAAACGCGCCCTCGGTCGTGTACCTATAACTATCCGCCCACGTCGCGACCGACGCGAGGTAGCTGCTGCTCGACGAGACATCCAAAATGCCCTGCGCCCACGCCGCCGTGTCGGCCGACACGAAGTTCTGCGCGATGAAGGCGACAGTCTCGTGGCCGAGGGTGCCCCACGCGCTGGCTAGCGGGAGGGTGCCGGCGGCGGCGATGGCGGCCGCGGCGGTGCGGAGGCGGGGCATGGTTGGTGGCCTGGGTGGGTGGATTGGCGGAGAGAGAGAGAGAGAGCTAGCGAGAATGGACTGATGGTCGGAGGGACTCGAGGTGGCCCGGGGAGAAAGAGGGCGAGGGAAGTGAGTGATGGGAGGACGTGCCACAGGATGAGAAGAGTCGAGGAGCAGCGACATCGGGGGCGCTCGTATATAAATGCATGATAGGCGATGATATGGGTGGCGCGCACGGAGCAGTGGAGAGATAGTACAGCGTCGGTGAGGTCCGGCGATGTGGAGGTTGGTTGGCGATTAGTAGCTGCAAAGGCCGGGGATGAACAAATAAAATGCCGGCGGCAAGGATGGAAGGCGGAAGGCACAAGATGCGAATCAGCGGAAGCGAATCAGGCACCGTCGGCCTGAACGACATGCCAGGTCCCGCCTAGCGCTCGGCGGGGAGACCTTTCCCAAAGAGGCAGCCGCATCAACACTCGATGCCGCGCTGCAGCAGAGGCCACCATAGGAGCCCGAGGCGTGTTGCGCGACTCTGGTTGGCTACACAGATATGACAAGCTGCGGCGACCCTGGCCCCATGTTTCACAGCTCGCTGCGCGGGGAAGCTTGCCGGTCCTCAGTCTCTTCCATGTTTTTCTTTTCGTCTGCGACGAGAGTGTACTGAATATTGGGCAATGAAGACCTAATCATGGACGCCTTGCCTACCGCTCCCAGTTCAGACTAATCTTACAACACAAGAAAATCCCGCGAGGGCCAGAGAAGACGGAAGACCGTGTTCGTCGTCGAAATGCGCGCCGGAGCGACCCGATGCGCTGGAAATCAAGAGAAAAAGCTTATCATCCCCATCCCCCACGTGCAACTAGAGCTTGTTACTGCTTGGTTGCCTCCTTCGCCTCGCTTGCAGGCTTGGGTGCGCTCTTCTTCTCCTTATCCTCGGCACTCGCCTCCTTGACTTCGTCCTCGCTGGCCGAAACCTCCGGCGGCTGAGCGCTGGCCTCGTCTTCGCCCTTCTCCGCCGTCTCGGGGTTCTGGCCCTCGTAGTCAGGGTGAGGCGGCGCAACGCCCTCGCCCTCCATCTCGTTGCCCGCTGCGTCCACCATCCGCGTCCGTGTCTCGTAGCGCGTCTTGAAGCTGACCTTGCCCTCGAGAGCCTTGACTTGTTCCTCATTGAGGATGTTGCCTGCCTCGTCGCGGTACTCAACCTTCTCCTCGCGATCGAGAACGTTGCCGTCATCCGCCTGCGGCGTAACCTTCTGCTCCTTTGGCTGCTCCTTTTGACCCGCCGGCACCTCGGCGACAGGGGTGCTGGACGCCTTCGGGACCCACAAAGGTCCATACTGATCATACTATTCGAGCCGTTAATTGAGGTGTTTGTGCAATCTAGTAGAGGAGCTTACCGAAGTGTGGAAGGTGTTGCAGTCCCAATCCCACTTGTCGAACAGCTTGACAGCCTTGCACTGATCCTGCGTCCAGGCATTGCCGTACGTGAGCGGTGCATACAGGGTGAACACGGTGATGGAGGCCGCGAGGAAAAGGATGGCGCCGGTTTGCCCAATGACAGGACGCTGCTTCAGGCCGAGGCTAGAGAAGCGGTTCACAGCAAAGTCGTAGATCTGGCAGAGAGCCATGATAGCAAAGTACAGGGCAGGGAAGTAGTGGTGCAGGAACAGCTGGCGCTGCATGAGGTAGAAGGGGAAGTAGTGGAAGAACCATCCGAGAAGGGTCATGCCAACTTCATAGTCAAAACGCTTGAAAGTGACGTTGCTGTAGTCCTTGAATCCACGCTGCCAGCGAACAACCGCGAGAGCCTTGACGACCACGTAAGCAAGAACGGCGACCGTCGAAGACCACCAGATGAGAGGGTTGCCGATGAGGTAGATCTGACGGTGGTTTTGGCCCCAGAAGTTGATACCACGCTTGAGGATGGGCCAAGACGGAGGACGAGAGTCCCACGCATGGGATTCGGTGAGGCCGGCATTCGTTCTCCACATGACCTTCTGAAGCTCCCAGAACTTGCCAAAGAAGCCGGGGTTCCTGTAATTGACCTTCTCGGCGTCGGGTCCGAGCTTGGGGTGGTCGTTCGACTCGATGTACCAGATGCTGTTGGGGAGAGTACCGCCTCGGGCACAGGTAACCTCCTGCTGCTCGTATCCCCAGTCTGGAAGCTTGACCTTGTGCGAGAAAAGAGTGCAGCCCGTCATGATGTGGACAAGCTTGAATTTGGTCTGAATCGTGCGAACCCGCTTCTTGGCCTTCTCGCCTTCAGACAACCAGGGAACGATTTCAACCTTGAACAAATCGTTGGCATCACCTTCGAAGCCTTCGTAACCATACGCGGAGACCTCGTTTTGCCAATCAGCCTCGCTCACCGGGGGACGAACATCATGGGAGTGGAGACGGCGGTCAGTGGTGATGTGGTAAAGCTTGAGGACAGCACCATCTTCGATCCAGTTGGGGTCCAGGGCGTCCCAAGCACCGGGGCCGGGAATGGTAGTGTTGTCAGGAAGCACAGGCTGGGTCTGGTTCTCAAGCAGCCAGATGTTGTTCTCATCCTTGTGGGGGTAGAGGGTAATCTGCTGCTGGTTGCTGCCAGTGGGGTACATGTGCGCGTGAGAGTGCAGGTAACCGCCTTGAGTGGCGTGGTGGCGGAGGCTGATCCTGCTACCGAACGCTACATCGGCAGCGACGTCGGCCATACCCTTGTTGTTCAGAGTAGCCTGGAATTCCGAGGACATGAAGCCGTCGCCCTCACCGGGGTTGACCAAGCAGAGGAAGTGGATGGCGAACATTCCAACGTAGAAGCCAATGGGGATGATCACAAGGCAAAAGAAGCGGGCAAAGAAGTGCTTGAACCAGAGGCGCTGCAAAGAATTAGCACACCGATGGCTTACAGAAAACTTCAGGACCTACCGGAGTAACATTCTTCGCGTCACCGAGAAGAACCCACAGCTGAAGAAGGGTCAAGCTTCCCACCCACGCAATTGTGAACAGGCCAACCCACTTCACGCTGGCGGTAGCTCCCAAGCCCAGACCAGTGAGGACAAGATACGTCCACCAGGCGGGCTTGAATGCCTTGGAAGGGCCTTGTTCGTGCTGATTCGTAAAGAGAGTCCAGCTGAGCGCGGTGAAAGCGGTGAAGATGACCAGAGGAGAATCCAGGAGGATAAGGCGGGACTGGGTGACAAAACCGTTCTCTGTACTCTTGTTAGTCGTGGTGTCTGCAGCATCCATTGGCTCAATTCAGATCCATACCGAAGATGAGCAGGCCGGCGCCGAGAGCGGCAATATTGGTTTGGGCGCCATAAGCCTTGAGAGTCAGGAACATGGTGGGGATGGTCATAACTCCCAGAATCGCAGGAAGCAGACGCATAGCCACGTATGGAACCTTGGGCTCGATGTAGTCCTTGCCAATATCCTTGAAATCGAACTCGCCGTCGAAGCCGGCCAGCCATCCAGCAAGGGTGATGAGCAGCTTCGCAAGCGGCGGGTGGACATCCATGAAGAATTTGCCCTTGATGTACTTTGAGGCGAAACCACCGAAGCTACGTGGGGTCCGCTGTCAGCACACAGGAAAAGCGTCTTGCAAAGTTTCAGCTGGACTTACTGGACCTCGTCGAAGACAACGCTGCCAGGCTGGTAGATGCGGAACAAGCGCACGCCAGCGGCGACCAGCGTGAGCAGACCGAGCAGCTGCCAGTCGGAACCGGGCAGCTTGGAAATGTCATTGTCCTTCACGCCCTCGGAGGTGTAGCCGCGGACGGGAGATTTCTGATTTTTGGATCGCGCAGGAGACTTGCCCCGACCGCCGCGCGGCGGGGGTTGCTGCTCGAGCAGCGTCTTTTCCGAGCCCATGGTGGTCGTGCCGGAATATGCGGTTACTTAGAGTTGAGCCTGAGTCGCGACCGGCATGCTACGGCTTGGCCTGGGCTGAAGAAAGACGGCGGGCGAGGGTGCAGCGTCGCGTGCGAGCGGCAAGAGGCAATTGATGGGATGCGAGGCGGAGTCGGGAGTGGAGGTGTCGGGAAGGCGCGAAGGAGCGACTAGAAAAGGCGAAGAGAACACCTGGCCGCGGTGGGACGGGTGATGATGGAGTTCTGGAAGACACAGGGGATTGGACGATGATCTCCCTTGCCGCGTAGTACTTGACAAGGTGGCCTTGTGGCTTGTGCGCAAGCTCCAAAAATACACAAATGCCGCCGAGGCTCCAGCGCAGCGGGGTGCCGGCAACATGAACCACCTGGAGGTATGTGAAAGCATATTGACTGCCTGATGATCTGCGCCTGCCAGAGTTCTGGATGTATCCGCCACATGCCTCTCCGCCTTGTTTCGTGCCTGGTTGGGGTCGGTATCGACGCGTCGCGCAGCTGCCCCTTAGCGGTTTGCGCGCCGTTGAGGCCGAGTCTTATTGCGCCGCACGACGGTCTCGGGCTACGATTGGACAATTGGTTTCTTGCACAGCTGAACGGGGTCTTGCAAAAGGCAGGAACCAAGCGGGTGGCGCCAGAGTGAGGAGCCCTCAATCGCCTGGTACTTGCTTGAAGCTCAATGTAATGTAAGCCGCTGTAAAAGAGTTTACGTGAAGGAATGCACCAATGCGCCACGTAGGCGACTTCTCTCGATGCAGTGTGTGCTGAATTGAGAATGATACCACGTATTGCAGCGCCAGACGCGCCTCAGCTGGCGCGTGCTGCACCGGACCCTGGCGCGACAGAAATTGTCCGACGCCAAGCTTTCCGCCCCGCTCTCCGCCCGGGACGGATCAAGGTTGCGGCGCGTGTTTCGTTCTGCCGCGCCTTCGAGCTTCCTATCGTCGCGCTCACGCAACCGTGAGGTGTCCGGCACCATCCACACGTCTTCCGCACCCGGCCGTCCTCTCACCCCGGTGCCTCACACGTCGACCGCCGTGCTCGTGTTAGCTGTTCAAACCGCGCCGATTCTGCCGCCATGGCGACACCCACCCCTCCGAACGGATCAGACGCAGTTGGCCAGGTGCCGACAGGCATGATTCGCCCCCCCAAGGAGCTCCACGACACGATCGAGAAGACCGCAGGCTACGTCTCCCGCAACGGCAAAGTCTTCATCGAGCGCCTTCGCGCAAACCACCGCACCAACCCGAAGTTCTCATTCGTTTTCGAAGAAGACCCTTTCCATGCTTACTTCCAGTGGCGCATTGAGGAGCACAAGAGTGGACGCGGAGCTCAGCTTGGCGCGGGACAAGTAGGAGCGGATGGCGTTGTTCAGCAAACCAAGCCTTCGGGCCCCACTGAGCCACCGGAGTTCCATTACTCTGCACGTATGCCAAACATCAACGCGCAGGATCTCGACGTCATCAAACTGACCGCTCGTTTCGCTGCGAAGAACGGACGTGCCTTCACCACCCAGCTCGCCCAGCGCGAGGCCAGCAACTCGCAGTTTGACTTCCTTCGCCCTCAGCACAGCTTGAATCAGTTCTTCAACCGCCTGGTCGAGCAGTACAAGGAGCTCTTGTCGGGTGAAAATGAGGATGAGCGCAAGGCACAACTGGAGGAGAACGTGAGGAACAAGCTGAACATGCTTGAGAAGGCCAAGGCACGCGCGGAGTGGACCAAGTTCCAAGAGAAACAGCGTCAAGAGAAGGAACAAAAGGATGAGGATGAGCGGGTCGCCTACGCTGAGATCGACTGGCACGACTTCGTCGTCGTCGAGACAGTCCTCTTCACCGACGCCGATGAGCAGACGGAGCTGCCACCTCCGACCTCTCTTAACGATCTGCAGAGTGCCTCGCTGGAGCAGAAGGCTGCCATGTCCCTTCGTCCCCACAACATGCGTATTGAGGAAGCAATGCCCGATGAGGACCTCGCCCAGTGGGCTCAGCCTACTCCCACAGTCCACACACCCCAGCCGCAGGTTTTGCCGTACCAGCCTCAGCCTCAGGCAACATACGCAACTGGTCACGGTCCCCAGCGCACGGCACAAGAGGAAGAGGAGGAACGCATCATCCGCGAGAGGAGGGAACATATGGAGAGGGCACAGCAGGCCCAGGCCGCTGCCAAGGCCGGTCCTCCGCAGATGAAGATCAGGAGCGACTACGTGCCGAGAGCCCAGGCCAAGCGCAAGGCTACTACACAGGTTCCTTGCCCGAACTGCAACCAGCTTATCGACGTCGACGAGCTCGAGCAGCATATGAAGAGTAAGTCTGTGCCGGTGTTTTTGCGTTCCAACAGCCCATGTGCTAACGTGTGTCACAGTCGAGCTCCTCGATCCTCAGTGGAAGGAACAAAAGGCGAAGGCCGATGCTCGCTTCTCCACCAGCAACCTGTCGACGCAAGATGTCGCAAACAATCTCAAACGACTTGCCAGTCAGCGCGACGATATCTTCGATCCGACGACCGGGGCCCGCATCACTGCCGAAGAGGAAGCCAGGAGAAAGAGGGCAGCCACCGGCTACGATGGACAGCCTACGAACGCAGATGCGGCCCAGATGGCTCAGATGCAGGGTATGAACATTCAGGAACAGATCCGCCAGATCCATCAGAAGTTCAAGCAGTGAGGCATGGCGGATCTAGATTTGTACAAAAAAACAAAGCTATGGGTTTGCGGGCGGCCAATGTAACGGGAGCATCACTGGCGTTGGTGGGGCAAAGGACTTCTCAGGCTTGCTTTTCAGGATATCAGGCTGACAGAGCCAATTTTGGTAGTTTGGCGCAATGGTGTAATGCGCGGTACAAATTCACCTGGTGTAGCAATAAGATGATAAATCTGCACAAGCACTTGGGCGCGCCGGGTCGTGTTTGCGATTTTGTGAGAGGGTGAGGTGCAGGGCCCTTATCTCCGCAGATATTCCCGCACCGAGGAACGGCCAGCGAGCGAGCTTCTTTTCCATGACATAAACGCCTGGCGACATCTCTCCGCCATCGCTTCTTTCTCCCTCTCCGCCACCCCGGATCAACTCGTGAACTTCAGAGCCAACATGTCCGCGGTCGCAGCAGACACCGCATATCAGGCGCGTTCACTGGTGAGTCGCCCGTCGCTGCTGATATTACAGTGTTTGCCCGTCGCCTCCGTCACGAAGCTTCGCGCCTCCACAAAATCGCATTCGTTCTCGCGGTCGACTTTTGTGTGCGCATGCTTGCTTCTGAGGCGGCGCTTTGTCCATGTGACCTGCTAATCCTCTCCGCCATCTCCAGTATCGCTCGCTCCTCCGCCAGGCCCGTCAGTTCGCCGCCTACAACTTCCGCGAGTATGCGTTACGCCGGACGAAAGATGCTTTCCACGACAATCGGCGCCTGACCGATTCGCGGGAGATACAAGATGCCATATCGAAGGGTCTGAAGGAGTTGCAGGTTCTGAAGGTGCGTGTTTTTGACTCGGCGGTCCGGCGGGCTTCACGCCTCTTGCGTTTGGAGCACCCGACAGCCTACAAGGGTTGCGTTCGTCGCATTAGCGCGTCAGGCGATGACAAGATTTCACGGCGGCACAGTTGGATGGCTCGCTCAACTAGGGCTGCTTGACTTCCGTTCGTGCGTCCGGCGTTGCTCCTCGGCGGAGAACCCGGAGCATGCGGAGCTTTACGCCGTCGGACCCAGCGCTGGATACATCACCACGTACTGTTGCTTACATTTAACCTACAGAGACAAACCGTCGTCAGCCAGTTCTACCAACTTGATCGGTTAGTGGTGGAAGGCGGCAAGACCGGCAAGCAGACTGGCAGAGAAGGCGGAATTGTCAGGCAGAAGGATACTGGGTAAGCCTCGGTGCCATCCCAGCATGAGTTGTGACAGCCACTATGTAGATACGGCTAACGCGGCATGCAGCTGGGACTAGAGTTGGGTTGGACGATGATGAATAGGGCATTTCTGCGAATCACGGGCGCGGCGGGCACTCGGCAGGGCTTAGGGCATTTTTGATATCAATCTCCACTGGAACCGTATCTAGAGGATTGTGCTGGGAGGCGTCAAATGTGTAAATCAGCGATAATATAGAAGCACTTGGTATTGCTCCTCGACCCTCCGTGTCTCCCGACTGCAGCCGTGGGCGGCAAAAGTGTGATGGGTAACTTTGCTTAGTCAGCGGGTTTGTGCACGGACTCATCGGGAAACAACACGTGCTGTTCGCAGCAAGACTCGCGACGCCTGTTGCTCTCTCTCCCATCCACGCGCGCCGCGCTTACTACTGCCGGTGACTCGCCCATCACTTCTCCACTCTGCATTCGCTCGTGCCCCTGCGCGATCCAGATCATCATGGCGCCGGTAAGTCAGGCTCGCTTTCCCTTCTGTTCCTACCCTTCGAAGTGCACGCGCGCCCCGTAACCCCCCGATCTGGCCGACGCGATCTGGACCTGCAACACCCCCGAGCCGAAACCCCAATGCATCCGGTGACGCCTGCATCTCAGGCATGCGTTGGACTCGCAGGCGCGATGCACGGGTCAGGCCCTTCCTTTCCTGTTTCGCAAACCAGTGCAACGCCCCAATCCTGCGAAAGGTGCCCTGTAGCCTCACACCTGCTGCGCAATTTCGTCATCTCGTTCAATCATTTCATATAATTTTTTGATTCACGGAGCTTGCCAAACGTGCATGAAAGATTGCTAGCGCATTTGCTCGAGGAAACGGACTACGCGGCCTTCACGTCGACCCCACTTCAAACGCCGACAATCACCTTTTCAAAGGCTTTCTCTTCTATCTCTATCCAATTCCCAGCACCTGACCACACCGCAAATCATATTTTTCTTTGCTCCTTGAAGCATACATCAACCTTCTGGCCAAGAAGAAAAGAAAATCCAAGCCCGGTGAAAGCCGCTTCTGCTAGCTGCGTTACCGGAATGGATGAAGACCATTATATTGATGTTTTTTTTTGTATTCGGGTGTATTATAGTCCAAGCCCACTGATATGTCTCACAGTTCCGTCCTAGTGGCCGAAGCAACCGGTCTGGCCGTGGCCAGGTTGACCATGATGTTTTTGAAGGTCTGCCAATACGCCAATGGCGACAAGCAGAGACTACAATCGGCCCTGCAGTCAATCAACAACAGCAGCCGCTGTCCAAGGACGATTGGCCTGAACCTCCAATGCCACGCGACTCACATTTATTACCCGACCACAGCCAGATATTACTACGAGCTGCACGAGCTGGGAGGCTCTACAAACGGCCGACGCCGCCGGACGAAGAAAAAGAAGAAAAGGTTGGCGAAGAGGACGAGGAAGCCAAGGAGCCTCAAACCGGCTATACTACCAAGAAATGGAGCCAGGTCCCCCGCCACATGGAAGAGCCAGAACAGGAGTACCTTGCCAAGAGGAGAAAAGGCCTGCCATCGGCATTTTCGGGGCAGAGCAGCAATGGCCATTCTGCACCCAGCGGGCCGATGCGAGAAACAAAGGTCAAAAAGACTGATGCAGACGGCAACGTCCATATCTACAAGGTCTTGGTCCCTGAAGGGCAAACGGTGGAAGGCGAAGTTGCTGAAGAAGATGTGGAGATGAAGGAAGCAGCCCCAGAAGAGGCCCTGCCTGGAACTGTGGTCGAAGGCGTAGGCGTCGTCAATGCCGAGGGTGTTGTGGTAGCAAACCAGCCAACGCCTCCAAGACGCAGGCCACCTCCGCCACGTAGAAAGCCCAAGAAGGGACCCGGTAGGGGTCGGAAGAAGGTCATGTTCACTCCCGGCGAGGGTGCCAACGGTGCAACAACTGGAGCGGATGGTAGCGCCCAAGGCGGGGATCCGAACATTAAAAGCGAGGGGACCCCTGCTCCAGGTGACACACCGATGGCCGAGGGAGGAGACAACGATGAGGAAGGTTCAGATAGCTCTGAGGGCGAGGAGGACGACGACGAGAATCGCGAAGGGTCACCAACCCCGGGCGAGAATACGCCGTTGCCAAAAACAGAAGAATCTGCCACTCCAGCTCCGGCACCAGGGGCCACCGAGTCAGCTTCTGCATCCGCACCACCTGAGGAAGAACAGAAGCCAGTTGCTACTACCGAAACCTCCTCTGCTGCACCCGAACAGGTCATTCCCAGGAAACGACGCGCCGAATCTGACGACCGAGATGCATCAAGCTCACCGGACCTTCCGCTCGCAAAAGCGCCTGGCAGTAACAACAGTCGTCAGGCTTCGGAGCAGCGCAAGACAAAAACACCGACGCCTCCAGCGAAGAAATCAGCAACTCCACCTCAGGCGGCCGAGACCAAGGAAGAACCTGAACAAGCGGATCAGCCGATTTCAGCGCCAGAAGTCGCCGCATCAGAAGACAAGCCCGAGCAACCTCAAGAAGCTCCAAAGGAAAAGACGCCTGAACAGAAAGAGGAGGCACAACCGGAGCAACCGCCTTCGCAGCCGGCAGAGTCGCAGCCCGCCGAGCAGCAGCCGTCGCCTGAGAAGATGGATATCGATACCACGGTTGAGCATGCCGAGGCGCAGCCCGAGGCGCGTCCTGAAGCGGAATCTGAGATGCAGGTTGAGACGCAGCCGCAGGCACAGGCGCAGCCGGAGCCGGAGCCGCAGCCGCCAGCTGAAAATCAAGCTGCCGAGAGCGAGGTTGATATTTTTGGGAGTTTGGAGCAGCAGTTGGAGAACGAAGGGCAGGGCTGAAGTGCTCATTGGGACCCTTGTTTGGGCTCGAGCATTCTGTCAAGTGTATTGGTGTGTGAGATGCAGATGGGTTATCGGGCATGCCTCCGATTGGTAGAGTCAAGAGGCGTTCCTTTCTGTTTGTAAAACATCCGTTCTTAACCGTATCATTTTCTTGGATGAGATGGTCCCAGTGACGTTCAAGCAGCTGCGCGGGAATGATTCTACTCCTGCTTTGGCCCATGAACAGTCCCCCAAAGGCTGGTGAGTTGCTATTGGCATGAGGCATGAACAGGGGTTCGCTTGAAACCGCATTTCACCACTTTCCTATCTCAGCAACTTGAGGGCCGAACACGCCAGCCCTCTTGCTGTTTCCCATGATTCACCCATGCAGACCTCCGGCCAGCCATGTCAGCAGAAAATGAGCAAATGAGCCTTGGCGAGCCGCAGGTCCAGTCTTAGCCAATGTTGCTTAAGCGTGCCATCTACCTCGGTTATAAGGTTTAAGAGACAAAGGCTGCACGGTTGCTTATCTGTGCGTGCATGCAATAGAAAGACGACACGGTAGAAATAATAGAGACGGACGCTAAATGAATAGGTAGGTGCAGTGCTAGCGCAATGAGGTGGCGAATAACGCGCTTGCCGCCGACAACCCCGCCATGGCCGCCCCCACCTTGAGGTGTTTGAGCAGCCATCACGTGCTCGGCGTGTTTTGGGGGGCCTGACATCAGATAAGGGCTCGGAGGGGAGAGGAGGGCGCCTGAGGCGGACAATGTCGTGTCACTTGCCGCAAGAGTAAATGGCAGGATGTCGTGCAGCATGATCGTTGGGAGATCCCGTCCTCCCGCGCAGTCATTTACCCGAGGCTCTCCGTCGCGGACAGGGATCACTGCCAGCGCAGGTGGGGAGTGGCTTGCTGGTCCAGTGGGGACGGCGGCCAACACTAAAGTGGAACTCAGCTGACGAAAGAAAGGCCGAGACTATTGATTGCATACATCGATGGCGCTTCCCCTCTGGACCACAACACTCCTTGATCTTGCTTTTTTTGCTCCGCCAGTATGAGCCGGCAAGACTCCCCGCTGGCCTTTGACGACGGTGCCAGCTCGTGGTATTTGGAGCAGACGCCGGCCGGGTCCAAGGACCTCTGTGATAGGTGCGAGGAGGTGCTCAGCCTCGCTGCGTCCAACGCCACCTCCAAAGCTTCCGTCCACCACCGCTGCGCCGGGAGCTTCTTCAAAGCCGCCGACGGGAGGTGTCTGATCTGCAGCTACCTCTGCGGGAAAATCCCATGGAAGGCCGACTTCTTCCCAGATGAGATACTCGAGGCCATCGTCCCCGGCGCGCCCTTCTCGACCTATTCGGTACATCGGACTCGACTGGAGCTCCGCCTGGAATGGGTAGGCGAATCATACGACCCGGGCAAAGGCCTGATATGGTCACTGCCCTACCCGCTGAACCGGAATGCTCCCCCGTCCTTTGTCTCGGACCGGCCGACATACAACCTGGATTTCCGAGCTTCCGACTGTACGCCCCCCCGGCTCTCCGGCCAAAGAAGTCACTAACAGAGTCGCAGGCAAACGCTCGAGTATTGAGCGCCAGTCAATACCCTCGGCCATCGGGCTCGCGGAAAGGATGCCGCAGATCAAGTCATGGCTCGACGAGTGCGATGGCCAGCACTCGACATGTCGTTCTCTCAAGCGCGCTTCGGGCTACATTCCTACGCGGTTGCTGGACCTGGGCTCGCCCCGTGACCCCTACGTCCGCCTGGTACAGTCCCACGAGTGCCCTGCTCCTTGCCGCTATGTCACCCTGAGCCACTGCTGGGGTGCCACCAGAATGGATGGACCGTCGCGGCTACTGCAAGCAAACTACGCCACCATGCGTGCCGGCATCGCCAATCTCCCAAGAACATTCCTGGAAGCCGTCCAAGTCGCACGGCACTTGCAAGTGCGCTACCTGTGGGTCGACAGCCTCTGCATCATCCAGGACTCGCCGCACGACTGGGAGGCCGAAGTATCGCGGATGGGCCAGATATACAGCAACTCGCACTGCAACATCGCGGCCGCCGGGGCTCGCAACAGCGCCGGCGGGCTGTACCTCGAGCAGAACCCCCGTCTCCAGCCGCCGTGGAGGCTGTATCTGCGGGACGCCCACTCGCAGGCGGCGAAGCTGATGGAGCTTTCGGCATCCGCTCCCATCGGAGACGAGTTCGCCGCGGCCGCGCTGGCCTCGCGCGCCTGGGCCCTGCAGGAGCGGCTCCTTGCGCCGCGAACCCTGCACTTCGCCCGCCAGCGCATCTACTGGGACTGCGGCCACAGCTTCACCTGGGAAGGCTCCGCCGAGCCACGCACCGCCTCTCAGCTCTCCACCTCCTCCTACCGCCCGTCCTGGGTGACGCCGCTCACGGACGCGAAGCTGTCACTCGCTTCGCTCCTCTACCAGAGCCGCCAGCACGCCGCCCTCGCCGTGCTGCCGCCGCCGCCGCCGCCGCCATGTCGCCATGAAGACAAGACCTCGCCCGCCAGCGCGAACGTCGACGTGGACGAAGTCGCCATGATCCACGCGCAGTGGACCGCCATCATCGCGCACTACACGACGCTCTCGCTGGCCAAACAGAGAGACAAGCTGCCCGCCCTGTCCGGGTTAGCGAACCTCTTCCAGTCCTTGCTTAACGACGCCTCCTCTTCCTCTTCCTCTTCCCTTCCCTCTCCATCCTCCTCCCCCTCCTCAGCCCCTTCCGCCTCACTCTCACCTCTCTCTTCCTCGCCTTCCCGCCCCTCCATCACTCCACCATCACCGCCGTCCACCTCCTCCTCCTCCTCTTCTTCTTCTTCCTCCTACCTCGCCGGCATCTTCTTCACCACCCCTCCATCGACTCCGTCCACAACAACCCCAACCCCCCTATCAACCCACCGCCAACTCCTCTGGCGCCGCGCCCGCTCCGCCCCAACCAACCCCCTCCGCGACACCGACGCCACCGTCGCACCGACCTGGTCGTGGGCGAGCCTGGAAAACACGCCCATCGTCTACCCCGGCAGCAGCAGCAGCAGCACCAGCACCAGCACCGGCAGCACCGGTGTCGGCGTCGGCGCAGCATGGCCGCCCAACGGCGAAACCAGCGTCGACTACCGCGCCACCATCGCCATCGAGGGTGGTGGTGGTGGTGGTGGTGCCAACACGACTCCTCCTCCTCTTCCTCCTGCTACTACTACTTCCATCCTCCCCAACACGACCGCCGCCGCCGCCGCCGCCGCCGTCCGACCACCAGCGCCAGCAGCAGTAGTGCCGTCAAAAAGAAAAGCAGCAGCAGCACCGCCGGCGCCGGCGCCGATCCTCCACGTCCGCGGCAAGCTCGACCGCTCCTTCTGGCGCCACACGCTCGGCCGCGAACAGCCGCTCGGCGGCCGGCGCAGCTCCAGCGCGAGCAGCTCGTCGAGCGGCGGCCGCCGCCGGCGCGATTTCGTCTACGTCGAGGAATGCGGCGGCGGTAACGGCAACGGCAACGGCAAGAAGCGGCGGCGGACGGAGCTGCGGGTGGAGATGGATGCGGATGAGTGCGGTGGTGGTGGCGGTGCGGAGGGCGGCGATGGGTATGGGGTGGATAGCGATGATGATGATGATGGGGGTGATTCCGGGTTGGCGTTTTTGGCAGTGGTGGCGTATAGGGTGGAGAGGAGGGATGCTAGGGTGGTGGAGGGCTTGGTGTTGGAGAGGGCGTGGGCGTCGCGGGTGAAGGATTCGTGGCAGCGGGTGGGCGTGTTTGTGTGTGAGTATGCGGGGGTGGTGGCGGAGTGGCCGGGGCCGGGGCCGGGTGGTGTTGGAGCGGGGTGGGGAGGGTTGAATGGTGGTGGTGGTGGTGCTGTGGGGAATGCGGCGCCGGAGGTTGGGAAGGGGAGTGCGGAAGAGCTGTATCAGAACTTTCTGGCTTTGCCGGACAAGTCGATGAGGTTGGTGTGACGGGGATGGGAATTTTGATGGTGATTGGCAATAAAGAAGGAAAAAAGAGCAAAGGCCGTGGAGCGGAGAGGCAAAACTGAAGCCTTCGGCATGCGTTGAACATACCTCGGGCTTGACAGAAAGACTCTATGGGTACCGTCTTTTTTGGCCTTCCCTAGCCTTGATTCGAACCCATCACCTACTTCCCCACATAGAAGGTGTATGGTCCAGGAGCGCAACATGATGTCAGTCAACCTGGACGGAGTTACGAATCAAGGACTAGCTTATCCTACGTCGTCACAGATAGGATATATATACCAACACTTCGAGACGACGCCCCCAATAACAACTCGAGTACATAGGGGCACGCTGTATATACGAATTTTATTCTCATTGACCTCGACTCGAGAATTTTAGCGATGACCACAATCCCGTGAAGGCGTAGAAAGCCACAACGCCGCTTTGCCACATGACTCTACGTCGACAACAACAACAACAACAACAACAACAACAACAACAACAACAACAACAACAACAACAACAACAACAACAACAACAACAACAACAACAACAACAACAACAACAACAACAACAACAACAACAACCGCCCACATCTTCCCAATCACTCACTCCTTCACCAAAAACGCCAACGCCCCGCCCGCATACCCATCAACCCCAAACCTCAACGCCCCAATCACAGGCGCAAAGAACGGCGAATGATTGATCGGCACCCCCATCCTCACCCCATCCTCGCCGCCCTCCCTCTCCAACCGATCCCACAACTCGGGATCCGTCCCGCCCCACGTGAAAAAAACGCCAGGCCTCCCCACGCTCGTCGCCAAAACGCCGCAATCCTCGCTGCCGCCCAGCCTCGGCGCCTCCCTATCATACCCCTCCCCGAACACGCCCTCAAACGCCTCCTCCACCCTCGCCGTCGCGCCCTCATCATTCACCAAAAACGGGAAAGTCCGCGTCTCGACCAGCTCGGGCGCGCTGACTGTGCCATCGCCGCCGCCCGCGGCCGCGCTCTCGGCGTCGACGATGCGCCGCACGGCGGCGAGGACGCGGGCGCGCGAGCCCGGCGAAAAGGTGCGCACGTCGACGCCGAGCGAGGCCGAGGCCGGGATGATGTTGACGGCGTCGCCGGCGCGCACGTAGCCGACGGACACGACGGCGGCTTCTTGCGGGTCGACCTCGCGCGAGGCGATGGTCTGCAGGCGCGTGATGGTGTGCGCGGCCGTGACGATGGGGTCGATGGTGAGGTGCGGTTGGGAGGCGTGGCCGCCGCGGCCGTGGATGGTGAGGCTGGTGGTTGGTGGGGCGGTGGTTAGTGTCTTGGGGTGTTTTTGTTGTGCGTTATGTGGAAGGGGAGAAGGGGGGGAGGGAGGGGGGAGGCGCCGTACTTGTACGAGTCTGCCGCTGAGGCTACGAGGCCGCGCCGGGTGCCGATTGTCCCTATGACCATGACTATTAGCCTTCTCTCTCTCTCTCTCTCTCTCTCTCTCTCTCTCTCTCTCTTCCTCTCTCCTACAAGAAAGAACCCCCCAAAAAAACCCACTCACCAGCCTTCTGAAACAGCACGTGCCCCCCGACAACCACATCCGGCACCGGCACCACGTCGTACAAGCCGCCCTCCACCATGGCCAGCGCGCCCTTGCCCAGCTCCTCCGCCGGCTGGAAGCACACGACGACCGTGCCCTGCCACTCGTCTTTCGCCACGCACAGCAGCTCCACCGCCGCCAGCAGGCTCGCCATGTGCATGTCGTGCCCGCACGCGTGCATGACGGGCTTCACATCCCCACCCAACGCCTCCATCGTCTTCGTGCTCGCGTACGGCAGCCCCGTCGCCTCCTTGACGGGCAGGCCGTCCATGTCGGCGCGGAGGAGGACGATGGGGGACGGCGGCGGCGAGTCCGACGACGAGGAGGTCGAAGAAGAGGAAGGCGGGTTGCGGATGGTGGCGGCGAGCCCGTGGGTGCCGCCGATGTCCGGGTGGATGGACGTGGCGAGGTGCGGGTGCCGCGCGAAGATGGACGCGAGCTGCTTGCGCATCTCGGCGGCGGTGTCGCGCTCTTGGAAGGAGAGCTCCGGCGTTTGGTGGAGGTGCTTGTAGAGCTCCTCGTACGGCGCGAGCGCGGGCCGGTGGGCGGTGATTATTTGGCTGATGCGGGACGGCGGCGGCATCGTGGCGGTGGTGGGGATGGTTGCGGTCTGGGTGGTCAATTGGAGCTTTGGGGAATCGCTGTACGAGGTGGGAACTGATGTTGGGTCGAGGGAACAATAAAATAATACCTTGTGAATGACTCTTTGAATCGTCTGATGTAAGTGGGGGGGGCGGATTGCGGGGCTCAAATGCCGATGATCAAGGGTCCACCCGAATCCCGTGAGTCACCTGTGCCGACAAAACAGTCATTCCAAAGCGGGTTGCAAACGATTGAGCCGACCCGCGTCTGTATTAGAGCTATTACACCTACTCATATAATGGTTGGACAATCAATTGACTTTTGAAGGTCAAGGTGATTGATTGTGAGGATAATACATTTAGGATCGCTCCCACTTGGAGTCTTCTACAGCATACCTCACTGCCTCGTATACGTCTTTGACAATGGTCCTAGGCTTCCAAGCGGGCTCCGATCCTTTCTGGTATACGCCCGTCTGGACAAGGACCGACTTCCAGTCCGTCCCAAGGGGGCTGTCGTACATGTTTGCGCCGCGAATATCCGACTCTGCAGAGGTATTAGCCAGCTCCGTAGACGCAAGTGTCGCACAATACATACCGGGGTTGTCTCCAACCATGTACACCCGCTTCAGCGGCTCCAGCTTCGCTCCTGCGAACATCTCGCCCCGATACCTGTTCAGCAGGTTCTCCGCGTATTCGTACGTCGGGCGGAACGGCTTCCCAAAGACCGCCTTCTTCAGCTCCACGCCCTGCCTCTCGCCGCCCGTCACAGCCGCCCAGATACCCTCCAGGGCTTCCCTGAAGCCGCCCTGGCCCAGACGCGACAGGTGGTACTTGGCCGCCCACCACAGGTCCGGGTTGCTGTAGTACAATGGCGGCTGGCCATCCTGCAGGTATCCCCTATTCGGCAAACTCCTGTCGCCATTCTTCGGCGAGACGGTGCCCATGACGCCCTGCTGCGAGAGCAGCACGTCCAAGATAATTGCAGCATCGAGGCCCCAGTCGCGGGGATCGTTGTACACGAAGACGGCGTCGATCTTGAGCGAAGCATTCGGGTTCGCGGCATCGATGGGGCGGGGGAGCGGGCGCGCAAAGGAGCGGTAGTAGTCGAGGAAGTTCTTGGAGAAGGGCCAGATCTCCGGGTAGGCGGCGTAGATGTCGCCAGGCGTGACGACCGTCTTGTAACCGTACCTGTCTCCCCGCTTAGCTAGCTTCGACAAATCTCAATCCCTGGTCAGAGATCCGGGGGCTTACTGCTCAGCGACGTCCCGGCACTTGGCACCGTCTCCACCGCACACCAAGACTGTTTTGTCTTTGTATTGCTCCATGCCAGCGAACGGCGTGTGGCTCTGCATGAAGTTGGAAGTAGAGAGCGGTAGCGATAGCTTCTCGCTCAGCTCGGCCACACGCTCGGACTCGGACTTGCCGCCGCCATTGGTGAGTAGGATGAAGGGGATGTGTTGACTCTGGAGGTAGGTGAGCGCTTTGGATGCGCCGGGGATCGGGTCGGCGCTGCGAAGGAGAACGCCGTCGATGCTGCTACTCGTTAGCTGCTATCGTGGGAGCTTCTTGCTCTCCGGGGATGAGGTTTGCAAGGGGTTGGAGGGAGGGGCGGCGGGACGTCAGGGTGTCTCTCGGGGAAGCGGGGCAGCTCCGCAGCTGCGTGCTAACAACGGCTCGTTCCTGAAAGCTCTGTCGGGTCGCATTTTCACAGCCACATGTCTTGCCCGCATCTTCCCCTCCCACCACGGCTGTGTAGGTCTGACGTACTCGAATGCGAACGCAAAGTCTGGTATCCTCGACGGCGTAGCGGTTGTCTGGAGGCGCCGGCGTTGCCCCACGCACTCGGGTCGCTGGGCAAAGACGAGCGGATGGGCAGAAGCGTGCCAACGCGGCGCTGAGCTACGCAGGCATCTCGCAAAGACGGGCGCAGGCGGGGCGAACACCTGCATGTCGTTGACAGCGTTGGGGGTGGAGTGGGCTGCTGGAGTGCTGGCGGAGGCTCTGCTGTGACGCAGTCGGCGGACGCGCCCCACTGATGTGCGCCAAGCCCACGCGTGTGCACGCTCCTGCCATGACCATGTTCCTGATTCCGCCGATATCGCCTGCCGCCTCAATCCATCTGGACCATTGTTGTGGACTGGTGTCTGAACGGGAACCGTCTGTGGGACCTTGGGGGCCCCGGTCGAACGCCGTGCCCACGTGGCTTACCAATGCCATCGCCAAGGGTCCGCTGCCTCGTCAATATTTAACATTCTTGGATTGTGCATTTGAGCCAACTCGATTGTCTTGAAGATCATCTCAATTTTCGCAACTAAATCGCTGGGCCTCCAGGTCCACTTTGCGGTCCTCCACTACGTCCAACTAGAAAGCATTCCCAAACTCCGATTGCCAGAAACGAAAACCACCTAGCACTCGTCCCAGACGACAGAGGTCAAATTGCCAGGGATCGAGATGCTGGCGATCTCGTCTCCGATAACGCCCGTCTGAGTGTCACGCTTCTTGATGACCAACTTGCTGTCGTACTGCAGGGCCACCGCAATCAAATCCCCGTCTTCGTTGAGCGAGAAGGCACGGGGGTACGAGCCGCCAGCCGGCGCAAGGTGCTCAAACACAAGCGAGCCGTTGGGCTGGATCGAGAATGTAGCCAGTGAGTCTGAGTACTGCTTGGTGCCGTTGTAAGCGCTGGAGATTTCGAACGACGAATCGTTGCGGTTCGAGACGACCACGAATCTGTTGTCGGGCTGGTTGCCGTTAGCATTCCTGATATGATCGTCTTTCTACTGGGGCCTTCTCAAACTTACCGAAACCTCAATCTCAGCGGCAGCGGCTCCCTCCGGTTCCGGAGCATCGCCAAAAGAGGTCGTCTTGGAAACTTCGGTGAAGGAGATGCCGCCTGCGGCAGGATAGGTGACGGCGTAGGTGGTCAGGGAATTGTCGAGCTCGCCCACCAGGTAGAAGAACGTAGAGTTGCCGTGGTACGAGCTGCCAGTCCAGAAAGCAGCGTGACGCGGACCGGTGCCAGCCTCGGCCTCAAGAGGCTTTCCCTCGGTCAATGCGCCAGCACTGTCATAGCTATAAGTGCGCACCAAATCGGCGCCGAGGTCGGGAACAATGATGTATTGGCCAGTCGGGTCCAAAATAGCCTCGTGCTCGTGCGGCGCATCCTGGCGGTCAGGAACGGCGCCGGGCCCGTCCAGAGTGTAAGGGAACCTCTGGTCGGGAATCAGAGAGCCGTTTTTCGGAGCTCCCCAAGTGGAGACAGCGCTGCCAGAGTAGTGTGCTACTGCGAGGTGACGCGCATTGGGGCTGCCGTAGAGGACACTGCTGACGGGGCCGGAGATGGACTGCTGGGAAGTCACCAGGGTGAGTCCACCGTTCTCGTCGACGAGCAAGGAGTTGATGGTGCCATTGGTGCTCGTGAGGCCCTCGTCCAAGCAGTACAGAATGCCGCGCTCCGAATCCAAAGTCAGCCAGGACGGACTGGAGCCACAGCCGGTGCTCGAATAAGCCACATCGAGCGAGTGAGAGCCGTCTGCGGCACTGTCGAGGGTGACAGTGGTGAGGGTACCGCCGTAGGACGTAACGAACAAGTTCGCGGCGGAGCAGCTGGCCGCCGAGGCAGAGAGGAAGAGAGGGATGTTGACCATGATGCCAATCGAAGGGGCAATTTCCTGCGCTCGCAAAAACTAAACTCGGCAACGGCGGGCCAGAACTTTATAGCAATGAGTGACAGCAGGCTTCATAAGCGGTCTCCACGGGCCGGCGCAGAGTGCGAAAGGAGGGACCGACGTCGCAACGGGCTTGGAAATGACGGCAAGGACCGACGTCGAACGGGGCCGTCTTAGACTTATCATGGAAGCATCGCCTGGCGGGCCGGGAACGACTCATCGAGGCTGGCCACTTGGCGGGCCGCTGAGGCAAGGATCGCCAGGGCATCGGGGTGCGCATGACATGGCTTTAGCCGGGCCAGGACAGTCACGGCGATAAGCGCTGGACCACTTCTGGCGTGGCACCAGGCGGCTCACCTGCAGGTCACACATGGACGGCAGCGCCGGGCAGGGCTGTCAAGGCGAAACAATTGGGGGACGGCGCGGGGTGGTAAGCTGGGGACGTGCGGATTGTGGAGGGCTGGGCGGCAGTTGGCCGCTGTTTCACCCAAACCTTCCTGGCTGTTTCGCCAAGCGTGCCCCAGAGCGACTGGTTTGGCGCCCAACAGCCCGGCCTCATACATATTCGCCGCCGCCGTCACTCCACCCGCACCAGGTACCAACCTCACCGGCTGCCGCGGTGCTGCCACTGCCACACGTCAGCGACCCTTTGATCATCCATCGTGAGGGGCAGGCTTCCCCGGCTCTGCCCACCGCGCCACGAGCAGCATCGTCGGCTCCATGGCGACACACAGGCACATTGTGGCATGAGCACACGAGCACACGAGCACGCGAGCACAACCAGCTCTTGCTGTAACCCGAACCGGAGCTGGAGAGGCTCCATCCGACGTCTCTCGCCGGAGACGACAATCAACCCGGACCGCGGTCCCGCCGTCTCCACCTTTTCTCCAAACGTATATCTGGCCGGTACCCAATAATGCTTTCCCCTCCCCCGCGACATCGGGCAGTCGTGATCGTGCTTCCTTCCTCGCGTGATGCGGGGCATGCCTCCGTCGGCCGGAACGCGCGTTCCTCAGGGAAGCGCAGGATATGGGTCGCTGAGAATCTTTTACTGACATCTGAGTGAACGGCCACTGCAAACCATGATTCCCGCCAAAACCCCTCTTTCTGCCGTCGTTGTGACCGCGGATTCCGTGCGATCTCGCTTCCGCACTGGCAATTTCTCCGTCGGCACGTATCCAGAGCGCCAACTCCGCACGCGGCACTTGCAGGCACTGCACGCTCCGTGATCGATTAATGTCGGAATCGCGCAGCGCATGGATAGACTCACGCACACGTGGACAAATCCATGCCTGCTCAAGATATACGACTGCACCGTTCTGGAAGTGTCAGGAACAAGTTGGACGAGTCTGAAAGCCACAAAGGTTCGGTTCCGCACAGGTTTTACGGACATCGAGTATCTTTGCTTTTCAAGCATTCCAAGACGAGAATCTACGGAGCCAGCATCCAAAATATTTCGTTGCAGATGCCTTTGCCGACCAGTCCCTCCCTTTTGAAGACAATCATTCATGGTATTGGACCCTGCAGCTATCACTACACCTTCCTTCTTGACACTCAAGACTTTTCTTGCCGCTGCTACGCAATCCCGTGACATACATCCTCACTCGACACAGTTTCCGTCACCAACTGACCGATTCCTCTGGGGTGACCTCGTTACTGAAGCTTTTACTCACACACGTCTGGGTCATGGCTTCTCAAGTCTGACCTGAGGTGAAAGTATCACAAGCAGGGTCTTGCACGAGGAAAGACTAATCTTGCTGGCCAAACGTGACAAGGTTTCTCCTCAGCACCTCACCTTCGTATCAATGACCGCCAACGGCATTTCTTACAGCTCTCTGGGCGCAACGTCTCAGTCCACCAACATCTTTCAGCTTGACACTGAGGTAAGGCTGCTCGAGAAGCAGCTGCGTGCTCTTGCTCTTGAGGAAGGCCCCCAGGATACGTGGAGCAAACATCATGTCGAAGTAGAGGAAAGGATTCGAATCTTGAAGGATCAAAGGCGAGAAAAGTTCTTTCGCCACCATGCACATCGGCCTCAGATTGCTACAGATGCCTTCGAATCGAGTCAGGAATCAACTTCTTCAACAGCGATCTTCAGCTCGCAAGAATCGCTGCATCCAGTTCCATCTCCAGGACATTTCATCCCATTCAACAATCTTGACCAAGAACACCCAACAAGACTGGACGAAGAGGACACCGATGGCTATTCAGGACCAATTCCATCCTGCTTGCTAAAACAGAGCGCTCAACAAATCTCTTGCGAAGACAAGAAAAGGCTGCAGCACATTTTGGAGGAAATGTTTGCTCAAGCAATCCCCAAGAATGGAAGCGAAGAACGCTGTTGGCTCTACAAAGGTCCAGAAGCGGAATGTGGTAAAGCCATGGTCGTTACATCTTTCAAGTGGAGAGACGAGAAGTATCCTGGGAGATCGATGTGTCTCAGACAGCAAGTCGGAACATGGTGGATGATCGTGAAAAACATCATGACGGCAGAGCAACAGTACGGTTACCTCTACGAAAGCTGGCATCTCTCACACCTTTGCGGCAACTGGCAATGCATCAATCCAGCTCACCACACCATGGAGCCGGGTCCGATCAATTTGGACCGGAGGATGTGCCACCATGGTGGTCGACCTCCGTATGGATGTGAGCACTTGCCGGGATGTTTGTTTCACTACAAGGATGGCAAGCCTAGGGGGATAAATACTCGCAAATTGCCGAAAAGACAACGGAGATACCACCAGCAGACACTGAGTTTTGATAAATCCACCAACCGGATAAGTACGGAGTCCGCGAAAATCACGAGCGGAATGGGCCGTCGTCGCAAGGATAAGGACAAGGCCTTCGGTAAAGACCGGGCTAGCACATGGAAGCAACAGAGAATTCGATTTGGAAAGTAGAATCCGACTCCGTCACTAGGTGAGCTTCTGTTTGACCTCGAAACCATGACATGGTTTTCACTCTCGTCCACGAGCTCTAATGGTTCATACAGATAAGCCAGTATGCGGCTCACTGCATAACTAAGTTGAGTTGGCCCGGAGCGGTCCAGGGCTCTGAGTTTGTGTCATCCACGTCCGCTACATGCACCTCGCCAAATGGCACTACTGAGATGCCCCTTTCGATTTACTCTCCAACTAGTTTCATGGATATTGACACAGCTTTTGATACCGGTATTTTAGGAGCTGCGTGTCAAAAATTTGCTAAACCAAATGCATACGTTTCTGGGCTACAGCGATCGAGCGACGGTTGATGGTGGGCAAAGCCTGGACATTGAGCCCCAAGAACTATTTCCGGAATACCTAGCATCACAACTCCCGGCATGCTTATCTTCATTGATCTTGGCCCGTATTCCGTATCCATAATTTGCTTATTCTATGCGCAAAAAAACGGGCATCCAATACATATGGGTTTGAGAAACGGTCGAAAAGGCGGGAGCCTACAATGGACTACACTTCAATATAGGGTTGAAGTACCATATGAACAATCACAAGAGCGAATTACTTACACTATTCAAGCCGTGTTCTGGAGTTGATGCTTTTTTCTGGAAGTTTTTTTTTTTTTTTTTACATATATCATGTTCACGTTCAGGAGCTTGTTGCGCTACTTAACGGACCGCCCTCATGTGGAGTCTCCATTTTTTCAGAGGCTGGCTTCAACGGTTTCTAACGCAATGAAGAGGCGGAAATTGAGAATGGAAGGAGTTGAAGGTTTTGATGGAACGAACATGTCTGTTTGCACATTCTCCAATAATGACCGGATATGTGCCTTAGCTCCCCATGCTGAATGAATTGCGAGAGCTGAGATGCCTTCTCCTTATGTGGAGCATTCGGAGCAGCAAGCTTCCGGAATATTACCGTTCTCAGTGCACAGCAGGTTCCACGAGCGATACACAGGCGTAACTACGTGTCAACGCCATCAAACATCATCTTTGAAATAGTAAGCTCTCTGGCATCTCTGATCCCCATATCCCACGCAGCTTACGAACATGACCTGATGACACAGATGAGCCGATCCCTACCGTCTGCGACAAGATGATGGTTGCACGGTGGTCACCGCCCGTTCGACACTTTTACCACCCGAAAGCATCAAACGGCGCGTCCATAGCTGATATGGCGCATGGTCATCTAAACACCAAACGAACAACTACTCCTTGTAAGAAGCCATGTTGGATCACGTAGTGAGCGTCGCTATGCTCTAGGATGAGCCGGTGGAAGACGTTTTGGCCCCTGTCCAAAATGCAGTAAGGAGCAGGCTCGAGCAATTGGCGACTGATCATAGAGTTGCGTTTGCTTTGGATGGTCGTCAACTGAGCAGGTCATGGGCTCGCTTCTTGTTTTTCTTCGGCAAGCGGTCGCGCTGACTCACAATACCATCCGGGTCATGGTGGCGGTGTACGCAAGTCGCTGTCTCGTGCATGATGCGGTACATGCACAGCTGCAGGCACCCGCCGGTGCATTGGATCAGCAGCGCGAAAATTGCGGTGTCTGTAGCAGCTACTTCTGCAATTTGCTCAGTGTTTCCCACAAACAAGGCAGGCACGCTGCGGGAGGTGGCAGGGCGCGCCTTCCTCATGCGAGAGGAGCATCACCCGCGGGCTCGCGGCGCATGTTGCCTGCGTCCGTGTCTCTCCTTCCCGCAACAACCCCATCTCTAAGGCTACGCGCAGCTCGCCGCCCTCCCGAAAGTCTCAGTTTCAAGTATTGCAAGACCGGCTGCTGTCTTCGCGGTTCCAATCTGGCGTCACAAGGCCAGCAGTCGGGGACCGGCGGCCATCGTCGTCGCCGTGAGTAGATCTTCTTGCTCACCGGGCTCACCTTTATCCACGAAGCTGCATCCTTAGTTAACCCAGCCCGTCTGCCAGGCCGCGGTGGTCGCAACCGCCGCCAGAATCCCGCACAGTCCTTCGCCCACATCCAGGTCGTCCGCCGCGAGGACGACCGCCACCAACCTCGCAACAACCACTCCTACCTCAACGACACGACAACCACAGACCTTTCCTCTCCTTCTTTTAGCCGTACAGGCTCGGAAAACGACATCACTAGTCTCCGCACCACTCTCACTCGAGACACGTCTTCGAGCTCCGTCGTCGCACCCGGCCACACCTTCGCAGACATGGCACGCACTGGTGGCTCCAAGAAGAACGACCCGTTCGCTGTGCGATCCACCCCTTCAGCCGTTGGTCTTATGAAGCTCAAGCCCAAGTCAAAGACCAAATCTATATGGAAGCCTTTCGACTTGGCCGAGCAAGAGAGTAAGTTTCTGGTCATTCTCCACCCCTCCACTGCGACCCATGTGGTTAACGTGACACAGCATCGGATGCATCCGTAAGCCCAGCTCCACCGGAGACGGATGCTTCCCCAGATGAAGTCGAGACCCATTCCGCCGCGAGCAGTTCTCACCTCTTCGCGCCCATTCGCGCTCCGCTCGGACCTCCGATTGAAATGGCGGGCTCAGATGCTAAAGAGGTTAAAGACGAGATTCTAGAAGAATTCGGTCACAAGCTTGCAGAGCCTGTCTGGTTGCGATCAAACACGGGAAAGCATGACGGAGAGCTGAGGTTCATTCAGCATCCCAACCGCGATGTTACCGCTCATTTTTGGTCGGACGAGCAGTTCGAATGGGTGGAAATTGGCCTCTATTCAGTCTCCCGGAAGCTTGCTGATGGCCTCATTACGACTGACAGGTACCTTGAGTTCCTGGACAAGACTGATCGACGTGTCAAATCGCTGGCCTATTTCACTGAGCTTGTCAAAGGCTATCCTCGCTTCCATACAACCCATCCGCCTCCGCTATCATCCATGAAGCCGACAGATGCTATTCAACACCGCCCAGCTCTCAATCTTCAGACCATACCGCCCGAGCCGGCTCGCTACGACTCCCCGCCAACCGTCTCCGAAGCGCTCAATGACAACAGATTCCTGAGGCTGGCTTCGCTTACTCTGCGAGACCGCCCTGCTGCAGTGCCCCGACCTATTGCCACTCGTGGTCCTTCTGCTCCACAGGGCCTTGGCCCTCCGGCTGATGATCCCTTCGCCGCCGATGCGCAGATCTCGCCAAAGTCTGAGGTGCCCTCTACCTCTTGGCCTACCAATCTTCGCAGGACAATTACAGAACAGGACCCAGGAAAGATGGACTTTGATTTCCGCTTCCCTTCCAGTATTAGTAGCCTGCAGCGTGGCGAAGTCACCTCGAGTGTTGCTGATAGTGACCGCAAGGCTTTCTTTGCCGAGCAAGAGCGCAGCCGTGCCGAGAAAATGCGCCAGAGCCTCGCACCCACCGACCGCGAGGACCGTGCAGATACACTTCAGTCTAAGACAAACTTGATTCCCTTGGGCGGGATGGCACAGTTTGCGCCTAGAGTCCCTTCTGATCGTGGACCCTCTTTCCCTGGCCTCGGTCAGAGTACCAATGTCGCTTCTTCTTCTGGACTGGCCACATCCATGACTCCGACGGCGAAGATCCCGAGTGGTTCACTGAGCATTCACCAACTTCAGCAGTTGGAACAGCCGAACGAGAGCCGCGCACGCATGCTTGATTACCTCAACCGGGTTGGTGACGAGCAACTCCCGACACTGCCTCCGGCCCAAGGCCTTCGTGGAATTCAGCAAGTCGATTCGGCAAAGAAGAAGGTGGCGACTGCCGATCAATTTGTCCAGTACGAAAAGCCGGTATCGTCAGGATCGCAGGTTTCGCGTAGCGCTTTACGTACAAGTGAACCGGAGCCTGAGAACTGCGAGGACCGCAATTCAAGCGTCTGCAACTCATTTGGGCTTGGCGGTCCTACACCACAGAACTTCAACGGACCCTTCCTCCAAGATGACATGTCTACTCAAAGTAACTCTGGGGCGCATCGCTTCACTCGTAAGTCACGCGAGGAGGAGTTGGATGAATGGTGGAAGTCGGGCTTGCGCACTCAGCGTCATGATGACTTCATGAAGACATTGACTCGTCCTGGCATCTCAGGCTCGAGCAAAGACGACTTCCAGGTCACTGATCGGCTGTTGGTTCCGCTGTACGAGACGCTTACATCTTACGTTCGTATTCCTGGTGAACCTCCCAAGAGTCGGGACTACTTCTCACGTTTTGCACCCCCGCCTGAATGGGCAATTGATCGTAGCCGTGCTGGCAACAAGAGCTTCTTCGGGGAGGACTGGGGAGAGACTCCCCGTCGCATTGGTCGCGACCCCAGGTTCCAGCCCAACTTCGGCCTTCCCAAGTTCACCTTGTTCGAGGACCAGCACGATGACTCCACCATGCGATTTCCACATGGGATGCGCGGTGGTCAGGCTGGTCCAGCTTATGCGCCGTCTCCCTTCTATGCACGGAAGTTTTGATGATGCTTCTGGGTATGGGCCTTGGCGATTGACTTGATGGATGATTCAGTGGGCACTTGCTTCTTGTCCTAATGATTGTTGTTGTCATTTGCTTTTCAACGGGGCTTTGCGGCTTTTTCTCCCCACATTGACTCTGGGGACTTATTTGAACATATTCACGTCTTGAAACTGGGAGAGACGACATGGGGATGAGTATCGGCATAGGGAATAGAAAACGTAGAAAACAAATTAATACTGTATTATAATGTTAAGTACGGCCCTCCCGCTACTTGGTATGTGACGACGGGTGTGCGGGCGGTGGCTGATACTACGAATGTCAGAAGTCTCTACAGATCTGCTTTCCTTCGCGGTAAATGATGAGTTTGCAAAAGAATTTCACGGTGAAATACTCAGAACTCGCAAAGAATAGCTGCATAAAAAGGCAAGTATCATTCTATTCTATTTCTTAGCGGGCTCAGCGACTTACCAACATTGCAGACACGATGATCTTTTGTTACAAGCACAAGAAGAATAAAAGAAAGAGACCTTTGCGGACCAACACTAAAGTCCCGTCCCATGTCATCCCCCATCCTGCCCTTTCCCATTTCCGAAAAGCTTCGTATAGCAAAAAGACACACGATCGCCGCCAACAGCCGGCCATCGTCCCCCCTGCCCTCATCTTCCTCCCCCCCCC